CCATTGTTGTTTTACAGCGATCTCCGGCGTTGCCTTCGCCACTTAGCATTTCACGATTTTATATTTTGTTTGAACAAACTATAAATATTATCGAGAGCTTCGCTTTTAGCCCTGGCTAAATCTTTATATTATTTTCCTAATACCTCTGCATTCCCATTCCCTATAGTAAATAGAGCCACTGTTGATTCGCACCAGGGAGTTGAACCATAGGTTTTGTTCAAGAAACTGTCTTTCGGATGTTAATTGTTGTTCAAAGTTTAGCAGTTGGTGGAGTGACGATTCTGTTTCGAAGTTCTTTGTAAAAAATTTTGGAATACGCTTTGTAAAACAATTTGACCACTTAAGCTTAACTTTATCTCATCACGCAAATTGAATGGTGTGTCACCTGTAGAGATGCAGGTTTTCAACGATTCACGCCATTGAGTTGGTAGAGCGTCTATTAAAAAGACAAGCATAAAGGCATCCAACGGCGAAAGGTGCAAGACTCTCAACGCGCTTTTGATTTTAACTTCATTTTTATTCGAGATTAAATCACCCACTCGAAGGATCCCTTTCTCAGCGAAATTTCGAAAATACACAGACTTGTCACCGATCGATACAAATAAATTTGTTGTTCCATAAGATAACTTTTGTCACCGATCGATACAAATAAATTTGTTGGTCCATAAGATAACTTTTGACAAGTCTTTTCCATTTAAATCATGTATATTTACAGCGGTGATTATATTGGCGTGAACACCTAAAATATGTCTGGAATGTTTATTGTGTTGCAACCAATCACTGGTGAAATCTTCACATCACAGAAACCACAGGCAACGACAGTTTCCGATCGGTCATGGAACAGATTATTTTCGTTTTGTTTAAGGATACAAACTGCCTTATTAGGAATTTGAAACACCGCTGTTCCCCAGGATCAGTGCCGAGGACCGCATCCAGTACATCGTTCGATTTTAGAAATGAAAAGTTTTGGAAGCCAACCCGACGCGACGGCGACCAGCTTTCCATGTAATGCATCAGTCAATTCCACCTGCGCCCAGCCCCCCCCCCGGGCTGACCCCCGGGCATTAGCATTTTTTTTGCCTTGGATGGCAAATTCCCGGGGGCTGGGGACTCTTGAGCTGTCAAATCCCCTGGGGTGGGGACGAAAAAAGAGGGCCAATGCCCCGTCCTCCGTCAACACTGCAACATTTTTCATTGTGATCGCCCAGTCAAGTAGTGCTATTTTAAGCATTTTAATGTGCGATTTTTTGTTTCAATTAACGTCTTTCTTTGTAATAGCGCGAGGATTCTAATTAAGACTTCACGCCGCGACGACATGCACCAATTTATGGTTTTAGTATTGATATAAAATTATTGACATTAAAATTAATAGAGCGCTGTACAGTTATATGTTATGAATAGTTTTATAAATATGAAAGGATGTTCTTCAAATAATATCAACAGAAACAAGATTCAATAACCAAAAAACATTGATTCACATCGATAGTTCCAATTTCGCTACGTAATTCTGGCTTGAAAAGCAATGAAGAAATGTGTACATACATGTAAAATCGAGAACATGCCTTTACAACCCTCTACAATTTATTCCTGTCATTGACAGATGAGCCAATCTGCGTTTTTTCCATTAAAACCTTCTTTGTAGTTATATTCTGATATAGGAAACCGCGTGCGTGTCAAAAGCTCGGGAATGGCCCGGGAGTTGGCAAATGCCCGGCCCCCGGGCAGTGCAAAATTTGCAAATGCCCCACCCCCGGGACTGACAAGGCGGGCAAAAACCCCGCAGTTGCCCGGGGGGGGGGCTGGGCGCAGGTGGAATTGACTGGTGCATAACGACATATCACATGAAGACAATAAAAAATGAACAATCGTGATGTTTTCGTTTCTGATAGCATAATCCTTGCTAATATTTTTTTGTAGAACAAGGGGATTCGATTTGTGTGGACTAACGATTGAACCTTCGAACTACTGTGCTGGCAGAAGTCCCTTGATCGCAAGGTCGCAAACTGGAAAGACCGCCGACCAAATTCAACATTTATGGAATGATTGGCACATCGCGCAACGTAAACATTCCAATTTTCGGTATTCCTTCCAAAATATAATTTTGCTTTTTCTCTGAAAGCATTTACGCATTTAATATCTGGGGGATTAATTACATGCTATAGGAAGCTAGTTATGAGGAGATTTAGCCAGGAAGATTTCAAGTCCAAATTAGCACATTTTGAGCGCAAAAGAAAAAAAATATGACTATCTCCGATCGCAGTTCTTCGATCTGCTTCGATTTTTCACAAAAAAGTGTTTACGCTTACTGGATTAGCTGCGAAGCGATGGAAATCAGAAAACTCTAGCGGCTTACCTTGCAACATTGTAACTTGTGATCAGGCGTAACTACCGATTTCGATCGTTACAAAAAGTTTGAAAACTCGCGCGCCAAACCGTCGCGTGCGTAGGCCCGGCACATCGGCTTTGTAATTTATTTCAAAATCGCTCAAACCTGTATTCTTCGCTATTATAGCAAATACTGTAAACAAATAGGAAGGAAAAGCAATTGTTTACTGGTAAAAAGACTGAATGTTAAAACAAAATGGAAATAATTTGTTCCGTGACAGATAGGAAACCGTTCGCTGCTTGTGGTTTCTGTGGTGTGATGATCTCGTCTGTGATTGGTTACATCACAATAAACATTCCAGACATATTTCAGGTGTTCACGCCAATATGATCACCGCTGTAAATTATTTACCCCTAAGCACTTTGCAAAAAATTTTCAAACATTCTTCATAAAAGGCTGGTAATTTGATAGGCAATTTCTTCAAATCAACTGAGTCACACTAAGACTAATTTACCCCTAACAGGTTTCAGATAATGCAAATTAAAGGATTGTTCTCAATCCACTCGGTTGATCATTTGCCAATTTCTTGCAGCAAAGTACTCTTTGTGTTTCATTTATGGGATTTAAATGTGGGGCTATAAGTGCAGAGCGTTTAACTTTATCCTTTCCTTTCCAGATAAAATCAAAGATAATTTTGTTTTCTTCTTTCACAAATTTTTTATCCGATGATATCAAGCTGGTGCGTATGAGAAGATAGCGGTAAGAAATTTGTCAAAGAGAGATCATCTTTTAAAAAAACCAGTCAGGTCATCTACGAACAAAGTTACTTTCACCTCTTCATGATAAACAAACTTTTAACGAATTTTGCGAACTTTGCTTTTTCAGCCTTCCTTTATATTTCTTCAATATTATAGATCATTTAAGAAGCTAATTATCAAACACGACAAAACAATCTCGTTATAAATTCAACTCACCTCTCGATGTCTTGATATCGAATGGAAAACTTCCTGTCGTGTTTGATATTTTCAACAATACAAAATGAACATAGTCGAGTCCCTCAAAGGAATTATCCGACATACAAGTCGAACTCAGCACCCACTGAAAAAATTTGCTGGTTCAGCCGATGATTTTGATGATAAGTGAGGAACTGTCATCCAAATTTAAAGTTGACTGAGTTTAAAGGTAGGATGAGCCATTGAAGGCATCATTTTCCAATTGGAGACCACTTGTAAAGTAAATCTGAATATATAGAATTTAGTTTACTAATTAAAAACAAATTGAATAACAATCAAGGAAAACATAAACTCGGGACAGTGTTAGTTATTTTCTGACTAAAATAAAAATAATAGAAATCACTACGCCCTGACGGTCGGTAGATTGGATATCGGATCGTAATATTACTATTAACTTTTGCGAAATTTGCTTTTTCAGCTTTGCTTCTTATTTCTTCAAAATTATTGGAGCTTTATCAAACACCACAACACAATCTCGTTCAGTTATAAAAATCAACCCACCTCTCGATGTCTTGATATCGGATGAAAAATTTCCTGTCTCACGGTGAGGAGAATCCGTGCCGTCCAAATTTAAATTTGGCTGAGTTTAAAGAGCAGGATAAGCCACTTGAAGGCCTCATTTTTAAATTGAAGAACAATTGTAAAGTAAACATGCAATTTAGTTTACTAATTAAAACAGATTGAATAACAACGAATCAAGAAAAACATAAACTCGGGAAATATTTTGACTGACTAGAATAAAAGAAAAAAGTTTCCTTTCAGAGTCCGAAAAAACGTCCCTTAAGTTAGCAGTCTCGAACTCTCGCCCTTAATGCGAGACATTTGGTTGCGTGAATCGCCTGAGATCACGCGACATATCAGTTCGATCACTTTCAAGAAGCCAACAGCTACGAAGGTGTTACCGATATGAGCAGGTTTTTCTTTGACTCTGAGGAGAAACGTTCCATGCATCTAAAAGCTGTATCGATCCGACATGACGGGACACTCTTTTTACGATGCACTTTCGTTAATTTTCAGAGGGGTTAAAGTTAAACCTTAAAAGGGAAGATTCCCTTTGAGAACCACCGGCCAAGAAAAAAGGAGAATATGATCCTAAGGACCGTAACTAAGTTAGCCTGGTACCCGTGGCCACTAATGGATTGTGATTCAATTTAATGTGGTTAAAGTGGTTCCGAGATGGTTGCTTGGATATAACTTGTCAGTTAGATATTCATTGAACTCTCAGCCCAAATATTTCTAGTATTTCTTATCTCTGCCAGTTATTTCTTTGAATCTCAGACTCATCTATCACTTAAGATTCCTAACTGACAGTTAAAATTTTAAAATTGCTAGCTTAGAATCTGATAACCAACGTCTGAAGTTTAGTAGTGGCTGTCTGACGAAACGTAAACTTTTTCTTAGCCTCAGTGATGACATTATAATGTGATAATCTGAGAAATCAATACAATCAGTCGTGTCATAGTAAAAATTAGCCAGTGACGTTTACTTCGGCCAACCTCATGTAAATTTAAATGACAACACAGATTGAGAAAAATCTTAAAAACCATTTATTCTTGGCATAATTAAGTCATTAGATTATAACCACCGTATTCATGTTAGTATGAATAAACGTTTAATGATGCAAACCTACACCCTTTTACTGTAGTTTCAAGTTGCAACATTGGAACCTCTATTTGGCGTAGGTATTTAGTCTGGTCTCGTTCTCTCTGAGATTCATAGTGCTAAGAGTCTGTCTTTGTCATAACATTGTTTGGTTTGTTAAACTGTGGTAAGTTGTAAATATTATTCATGATTTCTAACATGTGTTTTTTAAGTAATTTTAATTAGTTTGTTGGTTCTAAAACTGAGTAATCTTTTCGATTTTTGGTTGGTTCACCAGAAGTCTTGTCAACTACTCAACACTGTGTTTCTTTTTTCAATATCATCATTTTCTTGGTCTCCTTACTGATAACTGAGGCCCACAGGTCGTTCTCTCATGATCAGTTCTCGGAAGATACCAAACATTCCCTCCAGTCTCTTGCCTGCCTGTAACAATGGCACTCCTCCTATGACACGAAAATTTTATAATTTTCACCAATTTTCTCTTGTTTTTGTTTTTTTTTTGGTAGTTTAGCAACCTCACTATACATTAATTATGTTGCGATTTTTTGTAAATACAGCTATAACACTAGTTATACGTTAAGAATCCTTTTCTAAAACATTTTTTTTTTCTATTTTGCCCGTTTAAACCAGAATTAAATTACAATAATTCGCGCGCTTGGAAGATAGCCAACGAGGCGCACAGCTAAGTCGTGGTGTCATATTCTTCATGTTCATTTCTTTTTTAGTTTTTAAATTTATCTCCTTCACCCTAAACAATCATTTATATTTCATACTTTAGTATCTTGTTTTTATTTCTTGCTTTTGTTTTAAGAATTCAAGTTCTTAGACGGACTTCAGTTTCTTATTTATTTATTTATTTCTTCAGTTATTTCAACAACACTTTAACGTAAAAAAAACGGTTACAAAAGTGGCGAAGGAACTTGTAAAAAAAATTACGACAAAAATGACAAGATTCACAAAAAGATATCATTACGCCTTAGCATAAGAAATAAAAGATAAACAATGAAGAAACGCCAAAAGGCTTAACAGAGGCAGAATTTGTTGTAAAAAGAAAAGCATGCCAATTTATTCTAGCGAGATTATAAGGGGTATATGGGATGGGCGGCGCCAAAAGAGAGTTTTAACTCTGTTAATATGCCGTTTAGAAAAGTACATTTTTTAGGTAGGGACTGATTAGCGGTGTACGTGTATTCTGTGGATCGATTTGACATATCTAAGATATCCATATAACTTACTTCTTCTCCAGAGTGATTTAAGAGCAGAAAGAATACTACAGCTAAGTCAATGGTTAAATCTTTAAGTCGTTTTTGTTCTGCAGCTCTTGAAGTGTGAAAAATTGTCATTGTTGCCTTTCAGGTGTTTTATTTTCCTAATACCTCTGCATTCCCATTCCCTATCGTAAATGGGGGCATTGTTGATTCGCACCAGGGAGTTGAACCGTTGGTTTTGTTCATGAAACTGTCTTTCGGATGTTGATTGTTGTTCAAAGTTGATATTTGACCAGATTAGTGGAATTTCCTTTAAAAAGTGGTCTGTTATGTTTAAGCCCTTGATTGTGTCCATTTTTGTTAATGTTGCCAGTGAAAGGAAGGCCGTAGCCAAGTCTTTTAAAAGCTTTAAAGCCTTATAACCTTGACGATTTTATACGTAGAAGAATGTCAGACCACAACAAGATAACATTTGCCATAACATATCTTCCCATGTCACATCTAGGGTGATGACGTCATCAGTCACGTGACTATTTCCGAATTAGGTTTTTTGTTGCTGTGACAATATTTCATTATTAGGTTAAAAACAAATAGCTTATTTGAGGTTTTGGTTGTGTGGGGCATTTTATAAATAACCAATTGACGTCCGGCATTTAAAATTTAAGGGGGTAATGAACATTAGCGAAAAAGTCGGGAGACTAGGCCGAGGGTTGTAGAAAGTTGACCTTTCATCACACGGCAGAGAAAATTTGCAGGAAAGTAATGTTCTACCTGATAATTTTTTTTAATTACCAAAAGAGGGACATGCCGTCATCAATCACGTGATCAGAGCGTTTTGAATATTTTAGCTCCTTTTTAAAGTACATTTTTCACCATAAATTGGTAAGTTCTTGTTTTTTCTCTCTACAAATCTTTACACTGTATTACCCGTGCGAGAAAAAATGCTGATTTTCACTTTCTCATAGATAGTCAAATAATTGATGTTGTACAAGAGTGCACTTACTTAGGAACTCGAATGTCCTCATCGGGAAATTTTTCAGTGTCACGTGAACATCTCAAGGAGAAAGCTCTTCAAGCCCTCTCCAGCTTGATACGACACACGAATCTTAGCAAAATAAAAGCACCTCTCGCCTGTAAAATATTTGATACTATGATCTCCCCTATTCTAACATATAACAGTGAAGTTTGGGATGTGTATGCTAAACCAGATTTTAAGACCTGGGACGGCTCACAAATCGAGAAGGCACACCTTCAATTTTGTAAACGATACTTGGAGGTAGCCAAAAAGGCTTCTAATATAGCTTGTAGAGCAGAGCTTGGTCGTTTTCCTCAAAATATCACAATCAATCAAAAAATTCCGAAACACATTTTGTATATACAGTCTAAAGATGAGGAATCTCTCGTCAAACAATATTTTTTAACGTCATTCGACTTACACTGTAATGGCAAAAATAGCTTCCACTCTCATTTAATGAATATGTCAGAATACTTTAAGCTTCCTGACTTTAACCCTGATTTATTAGATATAGCTATGGTAAAAAGCTATATAAGTTCAATGAAACAGGAATATATCTCCATTTTGGCAACACCCTTCAACATTCTCAAAAACTTGGATTTTGTGGATCTTTTATGCCCCATGCTTGTTCTCCCAATCATTAACTAATAGTTAGGCCAAGTACATTGCTGTGGCTAAGCTCTGTTTGCTGTAATGAGATGCACTACACAACACTAAAATATGCCATATTTTGGCCACCTGAGTGGCCGTTTATTCTTTAACAAGATTTCCAGAAAATACAAGGCAGAAACTAATTATCCAATTACAGCAAAGGTGAGGGCAAAAACCGCCAAAGCCCTGATCGAACGTGAGAGACAGGGCAGCCCCACCCGAAGCCACATAAATGTACTCGGCCCGTACCTGTAATATTAACGAGGAGATAAACTGTAACTAATAGTATACTAGAACACCCTTGTGGCCCTTGCACACTTGTTTGGGTGATGTAAAGAAATTAACTCTACACTGTACTACCACGTCGCCCATGCAAACGTGGTAGAAGGTAAAAAAAGTAACTTATACTTATCTGCACTATGTCAGCCACTGGTCAATTGGCCCATGCACAATTGCTCAGTGCTGATTCTTAGAAAATTTTAGGCGTCTTAAACACTACACTGTACTTGAATGCAGTGTAGAAAGGGTGGCCCCTGCACAACCCTTTCTCACCACCTAAGAACTGGGTACAAAAATTTAGAGTTAGAACCCTGGCCTATGTTGTTGAAGGGAAGGCCCCTGCACAACCCTTCCAACCTATGGCTACAATGGGCACATGGCAACATATTCCACAGTCATGTGGACAGCGAAGGTATTCTGATATATCGTAAGAAAGCATTAGAATTCCACCGGCCAAAACTTCTGATCTGGGCATCCGAGAAGCCCTTTGCTGCTGCCCATGAGGCTGCTCCGATTCTGAAACTATGAGACTTATATTTGGAGACATCCAGATTGCAGAAATTAAGCGCTGCAGTTAGTGCAGATGTGAAAAACGAACGAGAAATAGGGGAAGCGTCAGGCCAGCAAAAAAGTGGGCCTGGGAAATTGCCCCGAAGATTCAAATATGCTAGCAGCAATGATACAGGACAGACAGGCTGCTCTCTGTAAAGAAAAAGATCTACGGGCTTTGAAGTATCGCTGTGCTTGTAATTTCTCAGGGTTAACTTAATAGCACTAATTGATCCCTCCCTAGTTTCCATGAATGTAATTTGATTCAAAAGGATTAAATTGCGCTGGGACTGATGAGCGCGGTATGTCAATTCCCCAACCCTCAATGCTGCAAAAAAGGCAAAGGCATACATTGCTTGAGTCATCTTTCTGTAATATAATGCAGACTGCGTGTGATCACTAGCCGCAATAATGTTCTCCAGTATTGGCAGTGAAATTGGTAAACGCACATCGAATGATGGGTTGAGCTTACTGTACCCCCTAAGCGCTATTTGTATCATGTCTGCCTTTGTTGGATCTGATAGGGAGGCTAAGCGATGCGGATATCTCAAGGCCGAGATGTAAGTCAAGACAGTAGAGGCTGCATATTTCTGTTCCGCTAGAAAGGCAATGAAGAGTGCTAAAGTGTTTATCGAAAGAGGAAAAACTGGGCCTAGATATCCCAGCCTATCTTGCTGAAATTGGTATAAGAGCTGCCATGGGCGCTGGTATGTACGCACCGAAGACGAACTTAAACTTGCTTCTAACAATTGCTTTAACCTACTTCCCAATTCTCTGGAAGCAGATGCGCCGGAATCTGTGTTGGAGATGTTTGCATACCTGTACCCCTCGATATGGTTTTGAATTTGCCCACCTGCAAACGAGACAAGCTGTCAGCCATTTCATTCTTAACTCCGGGAATATGACGCGCTTTGAATAAGATGTTGTTTTGCAAACACACCAGTACTAATTTGCGCAAAAGACCCAACAACATTGCATCTTTGGTCGTTTGTTTGTTGATGACATGCACTAAGCTTTCGTTATCGGTCATGAAAAGAACCCGTTTGTTTCGTAATTCCGGACACCACATACTAAGCCCAATTACAATAGGAAAGAATTCGAGAAAGCAAATGTTATATCTCTTCCATTTCTCCGGCCATGTGCCATATGCCCATTGATCACCGAAAAGTATACCGAAGCCACTGCTCTGAGCAGCATCTGTGTATAATCTTAAGCTATGAGATGAAGACCAGTCTTCCTGTAGAAAAAGGGACCTACCATTAAAGGACTCCAAAAAGCATTCCCAGATTTGTAAATCCTTTTTGGTTTGTTGGGTGAGGCGAATATAATGATGAGGCCGTTTAACACCGACTGTTAAATTAATCAGGCGACGGAGAAATGCTCTCCCTGGAACAACTACTGAACATGCAAAGTTGAGCAAGCCTATCAATGACTGCAACTCTCTCAGGGTAACTTTCCGTCTGCCTTTCATGTTGCCAATAGTCGCCCTTGCTTTGACTACTTTGTCCGCAGGAAGTCTGGCCTCAAATCTCTCACAATCTAGTTCTATTCCCGCGAATGTTAAAACTTCAAAAGGACCAACCGTTTTTTCAGGAGCCATTGGAACCCCTATAGTGTTGCAGAAGTCCAAAAACCTTTGAAGACTAGCACTGCAGGCTGCACGAGATTTTTCAACGATAAGAAAATCATCCAAGATATGGATTATGTTTGGAATCTTCAGTTTTGTTTGTGCTACCCATTCCATTGCTGTGCTAAGGCTTTCAAAGGTTTTGCATGAACTTGCACACCCCATAGGTAAACAACAATCTACATAATATTTCCCTTTCCAGTGTAACCCCAACAAATGATAATCCGCAGGGTGTACAGGAATTATCCGAAAAGCACTTGTAACATCAGTCTTAGCCATAGCACATCCTTTACCTAAACGCCTAATAATTTGAACTGCATTATCAACTGTGGCATAAGTAACCGAACAAAACTCTTGAGGGATAAAATCATTCACCGAACCCCCTTGTGGAAATGACAGATGATGAATCATCCTGAATTCGCCTGGTTGCTTCTTGGGGATAACCCCTAGAGGAGAAACTCTCAGGTTGTCTAAGGGAGGCTGATCAAAAGGCCCTATTATTCTTCCTGCATGTATTTCCTTAGCTAATTTATTGTCCACTATTTCTGGGTTGTTTATTGCTGAAACTAAGTTGCCTGAAAAATGACCAGTAACAGGCCCTTGAAAATGTAACTGAAAACCTTCCGTAAAGCCTTTTTGCAGGCTCTCGTTCAAATGGGTAGGGTAACCTTGCAAGAAAAACAATAAGCTATTGACTTTGACTGGTGTTGGAAGTGCTCCTGGGGTGGGGAATGCTGAACTTTGTTGGGTTTGGCCCCGCTGTAGATTTTGAGGGTTGCCTGCACTTGGTAATAGCGTGCTGTTGTCCACAGCGGAAACATTGGTGCAGGTAGGAACATCCGTTGCACGACATACCCTTGTGGAATTTCCAGCAATAGCCCCGGGGTACAAACGGGGAAGTTGCCCTAGGCTTTCCTGAGGTTGTTGTTGTCTTGGCCCGAAAGGAATGGGCACGTAGCCATAATTCGGAATGAATCTGATCCCAGGGGGCACCTTGGTTTTCCCGCAACCTTCTAAAATGTTCATCATAAAAGTGCCAATTGGCCCCCTGGGTTGCTAACTCCTTGACCACTGATGCATATTTCATCAGGGCTGGCGTATCATGAGGTGCCTTTTCCGAATATGTGGCTACAAAGACTTGGAATGCTGATTGCCACTGGTCAATGGTTTGCAGTGACTGTTTCTTTTGGTTGGAGGCAATTACTATGGAGGGTTGTCCCCCATTGCTTCTTTCTATCTTAAACACAAACTCATCTTCTGCTTTACTCACAGTGTTATTTAGCAGGACAGTGAAATCTACATATTCGTTTGCCCATATTTGGGCTTTGACTTTTTGGGGCACTCTTTGCCCGAGTGGTATCGCAGCGGACAAGAAAGAGTTCTTACTTGTACGGGGTGTGTCCGTGGGCGGCACTGTCCCTGTCAACTGCTTAACTGCCTCCTCTACTGATCTGGTGACCGTGGAATGTGTATTTTCTTCAACTTGGCTCCGAGACACTGACCGGGAGATTTCCAGCCCTGAACTTGAAGCAGGGGCAGGAGCTGGCACAGGGTCTGGGACAAACTGTATTTGGGCAGAGGTCAAGTTGGTGGATGAGGGGAAAAAACCTTTGCACACGGCGGTGTGAAGACAAAGTGGCTTGTAACCTGGCCTGCTTCAACTTATATATCACCCTGGACATCACGTCCCGGATGTAACCACTATTCACATGATCTAAACTTAAACTCTGCCCCGGATAACTAAGCAGGACGCATAAAAACATTTACTCCCTCTCCTGGAGTAAATCTCCTTTAAAACGATCGTGCCTCCTCTAGTTACGTAGACTTAACAAGAGGAACAGCTGGGAGAAGGGCTTTAGTAAAACTACGAATAAGTAATCGCAAACTAATGATAGAAATAGGCAGATACAATCAAACTACGAAGGATAATAGGAATTGCCCTTTTTGGGGATACAATGCATACTCTATGATGGAATAAATTTTACTATAAAGTCAAGACTCTGATTCCAAATATTACCCAGTTACCTATAAACGGTTTGATCCATGAACTGACGAAATCTCCTGATTCCTTTATCAATATACCATTCATAAAATATATTTCAGCTTGAATTTTGATGTTCGTGACAAATTATTATCAAAGTAACGTAATTGCCCTGTGTTGTAATTTTGATTCCTAGACATAGCTTTTGCAATACTGCATGTGTTTGTATGGTCATGCAAATAAAGGTCGTTGTTGTTGTTGTTGTTACCCCTGAGTAATTATTATTCCATTTTCAAAGCACTGAAGCAAACAAAAACTGAGCCAGAAGTTCAAACGTTGCGTAAATTGACCGATATTGCAAATTAAAATCGAAAAGGAGACCTACTCTTGAGACTTTTGTAAAATCCTTTCTCAACTGAACTGTTTGTTTGCCGAAATTAATGTTCAACGTTTGTTGATAAAGGAGAACCTTAAAAACTAAAAGGATGTATTTGGCGGCCCTATTGTTTTTCTTCATTCCGGGGAGAGAGGTCATGTAGCGGCTCTTCTAACCCTAAAAGCCAAATGGTTTGCCACCCTAAACTAAAACAATGAAAATAATGATGAACAATGTTGTGTTAATGTTTTCGCCGACCGATGAAAAGACGGTGCTTACGAGCAGGGAGAGTATCGTACGGTCATAAGGTTCAGTCGGTAGCCGCGCGATCGTTAGTTCATAAATTTCTTCAACGTTCCCCGGCATGAACCAAGCCTAAAAGATTAATGATGGGTTTATTGTGAGCTTTATGTCTAGTTTCGATCAGTGAAAGATTTAATTCTACACGGAAATTTAAAAAAAAAAACAAAAAAGTCATCCTCGAAAACTGTCAATCACAATATAGAAGGAATATATACCTCTTTTAATTCGACTTGTCAGTGTTTACCAAGGTGGTTCAGTGGATAGAGGCGTTAACTTTTAGTTATAGCTGATTATGAGGGTCTGGGTTCGAATCAAATGGAATAACTTCTCACTATAGCGGACAACCTCGAGCCGTGACTTCGTCGTATAAATATGCAGCACAGAAGAAAAACGAAAAAGCTAACCCTTTTTGATCAAGTTATTATACTTATCTAGTTTAACGTTTAAACTCGAAGCTTAATATAGTGTAAAATAATTATAATTTACTTTTACCGGTATCACTTGTAATAATAATAATAATAATTTAAAAAGACTTGATTTGATGATCAGATTAAATGAATATAGCTTAAACTGGTACAAACGTGTAGCTGTTTCGTTAGAGAGGGTAGAGTTGGTGGATTGAGCCGATTAAATGTCACCCTGTCAGGGTGACATTTTGGGCAAGAATGTTTTTCCAAGGTGATAACTGTGATTGATTTTGTCCCCGTATTTTGGCGTATTCCAAATCATAAAGGCATTGTTATTTATTTAACTTTTCACTTTTTAGGCTTTTAAACCTGACTCAAATTTTCAAACTTAATTTCAAACTTAATCACCTCGCAATGAAAACTGCTCAAAATAAGTTTTAAAATCTTTATTTTATTATTAGTTGTGATAATTGATATTTCGCATTTAAAGTAATTATTGCCATACCTTAAATTTACGCTTATCAACTTCGTCAGGAGGGCCTATTAAGGGACGGTTGGTGGTTGGGGGCGGATGGCTTATAACCGCACTCAAATTCAGACAAGGTACACAAAAGTGCTGATCAAATGCAAGCTAGAGGTGGGGGAAGCTTATAACCTTACGTATTTTTTTGTTTACAGGTAGATGGCCCTATAACTAAGGGAGAAGGGGTTAAAAAAAAGAAACATACGGTATTCCCTCTTTTATTAAGCCCTCCTGAGGATCCTCAAGACAAAAATGATCATTTTTTATTTTGATTCCTGGTTTTTAGGATTTTGACTAAGACGATGCAACCCTGGTTGACTGCAGCGTTTTCATTGTTTCTGGCATGCTCGGTGAATGGTCTGGACGTGGTTTTAAACGACACGTGTGCTGGTCAGAGTGATATAAATGAAGTTGCAAATATGATCCAGGAAATTGACATAAAACTCGACCAACAGAGCTTAAAGCTGGATAAAGTCATCCAACTTTTACAGGGTAAGCTGGGTAAAATGGCTCTCCTCCCAGCATGGTCAACATGAAAAACGGTTCTTATTTTAGTGATTCTCATCTGAAGACGTGTCTCAAGCGCACTGTTAAAGTTAGAAAGAACTAACCCAGCCCCCAAGCTGGTCAATTTGTTCCTGCGGACCCAATGCCTTATTCACAGTCTCTCCTAACCCTCGGCTAGCAAAGCTGGAAGTGGTTTCTTTCCGGCATGGCGTTTATATTAGCATGTACGGAGTCGTTCGCGTCGCTGACCTCTCGAATTCTGAGTTTTGTACGTCTCTCGGGGAAGTAAATAAGCCAACTTAGGCGAATGTCGGCAACACGAGCCACTCCGTACATACTTACGGCCGTATATGACTCAGTTAACATTTTCTTCAAATTTTTAATGAACATTTGCGTTAAAATCTGCATTTTGGAGCAAATTGTAGCCATCGTATTGTGCATCTGTATTTCTTCAATCAACAACGGCTCCACTAACAGAGGCTGGTCTGCCTGTGCTGACGTTAAATTGACATTAAATATCGTCTTCCATTCTTCCATCCATAATTTCTTCCTTATGTCCTTACCAATACTTAATACTTACTTACTTACATACATACCTACTTATTACATACTTATTTACTTATCGATACTTACTCACTTACGATTACTAGGTGGGTCAGGTGGCGTCGGAGGTAGCGGACAATCGAGAGTTTCTAGTTGCAAGGAACGTTTTAATAAAGGATCGTGAGTACAACATAAATAGTTACGTCATGTTAGTAACATTTCTTGTTATTTTTGGGTTTCGTCATATAACAACCAACCTTTTTGGTTTTTCATAGTATCTTTCTTTAGTTCAACGGCTTTTTTCGCCTCTAATATAACCAGGCGCCCAGATCAGCTGTAACTCCATTGCAAATTAACGGCGGCTTGAGAATGGCGCGTGCACGTGCAGCACATGCATGCCCGGTTAGCGTTGTCCTAAGGGGATAAAGTGACTCCAATGGTTTTTATTAAAACAATTAATAAGGGCTGCAGAGTTTCTAGTAAATGCGGTCCTCTGCCGATTAAATTGTATTTATAATGAAAGCGCTTCTTAATTTTTCGAGTTTTAGGGCGGCGCTCTTTCAAGTAACTGCGATTTTCATTGGATATGAGGGCCTTGTTACATTTGTGGTCCATCTGCTTATAACATTTGAAGGCTTTATTACATTTGAAGTCAATTTTCACATTTGTGGCTTTAACGGCCTAACTATCCGTTTTACTGCTTTCCGAGCGGGTACATATTTTTTTTTTCCTAGCGGGTACATATAATTTTTAATTAAGGCCACACTCTACCCGATTCGGCTGGTGTTACATTAACTTGGCTTGGCTGTTGTAGATTGCTCCATAAAAATTTTTCTGTCCGACGAGTGATCAAAAGATTTTTATATTCTATTGTTATATTTATTCCTGTTTTTTTTTTTTTTTTTTTTTTTCACCATTAAAACTCAATCGTTTATTGCATCTGATAGACATTCATTTAATAAAACATGCAAAGAAAACAAATCTTTCTTTATTTCAGTGCCTCAAAAAACTATCATTTATCATAACTCAATATCCGTTTACTAGGATGCGTCAAAACAAAGCCTACTTGCTGAATGTGGGGTCTGAAATAATTCCTGTGTACTGTCATATGGAAGGTACAACTCAGCTTGAAGCATGCGGAGGAGGTGGATGGACTCTGGTCATGAAGATCGATGGCGAAAAGGTAGCAGCGGCATAGAAACAACTTTATTTATTATTCATTAAAAATATATTGCACATGTTCATGATTGGCTCCAGTCCATCGACTAATTCTTCATAATCAACCGGCGTTTACCATATTTGGAAGATGTAGGAAATATATATGATCGATTCGATGGTAAATTGCCTAATAATAACCCATCAATCAACCTCGTTTCCAGCGTCGCGGCAGCGTAGTTGCTTACGCCTGAGTGAAAACAAGGCGCTCAGGGCTATCCAAAGACAAAATAGCCGAATTTCTAAACAATACTCAGCCTCATTCAATATTAGTTAATTTTTATGCAGTTCTGTCACCATCTCAATAGTCCCTTTGAAGCAAGTCACTCAGTCACGTGATTCGCTTTGTCTCGACCTCTCGTATATATAGCCAGTCATATAATAAAGCCTCTTCACAGGTTCACTAGTAGAACCATGATGGCGGTCATTGACTATCATCACGACGAAATGTTTAGAGGAATCTCGCCATATCACGTCATTACTACCTTAGCGTGGGTATTTATTACATTATTTAAGGTCGTCTTAGCCTAATTATTCTCAAAACTGCATGTGGAGGGGGAGTAGGTTGGATGTGGCTGTTTCCAGAGCCCAGACGACCAAACTGAATAGTCTTGCCAACTTTTGGAGCAGAATGTGACCAAGAACATGTGAAAACGGTCTGTTAATTGACTACATATATATGACCATCATTTTCTTCTTTATCTGTTCAGAGAACCTTTCACTACGATTCCAGATTGTGGACCGACAAGAGGGAGCATCATCCTTCTTCAGGGAATACCCTGTTTGATCATCAAGAGACAAAATTACCCACCTACTGGAGCACACCATTTTCTAAGGTCTGCCTCGCTATGAAGATCGGTAGCCAAGTTAAATCGATCGTCATCTACAGAAACGCAAACTCCTTGTACTCCTTGATCGCTGACGGAAAATACCGTCCGACTTCACTGGGTCGTAACACCTGGAAGAGGCTGATTGGCGAACAGGCTTCGCTGCAGAGAAATTGTAATCGAGAGGGTTTCAATTCTGTGACATCATCAAGCAGGGCAAGAATTGGCATCATTGGCAACAACGAAAATGATTGCAAGACGTGCGACTCTAGAATTGGGTTTGGTACCGCAGGGCAGCTTGATGATAGCAACACCTGTGGAAACGTGGCAATGTATGGTGGGGACAATGGCGATAAGCACATAAAAGCCATGGGTTACATCTTGGTGAAATGAGTTTCAAAAAATCGGGTTCCAGTTCACGCGCCGCACAATGATCAATGGATTTTGCAACGCTTATAGAAAATTGTAGACTTATATTAGGCAATAGAGACCTTTAGATTCGAGGACGAGAACGACCACGAGTACGAGATTTTATATAAAGTTTTTTCGCATATTGTCCAAAAATAGACACCCCGGAATTCTTCATTGTACTTTTTTCACCAGAAAAGTTAGCACTGTTACCTCTCCCGATTGCAAAATGCTAAAACTTCTAACATTTGTTGACTTGTTCCCGCTACTACGACACTCTCGCTAAAACTCGTAGTAGAATGACGACGGCTACCACGTTTCCCGCCAAAATGACGCTGCCTAACGCGCGAGCACTACTTACTTTAGAGAAAATTTCGTACTCGTAATCGTTCTCGTCTCATAATCTAAAGGTCTCTAAATAGTTAAGGCCAGGACTATTTGTAGAAATTCTCAGTTTAATAAACGCATTGCTTAAAACAAACACTTTCTCTCTGTTTTCCTCTGTCTCCATCATTCCTGGCCATACGGTCAGGCCCTTCTGTTAGCCACATCAGTGCTTTTAAGATCCCTAAGCAATGCATTCTGCTTTCTCCACCCTCTCTACACTCCATACACACTTCCTTCCCCCAAAAAACTTCGCAAAGATACAGGTGTCCTATTGGTAAAGACTACGAACAGCCTGCAAGCAAGCCAATCTAAGTCGTCAAGTTGAATAATTGCAGTGCTGGTCACTGAGTTAAAGGGATACGAAGCAGTCTCGTTTCTGTTAATGATAACTGACAGGGAATTCAAGGTTTCACGATGGCACTGGCAACAAGAGTTTCATGATACAACAGTTTAATCAACAAAATATCAATTCATACTTGCATCACAACGTGGTCTTTGTTCGACTTAAGGTTGTCGCGTTTTCAGATGCAGAGAAGGCAGCGGGTGTAAGGTTCTCTGCTCGCTTCTTTCGGTTGTTAAGTAGATCTTATGGCGCTTGAGAATTCAAGCACGCTTTGATATATGTATTAAGTTGTCTCGACCCAGCATTTTTGTGAGGATACCTTCTATCTTTGAACCTCTTATACTTCTAACAGCTTGATCTTTCAGTATTTTAAATCCTTCAGTATAACACAAGGATTACCCATAGATTGAACTTTATTATGATATTTCGTGACAATGATGTCACAATTGTTTTAGCTTTTAATTAGACTGTGTAGCAGGCGCTTCACAGTAATAGACACAAGAAAGAACGGAACGAGCGAGAGAGTCTTGCGTGTCTCTGTGGCGTGTCCCGCTCTCATACCCAACCTGGACTTCCAAGCGCCTGCTACGCAAGCTCGGCTCTCAATCGAATTCCAGTTTTTACTCACATGCACGTTTATTCTAAAAATGCTCTACACTACGTATAATTTGGGTGCTTACCTTATGTTGTGCGGAGTTTCCCAAAAATGTTATGCGCAAAGAAACTGTACACGGGCACCGGTTGTTCAAAGGCTGGATTACGCTGGATTACGCTATTCATTGAAAAAATACCTACATCCAGTGGATAACGCAATCGGTTTCTCTAATACTTAATATCCCCTGAATAGTGATTATCAAGTGTATAGCGCTATCCAACATTTGAACAACCGGTGCTAGGACAAAATTAACTAGTATTCGCACATCTCAATTAAACAAGCAAGAAGGAAAACCTAATAGTGAAAAAAAAAATGGATGTCACACTTAGTTAGTTAAATCTTACAGCAAGAACACGGCGTGCCACTCACCCTTACCCCAAAGGGAAACACCGTGACCGAGTGTTTACCTATGATTAAACCGTTAAGTAAACTGGATTTGTTCTTACAAACAAACAAAACAATCTCGTTATAAATTCAGTTAACCTCTCGATGTCTTGATATCGGATGGAGAACTTCCTGTCGTGTTTGATATTTTCAACAAAATTAAAACAAAATGAACGTAGTCGAGTCCCTCAGGGGAATTATCCGACATACAAGTCGAACTCAGTCACCCACTGAAAAAAATTGTTTGTTGAACAATCGATTCATAATGATTCAGCTGATGATTATGATGATAAGTGTGGAGAATCTTTTATCTAAAAAAGTTGGCTGAGTTTGAAGACCACGATGAGCAATTTGAAAGCATCATTTTCAAATTGGAGAACAAGTATAATTAGTAAATATGGAACTTTCTAAAAGAAATCAGTTGAATAACAACGAATCGAGAAAAGCAAACTCGGGAAAGTGTCAGTTGTTGCATGTTTGACTAAAATAGAAACAATAAAAATCACTACCCCGACGGTAGATTGGATATCGGATCTTAATATTACCATTAACTTTTGAGAACTTTTGCTTTTTCTTTCCTTTTTGTTTCTTCTAAATTATACTGTTCATTCACGAAGCTTTCAGACACAACAACACAATCTAGTTTTAAATGCAATTCACTTCTCAGTGTCTGGATATGCGGGGATGAAAAACATCGTTTCCTGTTTTATATTTTCAACATTACAAAATGAACTTATCCAACATACAAGTCGAACTCAGGCACCCACTGAAAAAAATGTTTCTGCGTATGACAATACGTAAAGAATCAGCTGATGATTCTGATGATATAAGTGAGAAGAATCTGTCATCCAAATTAAAAGTTGGCTGAGTTTAAAGAGCAGGATAAGAGCCATTTTAAGGCAACATTGCAAATTGGAGAACAATTGTTAAGTAAATATGGAATTTAGTTTAAACTAATTAAAACAATTTGAATAACAACGAATCAAGAAAGACATAAACTCGGGCAGGTGGTAGTTGTTTTCTGACTAAAGTAAAAACAATCAAGGAAATCATTACCCTGACCGTGGATCGGAATCTTAATATTACCATAATTTTTGCGAATTTTACTTTTTCAGCTTTCCTTTTTATTTCTTCAAAATTATTGTTCATTTAAGGAGCTACATCAAACACGACAACACAATCTCGTTTTAAATTCAACTCACCTCTCGATGTCTTGATATCGGACGAAAAACTTTGTGCCGTGTTTCATATTTTCACTGATACCTAAATGAAAATAGTCGAGTCTTAAATTATCCCACATTTAAGTCGAACTCAGTCACTCACTGGGAAAATTTGCTTGTTGTACAATTGATTCAGAACTATTCAGCTGATAATTATGATGATTAGTAAGGAGATCAAATCTGTCATCCAAATTTTAAAGTTGGTTGAGTTTAAAGATCAGGAAGAGCCATTTGAAGGCATCATTTTCAAATTGGAGAACAATTGGAAAGTACACTGTATATGGAATTTAGTTTACTTATTAAAACAATTTGAATAACAACGAAACAAGAAAAACATAAACTCGGAAAAGTGCTAGTTGTTTTCTGACCAAAATTCTGGCCAACATTCATTGGAAATCACTTACCTGACGATAGAGTGGATATCGGTTCTTAATATTACCATTAACTTTTGCGAACTTTGCTTTTTCTTTCTTTAAAATTATAGTTCAGTTAGAAGCTACATCAAACACGACACGCAGTCTCGTTTTAAATTCAACCTACCTCCCGATGTCTTGATATCGGATGAAAAACTTAATGTCATGTTTGATATTTTCTACATTGCAAAATAAACATAGTCGAGTCTAATTATCCCACATACAAGTCGAACTCGTTCACTCAGTGAAACTTTGTGCCGTGTTTCATATTTTCAACATGACTAAATGAAAATAGCGGAGTTTTAAATTATCCCTCATTTAAGTCGAACTCAGTCACTCACTGGGAAAATTTGCTGGTTGAACGATAAGAACAATGGAAATCACTACCCTGACGGTCGGATTGGATATCGAATCTTTATATTACCATTAACGTTTGCCAACACAATCTCGTCTTGAATACAACTCGATGTCTTGATATGGGATGAAAATCTTCGTGTCCTGTTTGATATTTTCAACATTACAAAATGAACTTATCCGACATACAGGTCGAACTCAGTCACCCACTGAAAAAATTTATCCAAAAAAGGTGGCCTAGTTTAAAGAGCAGGATGAGCCATTTGAAGGCATCATTTTCAAACTGGAGAATAATTATAATTAGTAAATATGGAACTCAGTTGTTACTTATTAAAACAAATCAATTGAATAACAGCGAATTAAGAAAAACAAACTCCGGGAAAGTGTTAGTTGTTCTCTGACTAAAATAGAAACACTGCAAATCACTACCCCGACGGTAGATTCGATATCGGATCTTAATATTACCATTAACTTTTAAGAACTTTGCTTTTTCTTTCCTTTTTGCCTCTACTAAATTATAGTTCATTCACGAAGCTTTCAGACACGACAACACAATCTCGTTTTAAATGCAATTCACCTCTCAATGTCTTGATTTTATATTTTCAACATTACAAAAAGAACTTATCCAACATATTCAAGTCGAACTCAGGCACCCACTGAAAAAAATTGTTCTGTGTATGATTGATACATAAAGAATGAGCTGATGATTCTGATGATATAAGTGAGGAGAATCTGTCATCCAAATTAAAAGCTGGCTGAGTTTAATGAGCAGGATAAGAGCCATTTTAAGGCATCATTGTAAATTGGAGAACAATTGTTAACTAAATATGGAATTTAGTTTAGTTATTAAAACAATTTGAATAACAACGAAACAAGAAAAACATAAACTCGGGAAAGTGTTAGTTGTTTTCTGACCAAAATTCTGACCAACATTCATTGGAAATCACTACCCTGATGGTAGATTGGATATTGGATCTTACTATTACCATTAATTTTCGCGAACTTTCCTTTTTCTTTCTTTTTTATTTCTTGAACTATAGTTCATTTATGAAGCTACATCAAACACGACAAAACAATCTCGCTTTAATTTCAACGTACCTCCGGATGTCTTGATATCAGATGAAAAACTTAGTGTAATGTTTGATATTTTCAACATTACAAAACAAACATAGCTAAGAATAGTCGAGTCTAATTATCCCACATACAAGTCGAACTCGTTCACACACTGAAAACATTTGCTGGTTGAACAATCGATTCTTAGATTCAGCTGATAATTATAAAGTTGGTTGAGTTTAAAGGGCAGAAAGAGCCATTTGAAGGCAACATTTTCAAATTGGAGAACAATTGTAAAGAAAATATGGAATTCAATTTACTAATTAAAAACGTAAACTCGGGAAAGTGTTAGTTGTTTTCTGACAAATAAAAACAAAGGAAATCACTACCCTGACTATATTATCAAGATCCGATATCCAATCCGACCGTCAGATCTCGTTTTGAATGCAGCTCGATGTCTTGATATCGGACGAAAGCTTCTTGTCCTGTTTATATTTTCAACGTTACAAAACTGAGCTTATCCGACATACAGGTCGAACTCAGTCACCCACTGAACAAATTTGCCGGTTGAACAATTTATTAATAATGATTCAGCTGATGATTTTGATGATAAGTAAGGAGAATCTGCCATCCAAATTTAACGTTGGCTGAGCAGGAAGAGCCATTTGAAGTCACCATTTTCAAATTGGAGAACAATAAGTAAATATGAACTTTAATTTACTAATTCAAAACAAATTGAATAACAATCAATAAAAACATAAACTCAAGAAAGTGTTACTAGTTTTTCTTTTCTGCCTAAAATAATGAGATAAAAGTTTCCTTTCAGAGTCCCAAAAAACTTCCTAACAGTCTCGAACTCTGGCCCTTATTTCGAGACATTTGGTTGCGTGAATCGCCTGAGATCACGCGAGATCAGTTCGATCTCTTTCAAGAATCCAACAGTGGGGAAGGCGTGACCGATATTTAGGTTTTCTTGGACTCTGGGGAGAAACGTTCCAGCTGTATCGATCCAATATGACGGGACACTCTTTTTACGAGACCCTTTCGTTAAATTGCAGATAGGTTAAAGTTAAACCTTAAAAGGGAAAGATTCTCTTTGAGAACCACCGACCAAGAAACAATGACAATAAATTATGTAATTTAGCCTTGTATCCGTGGCCACAAGAATTGTCATTCAATTCAATGTTTAAATAAGTATCTGAAGTGGTTAGATATGGGTTCTCGGATATAAGTTTTCAGTTAGATATTCATTGAACTCTCAGCTAAAATATTTATAGTATTTCTTATCTGTACCAGTTATTTCTTTGAATCTTAGACTCATTTATCACTTAAGATTCCTAGCCGACAGTTAAAATTTTAAAATTGCCAGTTAAGACTAGAATGAGATCACCAACCACTGAAGATTAGTAGTGGCTGCCTGACAAACCGAAAATTTTTTCTTAGACCCAGTGATGACACTGATTAGTGTGATAATCTGAGAAATTAATTCGATATAAGTGGATATTTTTCAATGGGTATTTGAAGGCGAAAAAACGCATTGACACTTGAAGCTTACCCAGGGATCAATTGACTTTTCAAAGTAGACAACTTAAATGAAAATGTAGCCAGTGACTTTTACTTTGGCCAAATTTACATGACAACACTAATTGAGAAAAATCTTAAAAACTTTGCCTTGACATAATAAGTTACAGAAAAACTGTATAAGCCTGTAGACTCTAACTAGCATATTTGTTTTAGTATCAATAAAAGTTTGATGATGTAAACCTACACCATTTTACGTAGTTTCAAGTTGCAACATTGGAACCTTCCATCTTGCGTAGGTATTTAATCTCGTCTCCTTCTCTCTGAAATTCATAGTGCCAAGAATCGACCTGTCGTTCTCATAACATTGTTGGGTTTTGTTAAACTGTGGTAAGTTTATTTTTTTGTTTTGCTGTAAATTTTATTCATGATTCCTAACGTACCAAATTATAATAATTAGTTTGTTGGTTACCCAATTTGTTGATTCTAAAACTGAGTGATCTTTTCGAGTACTAGCTGGTTCGCCAGTACTCTTGTTAACTAGATCACTCGAATCAAGCGCTATAGTGAAGAAAAATAGTCGTTCTTGCGAAAATATGGGCGGCTTCTTTGAATGTCATCATTTTCCTGGTCTCCTTATATAATATAAAACTAAGGCCCTCGGGTAGCTCTCTCAGTTCTCGGAGATAGCAAACAGCTCCTGCCAATCTCTTGCCTGTTTGTAAAAATGATACTCCTGTGATACGAAAATTATATAATTTTCAGCAATTTTCTCTAGTTTTGTGTTTTTCTAGTTTAGAAACCTTACTATACACGTGTTAATTAAGTTGGGAATTTTTGGAAATACAGCTATAACACCAACTACGTTAACGTTAAGAATCCTTTTCTAAAACTTTTGTCCAGTTTTATAAAATTTACAACAATTCGCGAGCTGGGAAGATGATGATCAATGAGGCGCACATCTATTATAAAGTATCATATAATTACTTATCATTTATTGTTCATAGTTTGATATCCTGCTTTCTTTCTCGCCTTTTTTTTTTGCGAATTTTCTTAAACGGACCAGGCTCCGCTTAGGGGAAAAAAGGCAAAAAAAAGGTTCAAATAGGTGAACGAAGCGAGCCCAGCGGCGGTCTGGGGAGAGGAAGTAGTTGGCGGATAGAACCAGTTACAAACATCCTGATTTGGGCAGAAATTTGTTTTCAAGCTGAAAACTGTGACAGATTTTTTTCCTGATATTTTGGCGTGAATATAACAATTTAGTAAAATCCAACTAGTGGTCTATTATCAATGCTGCGTTCTGATTGGTTGAGCCACTACTAGACTATATGTTATAGCCCACTAGTAGCGAAAAGCGCCGGCTTTGAAAACCTAAACAATGGCGGCTGGGCGAAAGTTTACGGTCTTCCCTCAATTTATTTAACTCTCCTGGGGATCCTTTAGACATAAATCATCATTTTTTCATTCTAGGTTTCAGGAATTTGACGATGCAATTTTGGATGACACTAGCGGTTTCATTGTTGATGGTAGGCGCATGCTCGGTGAATGGCCAGGAAGCAGTTTTAAACGACACGTGTGGAGCTTGTGAAATAACCTGTAAGCTCTTCTCTTAGTATTGCCAGAATGGAAAACGGTTCTTAATTTTTTTTGGTCCCATTAGAAAACGGGTTTCAAGTGCACTATTAGTTATAGAAAGATCTGACTCAGCTCTAAAACCTCAGTTTGGTTCTGTGGACCCAACTTCTTATTCATTAACCTCTTTTTACGGTATGGCGTTTAGCACTGATGTACGGAGTCGTTGGTGCCGCTGACCTCGCCAAGTTTGGCTTGTTTATGTCTCTCGGGGTAAACAAGCTAACTTACGCGAATTTCAGCAACGCGGACGACACAATACATGCTAAGACCATGACAGAAAGCCTCAAAGACGTATTCAAACCAGTTTTAAGCTTGCCAATCATTCCAGCAAACCATGGCAGTCTGCTCTCTCTTTCTTCACCAAAGCAACAAGAAAATTCGCAAAAATCCAAAGAAAAACTTCATCTTTCAATTTGGCTCTCCAATGGAATCACAACGACTCTTTTCATTCAATGATTTTTTCTTGTTTTTCACATTAACATGTTTCCACTAACTTATTTATAGCGGAGCTCTCTCACGCGGCTCGTTAGTCCGCACCACAGGCATACCAATGTAAAATAATTCAATCAACAGGTATGGCAACCCAAACGAAATTGGAGATTTCTTTGGGGGAAATCGCATGGCCAGGCGCGTCTTGTAAAGCAGAGGCAATTAAAGAGTCAGTAAGACAAAATGTAAAGCGAAAATTGTTTCGAACTATTGAACTAAAAACGATAAAGAACGAACAACGACAAAAAAGCGTATTTAGTTTGCTTCGGCAAGAGATAATGCTCATTCTCTCTTGGCTTCGGCTCGTACTTTCAGCAAATGAACTCAACATTTGTTTTCAAAAATCGATAAACTCCTTCTATTTTAAGAACAGAACAGACCCATCTCAATTCATTTTAAGTAAAAGTAATCTCTGTTCGGCTGGCCAAAGTTAAGTAGTTCAGTGAAGAACAATTTCGCGTTGCATTTAGGTGCTCTTTTTTGCAGCTTTATAATCTTAATAAGAGATTCCCGTAGGCTCGTGTATTGAACGCACTTATCGACTTAATTGGTTCTGTCGTTGTTAGCTCTCGCGCATAAGAGTCTTTTCATCACCGCTGGTTTACAGGCACAAAAAGTCGCCTCTAAAAACAAATTAGTCGGTCTTTTACCATACGCCTCTGCAGTAAGAAACGCAATAACTATTGCATCTTTTCAACTACATGAACATAATTAAAAATTTTTGTTATTAACACAAATAGTGGGAGGAAGGTCAAGTTCCTCCTACCAAGCACCTCCCCCTACACGCTCTCTTACTTTTAGGTCTAACATTCTTGGAACTTTTAGGGATAAGGTATATCATTCTGCTCCAAGAGTTACAAGGATAAGGAATAACAAGACCCAGCACCACCGCCCCCCCCCCCCCCTACCTGCCCCCCATAACTGTGGCCTCATTATAAGCATATAAACGAGATCTTCACTTTTAGCCCCGGCTAAACCTATATATTGAATTATTTCAACGTCATACATGTTTGGGTTTAATTTAACCCCTTCACTGCCTAAAAGTAGCCAAAGTCAAAATTAACAAATCTCCCTCTTTTATTGTAAAATATTGAAAAACAAATAGTATAAGCAGGAGCCATAATCTGGATTATGACTCCTGGTACCAGCTTGGTGAAATGCACGGTGCCTAAAAAGGTTTACAATATGGTTACAACGGCGGAGAGTTTACTCACACATTCAAAACCTCAGGAACAACCTCACAAGACTTTATAGTTCCCTCTAGCAGTGAAAGGGTTAATTTCAAGAGGGGAGGAAAGGTTTAACCCTCGGTTGTACACGCAAATTCATACCCCAAACGTGGTACAATCGGGGGTGCATGGAACCCATCCCCGGCGTTTTTGATGTTACGTTGCAGTATTTCGAAACGGTGTTACCTTTAGTGGAAAGCCTTTGATCTTCTTAACAAGGTGAGGTATATTTTATGTGTGGTGGCGCTGCTGGAGGCCTGTGACGTCACCAACAATGGTCACCATCTTTAATTTTACTAAGGATTTAGAAATCAGCTTAAAACCGTGAGAAATGATAATTTTTTGTGCTTTACATGAAAAATATCACATAAATAAGAACTTTGCAGGATTTTAGCCGCAAGATTTCCTTTCATTGTTGAAAGAAGTTGAAAAGACATGTATTTTCACCAAAAAGTGGCTTGACCACCTGCTACTTATGACGTCATATCTCGTAACCATAGCAACTGACCATCACTAAACTTCTCTCAAAATGTGCCCAAAGGATAAACGAACAGCTACTGAAAACGTCAGGTGCTGATGTTTTATCCTCTAGGAAAAAACTCAGAAAACCTTAGTGGGGTGGCATCCAGACCCCCCCCCCTCCTCCCCATCCCCTTGTACGTCCCAGGGTTAAAAGAATTCTTACTGTAAAAAAATAAGACAATCATGATGCAAAAATCTACTGAATTTAAATGTTCCCTTCCATTTTCCATTCTTTCTTCCTTCCTTCCTTCCTTACCTACTTGCTTGCTTGCTTACTTACATATATATATATAACTTTTACTTACATTATTACTTACTTATTTACTTACTTACTAGGTGGATCAGGTAGCGGACAAACGACTTTGAGTTGCAAAGACATTTACGATGCGGATCATTCGTGAGTAAAGCATACGTAATAACGTAGCAACATTTTTGATTACTTTTTTTGGTTTCGTCATAGAACACCCAACTTTTTTTCATATCATAGTATCTTTCTTGAGGTTCAGACTAATACAAGGGCTTTTTCTGCATATATTATAAATAGACGCCCAGATTAGCTGTAACTTCATGCATGTGGCATGGGTAAGTGTTGTCGTTCTAAAGTACATAAGGTAACTCCACTGGTTTAAAGGGACAGTGTCTCTCAAGTTCGAGCATTATACTACATTGCCACTGACAAAGATCTCGGAAAACGTTCACCACACTTATTGAATTAGATGTAGAAGACAACTTGTTATGACCAGTTAGAATTTCAGATCTTAAAGAAATTTATCGAGCTGTTTCCAACTTATTAGTTTTTAAAACGTTTCTAAGGAGTTGTCCACATTGGAATGAAACAGTCGGTTAAAGACTTGAACAATTTTCCCTCATTATATCAATATCCATTCAATAGGGCGCGTGAAAACAAAGCCTACAAACTGAATGTTAATTCTGAACAAATTCCTGTGTACTGTCACATGGTAAAAGCTGAGCTTGAAGCATGCGGAGGAGGTGGATGGACGCTGGTCATGAAGATCGATGGCAAAAAGGTAACAGAAACATGCAAACAACATTCTTTTCTAGGCTAAAAGTTGCTTTAAAAATTTATAACTATTTTTCAAAGCGGCAGACACCTACGGCGCTCTCCCCACAACAACAAAAACTATAATCACACGATATAATAGGGAGAATTATCAAGGCTTCGTTGTCGGCAGATAACCGGACTAGCCTTGATAATTCTCGGTATCATGCGCAACCAATATGCAAAAACCGATCGATCTTAATTATTGTTTAGACACACGGTGAATTCATGATCTAATCATCAGTCAAAAGGCACACATGAAATCAAACATTTAACGTCATGAATCAATTTGCTCACAAAGTTTTGCATTGATTATAGCCGTTTACCATCTGAAAGTTCCAGGTCAATCTTATACATTAGATTACAAACAAGATTAATAGCGAAAGCCTTCGTCTTTAAAAGTAACAAGATCAACTTAAACATTGTCCCTCCAACTATTGGCATCTTGTCAAGGGGTGTCGTACGAAAACCATTCTTGGTTTTTAACGAATTTACCTGAAAATGGATTTTAGTTCGCAGAGAAGAGATGTGCTTTTGTTCTGACCACCAACATAGCTGCCATGATGTCATCTGCAAACCAGCAATTTTCAGCAAAATGACGTCACTTTGCATGTAATTAATATGTATTTACAAACTTTTGTCTGCAAGAGTGACGCAGCGAAACTATTGCCGGCTAACATTAGCAATCTTCTTGTAATCAGTCAGAATACGCACTTAATGTAGCTAGTCGTTCACGTGATAAAAAAAATCCGCCTTGCTGGGATGGAGAGCAAGGGATGCACTAGGGGAAAAGACAAACAAAGGAAATCACCATTTTAAATGATGTGGGCCTCTTGTCTGTTTTGTTCAAGTGTGTCCTTTACTCTCCAGCCAACATGGTAGTTTGGTTACATGAGAATGACTAGCTACAAAGGGACTATCGAGATAGCGACAGAACTGTATCTACAACAGCCAGTTTCGACGGACGGAAGAGTCAAGAATGCCAGTCACATGGCACGTTTCTTTATGATCAATCACGGCAATTCTATTTTCAATTGATTGTGTTTCATTTATACTGCGGCTGCGCAGTAAGCAAAATTCTCTACCATACTATAGCGAATGCTGCGAACCTTGCTCGTTTTGTCACGTTAACATTTTCATCCAAAACTTAATTCAAGCTTTTTGTGTATTTTATCTCTATACATTTTGAACAATTGGATTACCATGATTATGGGACACATGTACAGTAAACATGAACTTTTGCTCCCTAAAAATATACTGTCATATACCACCCTTACCTCCCCATAACGGCCACCTCTCCACAACGGGCACTTTCTTCTGTTCCCACTGCATGGTGGCCCCTGTAGAGAGGTTCAACTAAATGCAGAACGTGGAGGTTGTTATTGAGGCTGAAGGCCGTGGCGGATGACATCCTCGTGCATCTATATTTTTGTTTTATCATTTTATCAAAATATTTCTAAGTTCTTAGCAACGAAGGTTTCCTACAAGATTTCGGCTTTATTGACAAATGGTGAGGTAAATGTGGTAGACTCACAGTTTTGGTAGACTTCCAAAAAAGTCTGTTTTAGTTGCTTTTTCATGAACCGAGACCAAGTTGAGGTCCATAAAAACGCATATAAGAACCAGCCCAGTACCAGCCATCTTGACCGAACATTTTCGTAAATCAAGGATTTATATATAAGGCCAAAAGGAAATTAATCTCGTGAGAACGAAGCAGGAAATCCCGACGGGACACAGAACACAGGATTCGCTTTATATTGACCGGTCGTATGGCCAGTCACGGACAAAGACTCAGTTCCACTGACCTTCCTTATTAAAACCGAGATGGCGGCCGTTGACCTTCATCACGTCACGACATGCCTGGAGGAATCTCGCCATGTAATGTCGTTTATTTTAGCTTGGGTATTTATTACATTACGTTCTTCGGGTTTGATTGTTTTAGCTTAAATATTCTCAAAACTACTTGTAGATGGGGAGGAGGCTGGATGTAATTGTCCCCCAGGGCACAATTTGACCGCCACGATGTCATGCGAGAACTGTCTGTTAATTGACGATGTATTATTATCATTTCTTTATTCGTTTAGGACACCTTTCATTACGATTCCAAATTGTGGACCAACAAGAACGAACTCAATCGTCTGGGAGGGACACTGCTTGATCATCACGAGACAAAATTACCCACCTACTGGAGCACACCATTCTCTAAGATTTGCCTCGCAATGAAGACTAGCGACAGCCAAGTGAATTCGATCGTCATCAACCAAGCCGCCAATTCATTGTACGCCTTGATCGCTGACGGAGCTGAAAAACGTTTCACGAAGAACCTGGGTCGTCACACCTGGAAGAAGCTGATTGGCAATCAGGCATCTTTACAGATAAATTGTAACCGGGAAGGTTTCAATTTAAAGTCGCCAAATTACCACAGCGAAGCAAGAATCGGTATCATAAGTAACCAGGAAAATGACTGTGCTTCCCCTGACTCCAGAATTGGGTTTGGCACTGGGGGATATCCTAATGGTCACAACACCTGTGGAAACGTTGCATCGGCAATTCATCATCCAGACAATGGCGGTAAAGATATTAGAGCCATGGGCTACATCTTGGTGCAATGAGTATCAAACAACCTGGTTCCAGTTCACTGCCGATAAAAATCAAAGTATTTTAAAACGCTTATAGAAACAGGAAGAAATTGTAGAAATGAAAGTTGAATAAACGCATTGCTCAAAACAACCACTTTTATCTGTTATCCCAGGTTTCTATCATTCATGGGCGTAGGGCGGCATCTTCTATCAGGCCATCCTATCAGCCACATCATTGTAGTAGCGCTTGATCCCGATAAAAGTTATTCCTGTGGGTAAAGGCTGGGTATACTGCTTTAACCCCTTACATGGCTGAAGTGGGCTGACAGTAAAAAGGGCATCAGAACATAACCACTGCTGTAATAAAAATTCCTAATCTGCAAACACGGGAGAAAGAAAAGTGGAAATTGCGCCGGACCGTCGACCCGGCTGACACGAGATCTTTTTATGCGTTTGTGTTTGTTGGGGATTAAACAGCACTATGCATATGAGGAGAATCGAATCCAGTGTCACCAAACTTTTCTTAAATTGAGTGACAATCTGTTGCCTACAGTTTTAGTTCTCTAAAGCCCACAGAACATAAATACACATAAATTGAGAAAGAGACCCCGACTATCGTTCATGTCTCCCAAGAGTTCGATCAATTGTTTTTTGGCAAAGGAGACATCACAGTACATACCAATCAGGTCCGTGGGTCATTCGTCCATTTACTTTTCAATTAAAAATTAAAAATTGAAAATCGATGTCAATTTTTGATTTTCCATTTTTTTTCTTCCTGTATAAGGGATAAACATGTTTCATAACTCTTTTTTCCGTTTTCCCCTGTAAACACAGCTCTTATTTGCTAGAACCAATATTAACACGGTTATCGAACCATGGATATTTTCGCTATTCGCGGGAAAATCGTTTCCGCAGTCATCTGTTAACTACAATGACGTGAAATTAGAAAAATAAAAATAAAAATTGAATGTCGCGATCAATTTTCAATTTTTGTTTTTGGACGAAGAATTGATCAATCGATCACGCTCTAAGTGACAAAAGTACCAAAAGGGGAGGACCCAAGTGCAGAAGTGCCCAGGAGGAGTGGGGGTGGGGGCGGGGGATAGAAGGGAGACGGGATTGCAATTGTCCGCCATCTTTAATGTCGGATACGTCCTGGGAACTAGCCTTAGGAAAGAAGCGGGAAATACAACTTTGGAGTGCTGTTTCAGCCTAAATATGGACGCCGTAAACGTCGATTTCGCGAGAGATCTTGTTGTGACGCAGGGAAAAACACATTCACAAGTCAGTTTGTTGCTACAAGAAGCATATCCTGGAAAGAAAGAGAGGCTTAAGTTCGAGGTCCGTTAGAAGGTGTTGCCTTAAAAATGGAATACACGCGCAAAATCGGCTGTCAAACGAAGAGCTGGAACACTACACGAAACAAGTTGTTGCTCGGGTGGGTATTTTTGCTCGAAATTCTTTTTTTTTTCCTGTGGGGAAAAAAATGGTTGAATTAAGAAATTTTTTATAAAGTAACATCATGAATGGAAATTATTCGGAGAAACGTTGTTGGTACCACACGTAAACCGTTCATCACCAACCTTCACAATCTTTTCAAGGCTACCGGTCCATAAAGACACCCTGTTCAAGGCGCTAAATAGTTAAATTGTATAACCTGTTTGAGACTCACGACCCGGATACCACACCTTGTTCAGCGCCACGTACCCTTCTAGGCCAAATAAGGGACTGCGCCCCTAAGGGGGCAGAAGAAATCCTCATTCTATTCCAAATCAACATTGATCACCATTGGCAGACTGATATATGTCTAACACATTTAAATTTCACCATCATAGTAGGAGTAAAACCTTACCTTTTCTTTAGGCAAAGTCTGGAAGTCTCAGCCAAAATGCAAAAACTATGACGTTGCAAATTGAAGACACCAAAAGCAGGTTCCTGTCTCTGTCAACTCCCTCTTAGCCTGTGTGCAGACGTCCCCCCTCCCTCAGAAAAAAATTGAATTTTTTTTCCGGTGGAGGGGTGGAGGGGGGGGCGGCGTCTGTACACAGGCTACTCCCTCTTAACTAATCAACTTTCAATCGGATGGACACTTTTTAAATTGGCAACTTGGAGATGTCTCCCAAAGGTGTCCATCTCAAAGAGAGAACTCAACCCCGACCCCCGTCCCTATAGTGTTCTATTTGCAATTCAAGATGGAGTCTTTGTCGGGTAGCATGTAGCTTGGACAAGTACAAGGCCCTTACTCCCCCACCACAGTCCCTTCCCCTCTTCCCTCCCCTCCCCTACTGGACACTTCTGCACTTGGGTCCTCCCCTCTTGGTACTTTCGTCACTTAGAGCGTGATCGATTGACCAATTCTTCGTCCAAAAACAAAAATTGAAAATTGATCGCACATTCAATTTTTAATTTTCTTTCCTTAATTCACGTCATAGTAGTTGACAGATGACTGCGGAAACGGTTTTCCCGCGAATAGCGAAACAGTATCTATGGTTCGACGACCGTTTTAATATTGATTGTAGAAAGTAAGAGCTGCATGTTTATTTTCTCATTTTTGTTTACTGGGGAAAACGGTAAAACAATTATGAAACCTGTTTATCTATTACGCAGGAAGAATAAAATTGGAAAATCAAAAATTGACATCGATTTTCAATTTTTAATTTTGAATTCAAAATTAAATGGACGAATGACCCACGGACCCAATCATAAACCCTTGGAGGCGATTGTCAAACGTTCCTTAGCACTTGCTCCCCGTCGTCTGCAAAGCATGCTGTAGAGCTACAGGGTCAGAGTGTCGCGAGGGCTGCACCCTTAACTTCGTATCGCTGACGCGCTATCTCGAGCATCTTTTCCAATGTTACTGACGACAATAAACTTACTTACAAAATAGTAATTACCTCATTTGTTGAGCATAAAATTCATAAATTGTTTGAAGTTAGCTTGCCTTTTGTGTAATCTTTTCCCTTGACGTGAGATTAATTTTGCTCTCTTTGATTTTTGTTTCTAAAATGACGTCACTTCTTTGGGCGTGATGTTTTCTTAAAGATGCTAAATTTCGTCGTAACATTTTCAAAGTTTATGACGTACTTTATCAACGATAACAGGACAGACGCATTAAAAGGATGACGTCAGTTTACTACCACATGAAAAAAGTCAAGAACGCGATAGCGTCAAAATAAGCAACTAATCATGCATAAGCCGATAACGCATTAAGAACATTTCCACGTTATAATTGACTTTTATCGTATTAATCGAAAGCAACCCATGTGCAATTAAAAAATATCCAAGGCCCGGTGGCTTTTCTTCCTTAAGGTCGACATTACATTGATATTTATATTACAATACAACTAAATCACTGTCTTGGGGTGTTGGTTTTTGTAACTTTTTTTAATTCCCCTTTCTATGGAGATCCTGAAAACTGGCGCTGGGACCGGCTTTTACAAGACCTTTAAACAACGTGTTGATATAAGTTTTGAGTTACGAGTTTTAGGGTAAGTTAACACTGACATCTTTTGCGCCTACACGAAAACCATACCGGCCGGATAGGGCTTCTGCCTGTTCACACATAACGCTGATTTCGGCGCGATTTCTGTAACGGCTGTAACGGAGAGAAGCTGCACTGCACTGATCTCTAAGTGGAGGGTTACATTTCGGGTAGGTGTTCATATTATATCGGAATGAAGCAAAATTGAGTAGTTTGCTAGCCAGGACCCGCTCAATTTTTCTTTATTTTTCGATTTGAATATTTGATTTCGGGCCCGAAAAGTTTCCGGGACGTTCAAGAAACGGGCCCCAGTAGCTTTACCATTGTAATGTCAAACATAGCCTTAGATTCACGTTTACAGCAAACGCTAATCGCCTCTTTCAAGGTGACAATTTTTTTTATATTTAGAAATCAGCAGAAATAATTCATAATGGATGAATCTGGCATGAATTAGATACTATTTTTTGTATTATAAACAGTAAACGTGGTACAAATTGACGTTTGCTGTTTTTCGTAAACGTTAATTGAAATCTTAAAACCCGTCTCCTTTGTTAATGAACTTTAAAGTATTGTATTGACCAATAAAAACGTTGCATTAATTTAGACCCAACAGAAAACAAAGGATGGAATCTATATCTTCACTGGGTTCTTTTTTGATGTTTGCCGCTTTTCAGTCTCCTCTAAAACTGTCAAAACTTGAACTTTTGGTTGGTTTATTTTTTCTCACTGGGTTTTTATTTTTCCTCTTTTTCCTCTTAGTTGTTTATCTCCCATACAAGCAAAAGGTATGGCAGGCCTAACATCTCTACCGGCATGAAAACTTTCAAAATCTTTTACATACTGCTGTAGAAGAACGAAACGATTTACACTTTTTGGCGAGATTGATTACCTGTACCCTCCACATTTTGCTTTCGTCGTTGCTTCTTAAACAAATTGAACAACGAAATACATAACGTCTTGTAGAAGTCATAATAGATTGCGACCGGGGAAGCAAAAAATCAGCCGGTAGAAACAAACTATTCTCCGGCTATGGGGGAGGCTTAATTATCACTGTGTGGTCTGAATTTAACCATATTACAGAGGGGTGTTTTTGCTGTGATGCGTTACACTCCATTGAGAAAACATTGTCACTTAGAAATTGCTAAAAGAGAGATCTATAAAGGGCATTAACTTGCACTTGCATTGTCGATCAGTGAGAGTCGAGCGAGCGATGATCGTCATTCACTATTATGACGTCAGGAGATCATAACAGGACAGGTCCGGCGTTTCGTTGCCAGAAAAGGGGGTAAAAAAAGAATACCGTAAAATTCCGAAAATAAGCTCCGGGGCTTATATTTTTCAAAGGCCCTTTTTGAGGGGCTTTTTTGGGAAGGGCTTATTTACGGGGGGAAATTTGCGTTTAAAAATCGATTGGGTTAGTCTCATAGTTGGAAGTAAATTTACCGTTTTTGCTTTGTTTTACTTTATATTTGAGGGCAAATTTCCAAGTACAAACACCCGGAGGGGTTTATATTTGGAGGGGCGATTTAACGGAGGGTTTTTTGCGTTACTGGATTGGGGGGCTTATATTTGGAGGGGCTTATACATGGAGGGGCTTATTTTCGGAATTTTACGGTATAATAAAGGAAGGAGAAGACAAAAAGATATTCTGTATTGCGTCCCCGTTAAGTTGATTATAACTCATTAATAATGGGTTTAATAAACTATGTATCTGTTAATAAAAGCAAGTTGCATTTTATTTTGTCTCTTTGAGACCAGATGGCGGAATTTAATAATTCATTGTGAGGACCGGGAAAAATCGAGCAACCCCGCCTGACCACAAATAGTAGTCTTTTGAACTGATCGATGAGACTTTTTTAATTATTACTACTGTAACATACACTTTTTCTGTAGCTATTTACACTAATAAAACCTATTTACAATGTTAATATTGTCATCGGAAATTTAATTGAATTCATTCGGATTTACTGCAATATGTTCAGTTTAATACATAATGATCGGTCATTAAGCACAAAAACAGTCGTATCCCTGTAGCTACTCCTTTTGAAGGAATATACCGTATATTCAGATTATCATAATAATTGCCTAAAACCTTTTCTACTCGTCGATCACCTTTTACTTCAGACCCATGATGTTGGAGGGGGGCGCAAGGGTTTGCGTTGATGTTTGGGGAAATTTTGATTTTAAGTTGCGGTATTGCTGTTTTACAATACCAAGGGGTTTGCGGTATTTAGAAAATTTCGGGTAATTTCAATGCGGTTGGCGGTTTTCTTGAGTTATTCCGTGCGGTGTTAAGACGTATTTCTGCCCGGTTTGGCTTGACAGTATTCGTACCCCCCTTACGCCCCCCTTGTGTTGCCGTGAGCTATTTCTCATTAGAAAACAAACATGGTTTCTTTAGAAGTCGCAAAAAATTGACAAATATACTTGACCTGAGTTTTCATGAGGTGCTTGAAAATTTCCATATCTGAGGTGCAATAACAGAAGACTGTATTTTACCTACTCAACGAGGTGCGTAGCGCCGATTTGACTATTTGAATCTTAGAAAAGCAGAGCTCGCAGAGCAGTCTAACTACTTTAGTGGGAACCAACTGGCATACTAGTGAACCTTCGATTCTATAAGTCTATGTTTACACAGCATCAGTTAATTAACTTATTTACTAATTGCTCAGGAAAATTGCAAATACGATCTGTTGAAAGAGAACGCCGGCAAACAAGGCGAACGAAAGTGTTTATATGGAAAGAAGTTAACCTAGATAGAAGGGTTCGCCACCTAGCCGGGTCACCCCCCAAGCCGGGTCACCCTACTAGCCAGGTCACCCTCCTAGCCGGGTCACCCTTCTAGCCGGAATACCCTCCTAGCCTGGTCACCCCCCTAGGCGGGTCAACCTCCTAGCCGGGTCACCCCCCTAACCGGGCACCCTCCTAGCCGTGCCAACTTTTCTACATATTAACACTTTTGCAATTTTGGCTCGTCCAGTCAGCTCAACACGATCAAGGCGAGAAAATTGGAGCATGAGCGAGCGCTGTTGTTAGCTCTTGGCTCGAGCAAAGGCGTCAACTTGGGCTGTGATGACCCTCGAAAACGTTTTTCCTTATAAACCCGGCCTAGAAGGCATTTGGAAAAATCCGTGGACCTTCACGTAACAAATTCTGTGTTTTCACTCACGTGGCCAGCATCTATGCAAATTTACTGGAACAAATGAGAGCGTTTACATAAGAAAAGAGTTCAACTCCCACAAGACTGGTTTGGGACACAAACATGGCCGCCGTTTCATTGTTTTGGGACACAAATATGGCCGCCACGACGTCATGTGAAAACACACAATACATCGATTTTTATTACTTACATTGCCAACGAACTAGAAATAATACTATTCATTATACTGTCAATCCTGACGGTTCCAATGAGTGGGAAGAAGAAAAGCTCCTCTGCTGCTTGTTTCGTGAGCATGCGCGTAGCGGGTAGTCGAAGTAGTATCTTTGCAAATCGTTCAGGGTTATTGGGATATTTGTTTTCCACATACTGCTTGAGAGAGCAGTGAGCTTTTTCCTGCAGCCTCTCAACTTGTTTGGGATTTTTCAAGCTTGAACAGTCTGCGAAAATAACAAAAAAAAATTGAAAAATCGATATTATATAATGACAACAACGTGAATAATGTAGAATTATTTCTCCGAAATCTGTTCTGTGTAGGCTGTTAAGGGGTAAGACTATATATTAACTAAATATAAGTTTTGATTGATAAAGTTGTGAATTCCATACATTTGGACTGCGGTATGAAGAAATAAATGCCGCAGAAAATCTTGACAGTTAAATACGCAACTTATGTAGTAGCGAAAAGAAGGCCTGAAAAAGGTTAAGCTTGACGAGATTCGATTCCTGACCTCTGCGATACCGGTGCCGCGCTCTAATCGATTGAGCTATCAAGCCAACTTGGAGCAGGTTATTAAATTGACTCGTAACATACCCGGGAAAAATTAAGATGAATGGTGAATATATGAATTTCATATCCTTGAAATGCGGGATGAAGAAATATATGCAGAGAAGGTCATCACAGTTAAATACGCAACTTAATCAATTTGTCAGACTGGTCTAACAATTAAAAAATAAATAAATAAATAAATAAACGATCAGATTAGTGCTTTTCCGTGGTGATAATTCCAACTTAAGCAGTTGTATGCTTGGTCTTCGCGGTGACGGGATGTAACGATTTCCACGGAATAACAATGACTGTTAATTCAGTCTATTTTTAATAATTTGAAAAGCTCATTACTCCTAGAGCTGCAGCTGCAACAGTGAACTTAAGAAGTTTTCAGTTTACACTCAACCATAAAACGTCGGCGAACTATTTCCAGCTGAAGCCAGTTACACTTGTTGATAGCTCTCAACATCATCGTCGTCACACTAGCATCACCGCCACCACCTCCATCGTTATCATCATTATTATAATCATTATCATCTTTACCCAGTCAGCCTCAACAATATCTTCATCACTATGAACGTAACTTAAACATTAACAATATAGTCAAAATCATCATCGTCGTCATCATCGCCTCCACCACCACCACCACCACCATTATCATAATCATCATCAAAATCAACTTCAACAATATAATCGTAACCATGAACGTCACAATGAACGAATACATCATGAACATCTTCAAAATCATCATCATTATGACTGCCACCACCACCATCATCAACATGGCTTTCAACATATCAACATCACCATGAACGTAACATTAACAACATGAATATCGTCAAAATCATCATCATTATCGTTATCACTGACACCACCACCACCACCAACATCATCATCAACATAGGCCCTCAGCAATTTCAACATCACCATGAACGCAACATAAAAATCATGAAAATCGTCAAAATCATCATTATCGTCATCATTATTGTCTCCATCATCACTGTCTGCTGTCTGTCATAATAAGGATATACATCATAAGCGAACATTATCAACATTCGAGATTGCAAAAAAAAAAAAAATGGACTATGTAGAAGATGTTCAGACACCATTGAAAATGAAAACCTGATTTACCTGGATTGAAAAGAATAATCGTCTTGAAGAATGCATACTCCACCAAATCCAGTTCAAGTTTTTCCAGACTCAGTAGCAGTTCCTTTACACTTAATACTTTTTCAAGAACCTTCTGATCTTTGGTGAACAAGGGTTTATGTTCCTCATCGCACTCTGATCGCTCCATGTGAACGGCAGCAAGTGTCAACAATGGTGACAGAGGAAACGAACTGGAACATTGTGAGACGCCTAACATGAAAAGATCAGACCATGAACTTTGTAGCAAAACAAGTTGGTCTGCGCTGTCCAAACTTCGGAAGGCCTGAATGTTTCTCGTCCAATCAACTGTAAGAAACAGGAGGCGGGTTGCGATTTCGTAAATGTAGTCCATTGATAGAGAGGACAATCCCAAGGTTGGAGGGTTCAATTTGAACTGGAGGTTTTCTGGGCTTATAATGCTAAGATGCGCTTCTGTAGCGTGGATTGCAGAAGGCGATCTTGGAGATGTGGCTATCGGCGAAGAAAAAGACGCTGTACTGCTGCTGGGCGAAAGAGGTTCATAATCTATCTTTTCCTGACAGTTAGGGAAAACAGGATGGTTTTCAGGAGACCGGCTTAGCCCTGGAAAGCCGTTTTCATTCTGGCTGTTTTCCAGGCATTTAGTGATGGGCTTTCTTTCACACTGCACGGCTAGGAAAAGAGCAGAAAAATTTATCCTGTTAGAATATTTAGTGGTAACAAAAACCAATAGAGCGGGCTTCTTGCTTTATCTTACTAAATTTGCTGTGATTTCAGTTACTATATAGTATCAACTATCAACCCTTTGCGCATCAGGGGCCCGAAATCAAATATTCAAATCGAAAAAGAAAGAATAAGAGTGCGGGTCCTGGCAGGCAAACTACTCCATTTTGATTCATTAACTGATACTGTTATCATGTTACATGCAAAACTATTGAAATCTCGATCTTAAATGTAAACGGACACAGTATGCCGGGCCCGTTAATTATCGGGACTTTCGAGAAACGGACCCCAGATCAACTCAAAACCCAGGGAGCTTCTCAATTTCAACTCGGTCAAGGAGAGAAATTTGCAAAAGCTGACAAAACGTCTAAGCTACGCTAAATTTGCTACTTTCAATGTTGAAAGTAACTGAGACATTGCCAATACGCTGTTAATTTACTAAAAGCTTTGAAAATTCAAGACTATCAATGTTTAAAAACCGAAAATGTTGTTCTTGTCGGCGCAATTTGCTAGCATAATTTGGGAGCGAAGCGTGTTTTAGCAGGAAAGAAAATCAATATTTTCAGAAGAAATGTTCAACGACAGTTACGTTAACTAAAAAGTTGATAAATCTTTGCCGATGTTTCCACTCACTAGTCACTAAGTTGTATGAAAAAAAAAAAAAAAATCCGCTTAGACGTGTGACTGCAGTGGCAGTGAGTTCCTTACTGACTTGAAGTGACTTCTTTAACCCTCTGGTCATTTTCGCTAAAATTAGACCCTCATTTACTCGAACCGGATTTGCATTTGTCAAATTGTAATGGTTAAAAACATTCTCAGTTTAACATCCATTGGCTGCGAAGCCCTAGGGGGGTTCCAAGGGCGCACATGCATGCGAAAGCCCGTTAACTCCTGCCTAAAGAGCATGGCTCTTAGACCAAGAGCGATGGTTACCGTACCATACTGAAAAAACGGAATCCATCTAAGAGTAAGGTTGATTTGAACTGTGCGTACCTCTGGAATGAAATAACTTCTAGCTACGCCCGCCGTGTATTGAAAACTCCCAAGAAGTTGTCGGGCCCGAAAGACTTTTTTTAATCCATTTTTTAAACGAACTTTGGAAGTTCTTGTGCAAAGTAGGCGGCAGCATACTTCTCGGTTTTTACTTTTTAGGTGACATTCTCTTAAAAATCCTATTTCTGCTAATGAACTTGAGTACTTACAAAAAACGTTTCGAGAGTTTTGAGAAACGCAGGCCAGGGCCGGCTATTACTAAAAAACTGTTCATCAGCGCTGCCTTAGTTCTTAAATAGAGGTGCTTAATTGCATTGATGGCATAAACACTGTTTTTTATTGTTGTTGTTGAAAAAATGTTGTAGCGTTCTACTTGTTCTCCATAACAATCGTAATAAATAACGTCGGTTTGAACACCAGTCAAATATGTCCTTAAAATAAGGCTTCATTTCTCGTTACCGATAGCTCGAAGCTTTTTTATTACCCCAAAATTAATGTTCGGTGATTTGGAGCTCTTTTGTAAAAGAATAATGTTTGTTTTATCTAGCAAAATTAAATAACCTTTCGGTTTTCTAACTTATAGCCCTCAAAATGTCACTATAAAAGGAAAATTGTAAAAGTTAAAATGTCTCTGCTGGAGGATCGGGGACGGAATATTTAAACGAATTCCTACAAAACAAAATAAATGCACTAAAATAAACTCGGTATGCATGATACATAAAAGAACAGTGCCTGTTACACAACCAATGTTATGCAATCCCTGTATCATTGATGGCACAATCACGCGATAAAACGCAACGGAAAAAGGTTCCTAATGCTGACAAAAAATTCTGATCAGTAAATAAACGCAGGCGGAAGAAAAGGGGAAATTGAGCCATCGACTCGGTCGATGCTTGTGTTTGTCGGGAATTAAATAGCACTATGCTTCAGGCTAGAGGGGAATGGAGTCTCGTGCCACGAGATCGGGAGATCGAATCATGAAACCTTGCATTTCCCAGTCACCATGTTTATTTTGATTACACAACTGTTTTACGTAACACACCGGCAAAACAAAATTGAATATTCCTTAAAGATTTGTCTGAAACACGCTTTTGACGCTTTTGTATAAAACGCCAGCCTAAAATTTACCTGGCTGGTTCGTAGCCTGAGAGATCAGAGCTAATAAACGGGGCTGTTTGAAAGTTAATACCGGTATTTAGACTTGACTAAATGTTGACATTGGTCGCAGTATCTCAGTGGAATAAAATTAAAAACATGGCGTGGTCATTATCACGCAAGCACATGGTCAGTCACCTCTATCACGTGTGTGCAAATTAAGGTTAAAGTGTATCCCGGCATTCATGACATTGCAAATTTCGTTTTCAAACGAATTTATAATCTACTTAACCATTGATTCTGGAGAACGTTTGTTGGGCAGTTTTAGCCGTTGAATAATTAAACCTGTTTTAACAAAGTACGAGTTTTCCTCGAGTCAAATCTGTGGCTTTCAGTCATGTTTTCTATACAAGACAGAAGATAAACAGAGAAGTTGCACGTGAAACACAGCCGCAACATATTTAATAATGCATGAACCTTAAGTTGTTGTTTTCGGGTATAAAGGTCACCCGAACAAGGCACTTACAAAATCATGACTTCCTGGTTGACTTTGAACCTTAAAATTAAAGCGAATACCACAAAAAACGTGTTTCATTGAAGATGATCGTGACTATACACGCGACATGAACGAAACTGTACAAGTATTTGTTCAATAACGATTTTAGAACGTATTGGTCCGGTAATCACGTTTTATAAGCGTGGTTTTTAATAAAGACTATTTAAAGTGACCTGGCATGTAGAAGAAAACGTAAAAAAGTGTATTAAAAAACTAATTTACAACAAGATCTCAAGTTAAAAATAGGTTGTGTATTAAATGCATACAGTTTTTTGTTTTTTGTTTTTTTTGTTTAGTCCGGTGTATAAGATAAAATCGAAATTAATCGTACTCTCTCGTCGCTTGCCACATGAAATCATTCGAAGACTTAGTGCACGAAGTCATGATTCATGAATCTACTCTACAAGTCAGTCTGCAAGAGTCTGTAAGCTAAAAAGTTTAATCTAAGCAACTGTAGGAATTTTAGAGGGCGGCAGTCAGCTGACACTTTCTCCTTCGTTTTATCATGATATGTAAAGCCGCGCACTTGGAAGCTGGCAAACTAAGTCCCTCTTTCGCCTGATAGTCTCTCGTTGCTTTTGGATAGATTCACTGTGACTCGAGTTTGCTGTCCGACATTTGCATCCCGCATTGTTGAAGACAAATTCTACTGTCCACCGAGTCTCTAGGCTGCATGGCCACTACGTAAAGTAGATCAACCTCGATATGAAGGACGATTTACATTGTACAACTTTGTGGCTTGTTGATGTGCCTTTCTCAGTATAAGCCTACGAAACGAGAAGTGTCGTGTAAATCATGATCAAACCTACGACAAACATAAGAATGTAGTAGGTTTGTTATTCAAAATGCAACTTGTTCCTCGGGTGAGCTCATCGTATGCGACAAAGTTGTTGTGCCGTGCAAATTGGTCTCAACGAACGGCCAAGAGCTAACAAAATTTGTTCTTTATTAAGGAGGTTTCGTTGCATCGAGGTTCTTTTTTACTATACAGTGGTAAAGAAAATCACTTGTTATACCAAGGAATTCGTTACTCAGCTATATTAGAGTTTCGTTACATCGAGGTTCCACTTTAATCTTAAGAAACCAAACAGGTCCTGAATATTGTCGGTAATCAGAAGTTATTGGCATCGTAACGCTAAGCCGTTCTTTTAGTAGCTTAACGCCCGAGATCCCTTGTCTGCTTCTGTTTCCAGTGGAACGATCTCCCAAACGCAAGGCAGCTTCTATAGATTTTTCTACAGCTAGGTTTTTCCTATCGCTCAGGGAAAAAACTTCCTAACGCAAGGAGCAAGTTGTCTGCCCAACCCTCACAGCGCCTTTTCCTCCACACGTGTTTAGAGTCGCAAACTGTGGGTCCGTTTCTGTGTTATCAAGACCTGTGGAATTCACAGCCTTGTCAAAAATACTGCACCGATTTGAAAATCGGTACTCAGCGGCAACAAATCAATCCATCGAGCCATGTCTTTAAAATGAAAGAGGCTGGATTTCTCTCACTGGAAAACTGCCATTTTTGTTTTTTTACATTTCCGTGAATTTCATATCGGTTATTACTATGAATAAGCAAGAAATCCAAAAAGGTGCGTTCATTTGTTCATTATTGGGAACACGAATACAAAGAGAGATGAAACTCAAGTAGATTGGTTATTCCAAGTGTCTAGATAAGACATACTGGCATCTTTTTATCAGCGTCAGCTGGGGTATGGATACAATCGACTCAATCTTAACGGACACCTTGGCAAAACAGACACCTAGAGTTGGTCCCTTCCTTCTCCTTTTATTTGACTCTCTACAAGACGGTCATCTCCATCTTAAGACGGACCCTTGGTGCTGGTCCCTAAGGTGTCCATCTTGGAGAGAGCTGACTTTATATCATAACACAACTGTTAAGTGTGGCGCGGTAAGGCCCGGTAGCTTTTATTTTGATGGTTAATCACCGTAAAGGAACTTTTCATCCACAAGCTACAAGTTAACGAAACAGGCTGCGGGCTGTACAGCATAGGCAGCCAAACAACAACAACAGCAGCTGAAATTTTAGCTCCGGTTAGCATTGAAACATTTTCACTTGAAAGTCTTAACAACAAACTCAACAGTTTCGAGCCTCTATTCGCCTAGATGTTTGAGCAAGCAAACCGAGCGGCACAGGCAAAGTGATGAAACAAAAGTGATAGCCTCAGAAGTTTTCAGTAACTGTCTTTATTCATTCACGGGCTAAACAGTCACATTTCTATTTGCTTTAACGGAAAGTAAACCTGAAAATTTAACGCTTAATGGGTACTAACGTCGCCTGCCTGCATCGCCTTAAATTTCTGATGCATCCACTAGGAAATCAGCCCAGCCAAAACAAAAACAGAAGTCTCTTGTGCTTCTTCAACACCTTCACGTTTTAGGATCCGGCATCAAGTCAACGTGACCTCACACTAGTTTTTCGCGCACTCCCCTTGCTAAGTCCAGTCAGTTCAGTTTAATCAGACTGACTTTGTCATGTACGTATCGCCAGTTTTTGAGACGTGGTTTGACTTACTAGTAAATTTTTTTTTTATATCAAAGCAACCAGGATACTGATACTACGATTTTTTCCTTAACCAAATCTCTTGAGTAAAAATGTAGCGACGCTGTTGCAAGAAAGGCTCAGTACTTTCTCCACGGTTCCACCGAGCCAAACAAGCTACCAAACACTTTCTTGGTTGAACGCCCTTAAGGTTTAATTAGACCTCTTGCCAGCCAAACGACTCCAATAAAATCAGTCCAAAATCTACACAAGCTATCAATATCATGTAACTTTTCTTTTTCAGTTCTTGGCTATGCATTTATTGCTGGACGACAAAGCAAACTACCATTTAAGCGGAAAAATGTTCTTCCACGACGTGGGTCTTTGTGCAATAATTCTTTTTTAACAGAGCTTTGACTACGCATTGAAGAATCAAACGGCCATAATTACATAAACGCCAGATTGCGCCTTCAAGCATTAATATATAAATCAATTCACAACCACTGACAGAAATCACTCAATTGCAAGCCTTGTGTATGTGTATAACAAAGTAAATGTATTTCTCAGTTCTTATTAATCCACTGAACCGTGCAATACAGCCGCTCCGATAAAAACATCGACGCAATGACGTATAGTGATTACACTGAGATAAACATGTGGTGTCTTGATTTCTAAGTAAAACTCCAAACAAGTTTTCTGATTTCTTTTAAAAAAGCGCCCTCGCAGATTTCCAAGCAAATGCACAAAAATCAAACAAACATACTTTTCAAGAAATAAGCAGTGTGCAGTTGGAGTAAGAATTAGCTTTCACTTGCGCGCGCGTAACTCCTATTCAAAAAAGCAACGCCTTAAAATGGATCTACCTTACTAAAAAGCAAGGCTGATTTGTTTTTAAAAACAAAAACAAAAGAAAGCAAGTTTTCTTTTAAGTTAAATTTCGAAGTACACTTAAACTTTCTTTTTTGGCTGTTTTAAACATAAGTTCTCTTAAATATTTTACTTTTCTGCCAACTGTGACCGAGAAGTCGTTGATGGAAAATTAACTGGCTTACCAAACGAACATACCGTTAAAAACACGTTGATTCTGGTCTTAACATTTTTCGCTGTTAACCCATTTGTCAGGAGGGAACGGATATGTCGGCCTAGCAAGGATTGGAACGGTCTGTCAGTTTGTTTTTTAAGCACAACCAGGGGAAAATATACGCGTCTAGCGCCGTCGATAGGGTAGGATCAACGCATAATAGCTTGATCGGTCCGTGATTACCTGTGACGGAAGCCATTCGCTTTTGATCCTGCTACGGACGGAACAACAACGGTATACATTCTTCAATAGGAGTAGTGTCTAGTTACCTTCCTTTTTCATGCCCATCGTCAAGCATTTATTCAATCGACATCTCTGGCATCTGTTTCTTTGTACCTTGTCGATCGGGCAGGCACCATTTCCTTGACATCGATAGTGCAGATTTTTCCTTACGCTCCTTTTGAAGAATCCTTTGCATCCCTCACAGGCCACGATACCATAATGTTTCCCTGTTCCGCGGTCCCCACAAACTAGGCAGTCGCCCCATATTGGTTTTACAGTTGTGTTTGGTAGCCCTTCGCTACTTCTATAGAATGTTGGCGGCTTTAACTCTGAAGCGATTAACAAAACATTGAAGGCTAATTCAGTGTTATATGCAGTCGGCAATGCTTTCTTAAGGTCTTTTGAGACTTTGTTCCATAAGGTTCATTCATGAGATAAAAGCGGACATTCATTTTGAAACTTTAAGTACCTTAAATTGATGTTTAGTCTTGTAGTTAAAGTACATCGACATAGTCTTGCAAGAATCAAAGGAAATAGTATCACATCGTAGCAGCGAAGTTACAAAGAGGATTTGACGGTACTGAGATGGAACAATACTAGAAAAGCTAACATATTAAAATTCTAAAATTCTTTCTCCTTACCGGTCATAGTTCATTCCAAGCCTGCCAACGTCAGATACAAATAAACAATCTCCAATGCCAAACTCGTCTTACTGGCGAACAAGACGAAGGAACAGTTAACGATAAGCGAGTGTGTAACGTAAATTAACAGACTGCCTCTGAGAAATGAGCCGGTTCGCCAAAGGACAAGCGAAGTTATGGCCGAAGTTTCACGTTTACACGTGTTTATGGCCTTTAGGTATAAGCTTTTACCTTTCACTGGACTGAAGCACTCGTAGGTCATCTCACGGACGAAAACAATAGTGAGTATGGTGATTGGTTGTCCTATGGGAAATAAGCCATGCTTGGACTAATCACGGGTGCTTCCTTCAAGTCACAACTCACCAAAACACGACTCACGCGAAGTACAGGTACATCGCTGCACGTGACTTAACACGTGTTATTGTTACACGCAATTACTTTCTACATATTTTATAAAAAAGATAAACTCTTCATTATTACATAACAGCTTTATTTTTCCCCTTTACCTGTTTACATGGAACACTCTCGATGGATGCAGATTGTAAATGAAATGCCTCTTTATGTAATTCCGGTGAACCCAAACCCAACGGGTTTCGTCATTTCCAACGCTTCGCCATGATCAGTCATGAAAAGTGGACGCTAATTTAGGGACCTTCCGCTGTTAGTGCAGGATTTGTGCGTTCCAAAAGTGGGTCAATTTTTCACAATTTATTGAAATAATTCTAAGCTTCTCTGCCTCTACTACCTCCATCTACGACCGTGAAATTCCTGTTGTGAGATTGATGGATGTATTGAAATCGAGAAAAAGTCACAATTCAGAAAAGGAGTAGGGGATTAAAAACAACTGAGCCCATGAACTCGAACCCGAATACTTGAAGGAAACGTATAAAAACTTTACATACCCTGGTGAAGAATGAAAATAATCGTTTGTTGATAATTTAGGGCCATGTAATTAAGCAAAGCAGTCACCTGGGCTTGAAGTAATTTAGCACTAGTGCAATTTGTTGGTTGTAACTCTTGCGCTACACGTTAGCAAATTATCTTGTACATTTACAACCTTTCTCACAATAAAACTTTAACATTGTTTCTTTTAATCGTATTCAATATATTGTTAGTGATGACGGTCAAAGTGGAATTTATTTAAGGCCCAAGGCCGATGGTTGGCCGGGGCTGTTCTAAACGGCGATTGCCACTATGCAGTTAGTATTTCTATATTTCCGTCTTTTTACTCATCAGACATGAATAAAATGCAACCCACAACCTTTTCACGAGCACGTACATTCACTGAGAAATCTTAACCCACGTATTTCGAATTATTAGACCTTGAAATTGAAGCTCAAGCCGCAATCATTAATCGAATTCTCCATCAAATCGAGGAAGGTAGCCGTAACGGAGGGCAAAAGGTTTTGACGCTGTTTCTGGTAGCCATGAAAGCAGAGTGGAGAGAGAGGACCAGGCCACATAACTAACAAAGAAATGTGTTGCGAGTTTTAGTATTTGCAAAGCCAACACCTGTCATTTAACAATATACAACACAAGTTCAAATAGAGCAACATGAACTACTGAACTACAAGGAAACCTTGGTACTTTAATCTTTGGGGGAAAGGTTTGTAGTTTTATACGCTATGTTCAGCGTCTATGTAAGAATTTCTGTAAAGGTGACGCCGCATATATGGTCTCAACTCGTCAGTCTGTGGATGAATAACTATACTTTCGAACGAAAGCTACCGTGCACGTCTTCTCCTTCTCTATTTCACGCTGGTAAGTAAGGGAAATGGGTTAGTGCTCCACACGTAAGGCCCTTGATTCCCGCTCTGTACTTTACATTCAACTACATGAATGAACGACATGTTCAGCGTATTTAAGAACTGCTCTAAAGGTAACGCAGCCTCCTTCATATTTCTTTCCCAACTTTTAAGTCTGTGGATGAACTATTTCGAACGAAAGCTATCGTACGTTCTCTATTTCTTTATTTGACACTCGTGAAACAAGAGGTCTTCCACACGTAGGCTCCATTCCCTTCGATATTCTACTGAGTGTTCCGTCCATCTACATGTAATTGTAGCTCTTTCATGATACTAGGAACCTGATGTCAGCACTTACTTTCACACTAAAATTTCTAGTTTATGTCGAGTTAAAGGCAAATGCTATCGAACGCGATTTCTTGTGTTGATGTTGAAACAATAGAGACAAAAGCGTATGTATACTGTAACTGCCAACTATCACAAAATGGACGTAGAAGTTGAGTTAAACCAGTCATTCGGTAAAAAGGGGGCATGTTTAATCCTTTCACTGCCAAATGTGGCCAAAGGCAAATTTCGACCAATTTCCAAATTTAATTTCCTAAAATTTTGAGAAGCAAATAGCATCATGTGAAAGTACAGGTAGAGAGCTTTCATTTGAATGGTCCACAGACGTAGGTCCACAGGCTCAAAAGTTAGAGTCGCCTTACAAAACTCTATCAAACATCCTGGCAGTGAAAGGGTAAGCGCATATAATAGTGTGTCCTTGGTAGCTTAAAAAGTAAGAGAAACCCTGACGCCGAATCAGACCACATAACTCAAAGAAACTTCATTAGTTTTTATTAAAGCTAGCTAGCAGCCTTTTATATACCGTACATAAATAGTTCACAAAATTAATATATTATTCTTATAAATAAATACAATATTTACAAACTATGCCATAACATACAGGTATTTACAAATAAAGTTAATACCTACGAACATTTGTATTTTAGATCTTCAGGGGAAGATTTGGAAGTGAAACAATAATAAAAAGGCAGTTCATTGTAATATTGAGATTTGCTTATTGAGGTTCACCCTAGAGTCTTATATTACAATGTTACTCGTAGTTCCAAGTTTTGATTCTCTGGATAAACTATTCAAATGAAAGCTACTGAGTAGTGCTTTCCTGCGGTGCTGTTTGCTATTCTGTACAAGGTGGTTCTAGCGTTTGAGTCAGTTCTGTGGATGAAACCCTAAAGTGTTAATATTCAAATGGAAAGCTTCTGAGCCATGCTCTCTAATGTGGCCTCGAACTTTTGAGTCTGAATAAAACCCTTGAGTATGTTACTATTAAAACTGAAAGCTAAAGAGCAGGACTCTCCAGTGTTACCAATTTGTATTCTGTACACAGAGTGCCTCCGTGGCTGAAACCCAAACGTGTAACCCTTCAGATGAAAGCTATGGAGTAGTACTTTCACCTAGTAGCTTCATGCTGCATGGATTGCACAAGATGATTCTAGCTTAGGTCGGCGGATAATTTACTCAAATGTGGCCAGTCAGGAGAGAAGCTACTGCATGAGCTGTTTTGCCATGTCTTTAGCTGTTGATTACACTGTGCAAAGTGATTCCACTGTTAAACTGTAGAAGAAATCTTTACCTGAAACCACTCGACTGCCAGCTACGGAGCAGTACTTTGTCAATCTCATATTTTTTTCGATGCATCACTTCAATGTAAATCAGTGATCAGCTTTTACTTCTGTGTTGAATAAAGTACATTCATTCTTTGTTTCTGGTTTGGGCAAACATAGCAACTTAAGGGAAGCATGAACTTTATGATAAACATGGCCCACTTCAATTTATCTGTTCTTTGCAATACTAGGATACTTGCTCGGCGAGATATCATTAAAAAGGTTTGGCATTCTGCGGAAAAATGTCTATCCCTTTTTCAGACGAAGCGTCATTTTTGTGATAATACACGTTTCAGGGACTAGGAACACATCTTTTTTTAATTAATCGACTGACTTAAATAATGTACGTATCATCTCGTTAAGCAACCCCTCCCCCACAACCAATCTAGTAGTACCAAGTTTGGAACTGGAACTGTTTTACTGTTCTATGAAGAAAGAGCTAAAGAAATGGCTTCTAACTGAATAGAATAATACGGAGTTTTTAAGGTTCCAGAAGGCTAATGTTTTTAATTTTAAACATGCTACAACCAATTACTCTGAAACGCTTTGCAATATATCTTAGTGCCCTTAACTTCTAAGTGATCAAAGTGTTCAGCGTAAATCATATTGATACAACTGAATTTACAGATAGTCTAATCTTAACTAACTCACCTAGCTATATAGGCTGTTTATAAATTTCTTTATTTTGTCACCCCAAACCCAAGGACCTCGGTTAACTTTTCAGTGGAGCTTGCTGCAAACCAGACAATCATTGGAAAGTTCGTTATTTGGGTTGTCACGCAATGACTGCATTGCCAGACCGCATAATAAATAAACGGAAGAGGAAATCTTGAAAGCGGACGCTTGGGATTTCAGCTGTTGTGGATACTATCTCTTATGCCCTTGAACGATGTGCGGAAATCTTGACACTACGGGTTCCTGAGAAAGAAATAAAACGAACAACTCTTACACTTGACAAAACAGACATCAACCACACAAAGCGTCTCAGGGAAGAGACGAGAAGGAAGATAATTCATCCCAACGGCTGGGGCATGACAGAAACTCGAAGGCGATTATATTTATTAATTTACCGAGAAGTCTAGAGTTAACCCCTGATCATCCCAAAAATCAATCCATCCCCTACTGGAATTAAGCACCACGAAAAAGTGTTAAAAGCCCCTCCGCATAAAACACCGGTACGTACGTACCAATCAGTCAATCGTTCCCAATTAAATGCGGTACAACTCACCCGTGTCGAAGAAGTTGTTCGGTAAGCAAACGTGGACTTGTTCCCATGGGCCTGTCAATGAGAGAAATTAAATGTACAAGCTAGGGGGCTACTTAATTTTTCCTATCCTTAATTTGCAGAACAGACCACCCAGTATTCCAAATGCCTTCTGACATTCGACTGATGTAACACACGTGTTTGGCAGGCCAGCCTGGAAGGGCGACACGTTTGAATATAACAGCGCTACGTAAAAACATTGGTAAAAGCCCTAGCTCATATACATAGTTATGCCGAAGCACTCGTAAATGAACTATATTGACAGAACAGACATACAATATTCAGAAAGAAAACATGCATGTACACTTTCAACGCTAACTGAACTTTGACCTCCCACAACGCTATGCCACTCAGGTTGTAAGAACGGTGATTATTTTCAACAAAAGTTGATTCACCTTCTATCTTAAAACAGAAGTTAAAAAAAAATTGTTGAATGATCATGTTAAAAAAGTTTAAGAAAGACTCACGATTTTTTCAGGAGTACTTGACTGCTCGACTCTCTGACGACGTCAGAGGTTGAAGTGTGCAAGATGACGGTGCATTTCTGAACTTTCCGGAAATTTACTACATTCTTGCTCTCAAAATGTTGTTTCCTCCCACGTATTTTGAGTATTCTTGTCGTTAACACCTTTATTTATGTCAGGAGTGTGTATGTTAATGTATGTGTTCGCCTTTGTGTTTTTATGCGTTTTCCGATCTCATATTGTGCGTTTTCCGAGCTAATATTGTAATGCTAATATTGTAATCTTGCAATACTGTTTGAAAGTCTGAACCGTTCAAGGTCTGCTTTTTTTTTTGAAAGATCGTCGAGATCAAGCGCTCACCGTCACTGGCAGCAATTCGTTGTAACTGGTTTTAAATGTACCGAGGAGGAGGGGGTCGGGATTTATAGTGAGCGGAGAGGGAAAGGAGGCTTGTAAAAAAGAAGGTCTCTCTATTTTCTCGCCCCATCTCAAACCGTCCCCCACCCCCTAAGTAGATTTAGGTAGTCATCTTCCAGCTAGACTAGGTGAAGATGGTCGCCTGTAGCGCTGTTCTCGACAATCTTTCGGAAAAATAGGGGAATGTCAACAGTCTATTGAAGATCTGACTGTCTGTTTCTATTAACCTTTAGTTATATCAGGTGACCATTCCCCTCTGTTGTTATTAATTCTAGTTAGGTCTATACAAGAAGATTTGGAAAGGTTTCCTAATGGATACCTTCTGGTTTTGAGCCTGGTTTGTTAACCATGATGACTGCATGTTGATAGCTGGCGTCTTAAGCCTTTCTGGAGTCTCAATCTAAGATATAAAGACAATAAAGACGTTTGAAGACTTCCATAGAAGACTGGTCTATGTTGCCGCCATAAAAAGATGGTTTCTCGTTCGTATAGCCCTCAGTGGCGTAGCTGCCTTTAAGCCAAGCTCGTGTAATCACTTGTTAACAGGGCCTGAACTGATTGCACCTAATAATACAGCCACCAATGCCATGTCTTTCACGGTTATGGTCGATCATGCAAAAATTGGCACATAACTCACTACGAAAAACTGTCGCTGAAGGCCATCTTGAATTGGTTTTCAAGCAGATACGTCCGTCCGTCTTAGCCAGCTCACGTGACAGTCCCTGGCCCCTGCCCCCCTCTTTAAACCCCGCCAACAGAAAAAGAAGATGCAAATCCTCGATGAAGTTTGTCTGACAACGGAAGTTTCATGTACACAAATTATTTCAGTCCTATCTAAGATTTTCACGCCAAAAATAACAGCCCTTATACCATCGCTTGTCAACATGGGCCCCAACCGAGTACAGTTGTTTTGGCTTCTTCCATCAACCGGAGCTTGTATTATACATTTTTATTACACGAAGTCGAAGATTGTAAAAAAACATTAACACGGCTTAGCTATATTACATATAAGACGCGACCTACGTGCACCGCTGTATAATATACACGGATGCTTTCTGATTTGCAAACGGAGACTGTTTTCCCTCTTTCGAACCCCAAAGTGCTCTCTACACACCTAAAACATATTAAACGCTAAAACAGCCGAGCTCATGCACTAAATCTGTAAATCAAAGGGTATACAAGCACTAGCAAGGTGAGCATACAGTCGCACCTCCATGTGCTACCACCTCTTGTTAGCGACCACCTCCCATAAGCGACTACCTATCAAAAACACCAACGTTTTCGCAGTCAAATCATAACAGTTGGAACCTTCATATAAACGACCACCTCTCGAAAACGACAGCGACCACTTTTTGGATGACGATTTTGGAATTTTTTATTGTTTTCATCCTTCTGTAAGCATCCGCTTGATTCACCGTTCGATTTTTTTTGTTTGATGTATGAACTACACTACTAAGAGTCTGCGAAAGAAGTGTTAGTGACGACATGAAACTACACGTACCGTTAATTATAAATTGCATGCAACGAATTTTCTTGTAAAATGTAGATATGTTTGGACCTCTTCTATGAAGGGACCCCTGTGGGTCGATTCTCGTAAGCGACCACTAAATCATCGCATTTTCGGTGGTCTCTTGCGGGAGGTTTGAATGTACTAACAATCTCAGTCGTTAGAGCGTGTCATATGAGGTACATATCAGTGTTACGTGTGACGGTTTAACAACTAGCGAATTTAGTAAACCGAATCGTAGTCAACAGTAACCACCATCAACTGGCGTGATACAACTCACTTTGACTCTGAATTAACCTTTTAAGCCCCGATATCCACATATAAATTCTCCATACTGATCTTCATACATTTCTTTAAAAAAATAGTTGAGAGAGTTTAATAACAGATCAAAGCATTTTTTCTTTAGTGATCATTTCATTAACTCTCATAATCATTTCTCTTGGCAACATATGGATATTGTTAGAAAATTGATGTTGGTCACTATCGGGACTTAAAAGGTTAAAATGGCTTAGGGCAAGCCGTAACGCTGACCATGTTCGTACAACTTCAGACAAAAAAATTTTCAAGGACTACTGATTCAAGGATTTTTTGAGGACAAATTACAGTTCTTACGGAAATATTATATTTAATAATGTTTACTTAATAAATCGGCGTTCTTTAATCCCCTTTGATCACCCTATTGGCTAAAACACGTCATGGAGTCATTCACGATTTTCACTTCTTAGCCCATCGTTGATCACATTGTTTTATACCACTTTCCGCAAAAAGACTTTGCAAAATGACTGGGTATGACTTGCAATTGCATCTGAGGTACAGAAATAGCATTTGAAATAAAGAAACAGAAACAAAATATTGTTCATGCACAAAAATGTTTTACGTTACCCGTGATTTTTACAGCTTTCTGCACCGAGGATGAGCCAAATTTTCCTCGGAAAAATAATATAATTTTACAGAAAAAGGTGTCTGGCGTAGACAAGATCTAATAAAGAAATCAAGTACTTTTCAAGGACCTAAACTGAATTCAATTTATATCTGCTGAAGATGGGCTGTACTGCCCTTTGCAGATCAGACATTTAGAAGGACTTTTCAAGACGACTAGTAAGATTCAAGACCTTTTCAAGATTTTACGAGTCATGCTGACCCTTTAGCACCCTGTGTGAGATATACGCTTTTTACCCAAAAGTTTTATTTACCATTCCAACATAACAAGATCGGAAGTAGCTAAAACTGCCCGTTTAACCTACTTGAAAATGGAAGTCCTTCACACAGAGGAAGAGCCATGTAAAAACTAACCCCCTTTGCCCGGAAATTCCTAAAAGAAAGGAAGTATTCTTTATTTTGCAGTTTATAAACAACATCAGGATATAACCACACTATGTAAAACCATGGTTCATCAACGAGAAAATCGAGGCCTGGGCCCTTTACATGAGACGTGAAAAGATATGGCTGATACACTTAGTGTGGATATTCATTTGTCTTGATGGTAGCGTCAATCCTGCAAAATTGTAAATCGGAAGCACTTTGACTCTTTCCTATAAATCAGGAAACCGTAACGAGCCACTTTACGCGAAACATGCATCCCCTGAGCATTAGATTCTAACCTACCCTATTAACAATACATAAACCGCACAATAAATGCAATTTTCAACAAACTTTTCTCTGTACAATTTAACAACCAATGAATCCAAATTTTCATTTAGTACCCTTAACTTGTATGGTTTACCCTATAGTCCCAGGAAGCCTATAGTTTATAAGCCCCCGGCTTCTCCTTGCCTTTACCACATTTGATCTTGTAAATAATTTAGTTGGAATATTGTATATTATCTTTAATGTATTTCTGTATACTGTTGTTGTATTTCTGGTTAATGGCAAAATAAAATGAATGAATGAATGAATGAACCCTTTAACCCGGAAGTGCTCGCTCCACTCTCTTTTTTACCTAAAATACTAGCAGGAGGTATTCTGCGCAGTTTAGACCACTCTATAAACCGGAGGTGCAAAGTTCTATCTGCTCAATTGAGCTCTCAACCACCCTATAAACCGGAAATCCCCCGCACAGTTTTACCCACCCCACAAACCGGAAATATTCCAGTGTAGAATTAAACTCACCCTATAAACAGGAAGTGCTCTGTAGACTGCTCCAGCGTCTGGAGATCCCGAGCTGGTACTCTCCAGGTGAGAATTGTAATGCTACAACAAAAACATCCACAAAAATGTCGGCATGCGTTTACAGTCAACTCTCTCTAAGACGGACACCTTTGGGACCTGCACTAAGTGTCCGTCTTAGAGAGATGTCCATCTTACAGAGAGTCAAATAAAGGGAGTAAAGAAAAGCAGGGACAAACTCTAAGTGTCCATTTTACAGAGGTGTCCGTTAAGAAAGAGTCGACTGTATTCCCTTATTCATTTATATATTATAAAGCAATATCATAACTACGATAATTACTTGTATCTGATTTCTTACTAGAATATTACATTAACGACAATGGCGAACAGGAAAAAGAACTATATATCGCGGGTGTGATCAAGAGATCAGTGGCCAACACAAAGAAAACTGACTAAAGAAGTGGAGCATGAAGATAATTAAAAGCTTACCGGTAAACCGGGGAAGACATGAGATATTGTAAATGGTTGGACATGTAGATAGATGATCATAGTCTGTACTCTCCGGGAAAGGGGAGGACAAAGAATTCCCTGGAGACCGGGATCAGGGACAAGGTGCATAAGTCATTACGTCAGTCGTAACAACTAACGCGTGATGTTCAGCCCAGTCAAATTCTGTCTTTTAACGCCAAACGTTAGCAGTTAACTTAGACGCTAGATTATATGCAACTTACCCCAATGTTCGTAATGTTTATGTACACGAATTCAGGTTTGCTTGTCATTGAACTCAAACTCATATTTAAATAAATTCTTTCTCGCCGTCAAACCAGAAAAAAAAAACTGCTACTCCATTTCATTGTCTACACTGAAAACTTTGAAGTACCGTATTTCCTCGAATAATGGCCGCCCCTTGATCAATCTCCTCCCTCGAATAATCGCCCCCACCCACCTTTGACGGAAATATTTAACATAATCGCCTCCCTCGAATAATCGCCCCCAGCCCATCTCACCATTTTCTCTTTCTTTTATCCCCTCTCTGTCAAGTAAAAAATTGACACCTTATGTTGGATAACAAACAAAGATGAAGTGGAGTCTGATGCAGCAAAACTGATCAGTGATGATTCAAGTTCTGACGTCGAGGATATTTACATTGAAAATTCAAAAAAGAACCACATTTGGAACACTTATAAAGCCCATATTCAGTATATTTGATGTGATTATTTAAGGCACGACTTGCAGTGAGCAGTCTGATTTGAAATAATCGCCCCCCTCGAATAATCGCCTTCTCTCGAATAATTGCCCTCTTTTAGTGCGAAAAAAAGAATGATCGCCCCCGGCTATTATTCGAGGAGATACAGTACTTATCCTTTGAGGAAGGATCTCGAGTCGGATCTCTAGTTATGATTTCGAGTCAGGATCTCGAGTTAGGATTTCGAGTCGGATCCCGAGTTAGGATTTCGAGTCAGGACTTCCATACTAGGACGTCTAGACAGAATTTGTTGAGGAATTCCAGTCAGGATCATGATCGAGTCATTCACCGGTTTTCGCCGTTCCCGCCATGGTCGTCAACGATTGCCCCAGCGCAGGCGCTGGGTGGCTGAAAAGCAGGGATTTTGCCGCCAAAATTACCGCGAACAAAGACTCTGGTAGTTACAGTTAAACACCATTTTATGGACTCACACTTGACAAGGCCCCTCCGTGGCTTCCTTTGTCCCTGGTGAAGCCTGTATAGTGCCTACATTTTTAATTAAACCTGCTTAAAACGCACACCTGTTGATACCGACAACGGACACCTTTTTCTGGCCCAGCCATGAGAATCTTAAAAAAAATTGGCCTCGCTAATAAGGCCATTCTTTTGTCTACTGTGTTCTATTATAAGTTTTTTTTTTCAGTTTTGTGAAGGTTATAAAACTTTGGGATAAAAGCATGTGCATGTTGACAGCGTTACCTAGCCTGGGCGGACGAGATGTACGATATTATTATTTAGCAGCAAATGACTTTTTACTAATCATCATCACACTTTGTAATAAAACTTCTCGCACTTTGTAATAACACTTTGCGCACGTACTTTGTTATAAGACCTGTCGCAATAAAATTCTAATACCACTTGTCATTCACTGTAAAAAGACTTCCGCGCTTTGTAATAACAAACTTTTCGCACGTCTTTTGTAATGACTTGTCGCACTTATAATAACACTTTTACGTTCGTTTTTTTGTCGTAAGACTTGTCGTACATTGCAATAAGACTTCTTGTCGCACGTACACTTTAATACGACTTGTCACACTTGTTCCACGTACCTTGTATTAAGACCTGTCGCACTTTTGTTATAACTGTCGCACGTACTTTGTAATAAGACTTGCCACATTTTGTAATATTAAAAACTTGGAGCCCGTTCTGCGCGCAGACGTTTAAATAACTGTCAATTCTGAATCTGAATAAAGTGAAGCTACTTTCAGCTAAATGTAAAAGTGAGCATTCTTTGTAAGGCGTTCGAAAATAGGTACCTGTTTTGTCCAGATGACTTTGCACAGCTGTTCATTGTACCTTTTATGACCCATAAACCTTGTTTAAACTCCCTCTCTACGCCTCATTCTACCATTACCGTCTCTACGTGCTTATCACCCTCAGTAGCGTAATGACGATGACAGCTATACGTATTTTTAGTATAATATGGAAAACTATTCTTTAATCGCTTATAGGAATGATAAGATAAGAAGAAACTAAGGCCTTTCTTTTTAGAAAATTATCTCGCCCCACTTTGACCTCAGAGCTTGCGCGCCGCTGTAACTCAACCACAAACGAAAAACACACCAAACAAGAAAACGAAGAAGACAAAGTGAACTGTGCCGAAAGCAACCGACTTTTTTGTGCTACATTTTATGATGAAAACTATGAGTGAAATTGTATGCGAATCACTTTAAGCGAAAAGATTACCGAGAACTATAATTCATAATTATAATACGAGTATTTAATTGCATGTAGGATAAAGCAGAAGTTGACACTTCTTAGACGTTAGACTCTACAAACTAATAAAAATAACGTTTCAGTGAAATATAAGTAAGAAACAACAATATCATAAACAACAGTATTCAATCTAATTTTCGAGTCGACCATGATACTTAACACGTAAAGAAATTTCGGTCGAGAAAAGGCCTTACCGTCTTAGAATTCTTCCATCCTAGTCATAATTAGCTGGTTTTTCACCGTAAAACGCCTTTGAAGGTGACTTTTTGGAACAAACGTCAATCCATATTTCGACTCCTCGCTGCAGGATCCTTTGCAGAGGTTTAGGGTATAGACAATACACAACGGGCTATACCACGCTAGACGCGCGATTTACTGACAAGGTTCTTCCTTTGTCACGTTACGGGAAATTTGCATCGCCCCAATGCTTAACTGATGATCGAAATACTTGTAGCGCATACACACGACCTGAAGAACAGTCAGAAATCGACAACGAGAGTTGATGCTTTCGCAGCGAACGTGAGCGTAACAACAGCGTTCCCAAGGCTCCCTCACTAGGATGCGTGAGTGAATGCACAACTCAGGAGCCCTTCGGCAACTACGAACTATGTCGGTTTCATATCGGGCGATGAGTTCGGGTTGGAGCCGAAAGGCCGATCTCTGTCAACGCAAAGTGAGCGAGTGACACATTTGCATATCGAAACCCATCACAAAAACCCTTTGGATACCATTCGGATATCCACGGGTTAAAAAGGACTGGGGACAAGCGTATTTTAAAGTGGTAAGAGGGGGCATATTTTTTTCAATAAAGAAACAAGGGAGTCATCTCGTTTAGGTTCTGCTGGATGTCTTGTGAATTATTTTTTTACGTGCGGAAGGGATAACAGAGCAATTTCAAGCATCCATTAATTGGTTAAAGGCCGGGATATTAACCCAGCTAAAACAAGGGTCTTCCAAAATTTTATGGCTACAGTCGAACCTCCATGCGCGACCACCTCTCGTTAGCGACCACCTCCCATAAGCGAAGGCCAATCCAAAACACCAAAATTTTCCCAGTCAAAGCCTCACAGTTGGAACCCCTAGTAAACGACCACCTCCCGTAAGCGATCGCGACCACTTTTCGGGCCTGACGGGTTAATGACTGTCCATTGTTCTTGACATCTGGTAAACGACCACTTGCCGCATTCTATGATCTCTATTTTCGCTGTGTGCACTATGTTACTTAGACTACGAGTAGTCCCCCATTTTTCCTCGTCGCCTTTTCTCGCGTGGGGTGATTTTCTCGCGCGCTCGCGTTTCGCCGCTCTACTATCCCTGGGGAAAAATGGGGGACTACTCGTAGTCTATATGTTACTTTGAATATACGAAGAACTTTACTGACAACTTGAAACTACACATGTCCTAACTTAGAGATTGTATGCAATAAATTATCTTCCACAAAGTGAAGGTGCCTGAAACTCTTCTCGGAAGAGACCCCCATGTGGTTTGATTCTTGTAACAACACCTCCCGTAAGCGTCCACTCAGTCTTGCACTTTGGGTGCTCCGGCATATGGGAGGTTCGACTGTATTTGACACAAAGAACCTTATCCAACCTGCTTTAGCAAACTCACAATAATTTTTGTTTGTGCCAATATATAAATAGCGTAGATGAACTCAAAGAACTCGATTTAATATACAATCGCTGGTGCCTCAACCTCCTTGCACCAAGATGATACTAATGTCATCAAGGAATTTTCTGAGAAGTTTATTGTGGATGAGAGGTATGTGAAGAAATACATTGAGCATTTATCTTGACAAGAAAGCGTGAAAAACGGTCAACAAAAGCAGCGACAGGATGACCGTGAAGAACGACGTACAAGAGATGTTTCTGAATCAGTGACCGTTTCTGAACAAGACGAATACTTGGATCATGACGGTCTTTGTAAGAGAGGAAAAAGAATTTTCAAGGTGAGAAAAACTGCTGACATTTCAATGAGGAATGTTGAAAAAACATCCCAGAAGTCTATACTTTACCTGATGTCGCGCACCTGTCACCACATCAGTGGATGATAAGAGTAAAAGTGACAATGATAATGACCTGACTTTGTATGAGAGTGACAGTGAAAGTGACAGCGGCAGTAGTTATGGCCAGGAAAATGCCGACAATTACACTGTTGAGCTAACAACTGCACAAACATCCAAAAAAGGGCGAAAAACAGGGCACTGGGCTACACGATGTGCTGATTTCAGTTGTGATCTCTTAGGCTAAAACACTGAACTGACAAACAGTGGTAGTCCAGGTAACCTTATGATAGTCACCTTTTGTAACATCGTCTCACACAATGTATCGTGTGTCCACACAAATCCTTTATATTCACGGCCATTTTGAGAATTACACGATATGATACCACGAGTATTGATGACTAAACACTCACACTGAACTTGGGCTGCCTGTGGTTCCTATCACCCGAATTTTCCGCCTTTTGTGGTTCCTATCAAATCCATACTCGAAATGCTGACTCGAAATTCTGAGTTTTGCTGGAACCCTTTGCTGACTAAATTGAAATGCAATTCCTCGAATCGAAAATTCTGAAATGTCGAAAATGCTGAAATCCTTACTCGAAATGCCGACTCGAAATCTCAACTCGGAATCCTGACTCCTTCAACTCGAAATCGTGGCTTGTCACTTATTAGTTAATCTCGAAAACTTTTCTCCTTTAGTTGTTAAGTAAAGATTCCTGAATACATAACTAACCCTGACTAAGAAAATGACTTCAGTCTGTGCAGGTATTTGTAACCTGTCCACAGACGTTTTTTCTTTTCTTTTCTTTTCTCTTTTAAGGAATTTGGCTAGCGCGAGAGCGACGATCTTTTAAGAAAACTACGTGTATGAAAAGGCTAAAGTAATTAGACGGATTACACTCACTTGAGCCATACTGAATCTACTTGTTATTTAGTTGCAGTACGCAAACTAGTGGAAAACGTTTTGTTTGTATTAGAGCGGCTTAGGAAAAAAGTTGAAGAGAAGCACTGAACTTACCTTGGGTTTAGACAAAGAATCAAAGAACTTCTTTTCATTGCCTTTAGGTCTGGTTTCTCTTTGAGCGGAATGTCGGAATGGTAACCATCTATCAAACAAAGAGATATTGCGTATTACTCTATGAAAAATTCAACCTCATTATCTGTTATTTGCGTTCGTTGCAAGCGTTTGAGAGCGAAAAGGAAAGGGGACAGTAAAGCGCGCGAAAAAGCGAAGAGCGCACGCGATTTCTCCCACGCACACGCAGGCCATTCTCATATCCCACTTGCGACCCCGACAATAAACGCAGCAAACTCTTGACATGAGCTTAATAACTTCTGCCCGCTCTATATCATGTTTGTCAAAAAAGCAACATTTTGCATATCTGTCCACTTAATAATCGAGCAACCGTCGTAGTTTTGTCCTTTCAAGATTAAGCGAAGATACTTAACAATTACAGTGGAACCCCGTTAACCCTTTAAACCCTGAGATCAAAAATCGAATTCTCATTTGTTGCCCTAATTCATTTCCTACAGAAGTAGTGGGGAGAGGTTGATGAAATACCAATCAACTTCATCTTGTGTGATCATGTCCGTAATTCTCATGACCACCGTGTTATACAAAGCATTGATATTACAAGGAGAAATTGGATGCTGATCACTCTTAGGGCTTAAAGGCTTAATGCTACCACCGTTGGGCCATAACATCCTGGTTGTAATAACGAGGTGGTCGCATTAACGGGGTCTTCAAAATAATAAGATGATTTCTACGTTTGGGTCGAAAGAATATGGTCGTAATAACCAGGTGGTCGTATAAAGGCGAAGTTACACTGCAACTCAACTCGTGAAATCCCTCCCCTTTCAAATAACTTCCAGTGTGGCCATGGTTTGCCCGAAGGACTCATACTAGGAGTCTGCCGGATAACCCTTTTGATGGGGCCTATCACCCCCCTCCGCCCCCCCGGGGGGTGAAGTGGAAATGCTAGATTCTCGGTCGTGTGACCGGCGGGTGGCTCGTATCTTCTTTTTTTTTTCCTGCGCGAGTTCATATTATATCCCGCATCTAAACCGACGCTGGCAACGATGACCAGGCCCGTTTGGCGCTTTCTACAAATGTCGGCTTTCCATGATCAAAGGGGTATGACCTCGAATAATTAATAGCAAAATAAAAATAAGAAAACAACAACAACAAAGACATAACCACCTTGTATCATCAAACATCAATGGGCAGTCCACACCGCTGTCATTTGTTTTGTTGACTGCTTTGGTGGGGATGTTTTTCAGAGTTTTGATCGGGCCCTGATGAAACAAAATATAGAAAGACATTACACGATTAGTACAAACAAATTATGGTAAAGCCGACGACATAAAGTTACAAACATCTTTCGAAAATCGAAAAAGAAACTAAAAATTTTGTTGTAAGTTGAATCTGGCCCCGGATGCTCAAATTATGAATAGCGCTATTCACTGGATAAATCGCTATCCAGCGGATAAGTATTAGAGAAACCAATTGTGTTATCCACAGGATAGAGATTTATCCTGTGGATAGTGCTATCCACCTTTTGAACAACTGGGGCCAGATCAAATAGACTAAATGAAAGCTTTGGGAACCTCCTATTTTCTCTTAGTAAGTATCTTAAAATAAATAAGTAAATAAGGTTTGTTTACAGTGGAAAGTGCACTTAGCATATCCAGCTAGTTTACAGGCACTCCACTCAACTACTTGAAACAAATTTATAATTCAAATGTAACAAAACAGAATTAAGAACCCCAAATGACAGGAGGCGACCAGTTGGATTTAGGCTGACTACCTAGAACATATCCAGCAAGTGCCCAGCGCGGGACTCGAACCCGGGACCACCGGATTGAAAGTCCGAAGTGCTGACCACGCTGCCTATTTTTTCGTCCACGTCTTGAAATCTTAACGCGAGGATAGTACCATTGTCGCCAAAATCGCTTTACTTGACAAAAAACATACTTTAACGTTATGAATATATGAATTTCATATCTCAGAACCGCGGAATGAGGAAATAAATGTAAAGATCATCCCTCACCAGTTGTGTAATTCACTGGGACGATCTTTGCGTGTAAGTAAAAAATATATTTTATCTTAAAATAATTATCAGTAGGAAAAGAGACCATCAATTAACAGCAATTATACAATAAAACAGCCTGCGAGTTATTATAACTTATGACGGAACAAAATCGTCTATGTTTTCCCTACTGCTACTGATTATGTCTACTTACCTCGGAGATGTCGTAAGGTCTAACAGGTGTGGACGGTACAGACTTAGCAGATGGCAGGTGCCAGAGTCGCGGCTGGCTAAAGAAGCCGATAAAATGACCCGTATCTCGATACCACACTCTATAAGGACAGAAAAAGAGAAAACTGATCAATTCCGTGTTTACAAAACTTTTCCGTGTCTATTTTTTTGAGAATACGTGCAGAAAACTTAAAGTTCACGTGCCCTTGGTCGACGTTTTTCCCTTCCCTTTGCTGTCAAACGCGAACGTTTTAAAAAAGATCCACAAAAAATAAACTTTTCCATACATTTCTTTTAATATTTTTTTAAGAGAAATTTATTTATTCTTTATTGATTTACCGCATTTGCCACAAAAAATAAGTATTACAGAAAGAAAATGAAAAAATATAGACATATATAACATTACTAAGATTGCACATTTAAAATAGATAGAGTGGCGCCCAATAGTGGTCGAATTGGGCGTCCACGATCCTGATGTTGTTAATTGATGTTGGTCACTCTTGGGAGCTAAAGGGTAAAGTTGGATAACCGAAAATATCCAAACACCTGAATCATCGCAGTGGCTCCAATAATAAATATATCCTGACCACAAAATTTGTTTTAAGCGGGCAGCTGGTTAAAAGCATTATTTTTCGTTGATATCCACCCTTTTTCTTAAATAACTCGATCCCATTAGCAGACCCTAATTCTGGTTTTATGATGTTTTTTCTTTTTTAATGTAAAAATTAGGGGACTATGTTTAAAATAATTTGGAAAATTCCCCCAAAATCAAAATATGAAGTGAATAATTGGTGGAAAGGAGTACCAGATAGTCAACCACCAGCAACAAGGTGCCTCTGATCTCATTAGCGGACTAACTGGTTTATGTGTACACCTTTTCTACCCCAATTTATTTCCTTCCTAAATCAACCTCATTTTACCCCAAAATAACCGTAACGCCCCCTTAATACGACCAATGAAACAGTACCTTTACTGACTATTTCAACAACAATTCAAATAAATATTTTTACAGTCTACTAGTTACCTAACAGAACAGTCGGTTGATGCAGACACGATGACGCCAGAGCTTTGCACGTGTTCCAGTCCCACAACTCGCGTGAGATGTCCCCTCCAACAAACAACCTGCTTAATGACATTCTGTAAAAAAGGATAAAATCCATAAAACCCGATCATTGCACCAAATAAAAAAACCCCTAGTATTACGAACTTGGCTATCACAAGTATCCTGTAGTTTATAGTGGTAAAACTAGTAGAATGGTAGTATCATAGCAGACGCCACCAACTCAAGAGACTGGTTTGGTAACTGACACTGAACCGTGTGGCCAGAGAGGACGCTGTCGAGTGCACCTTGGCCAGAGCGCCAATCCATAGTCTCCCGAGACGGGCTGATCCTTGCTTCTCACTTGTATGATAACAGGTGAGACCACTTGGTGGGAACATGGTTACGTGAAAAACAGGAATAAATTGGTTGAATGAGAAGCATTTGTCGACTCCATGGGGACGTAGGGTGCCGCTTTGAAAGATACGTTGTTGATCTAGATTACAGAGATTAAGATTCACGTTTACCGCATACGGCAAACGTCGGACTCGAGTTGAGAATTTCTCAGAATAGGAAATAAGCAAATAAATACAGTCCCGAACGATTCTTATGGTTAAAACTGGCACAAAACTACTTATTTTTTTTATAGAAGCAATAAAGAGTAAACGGAAAATAAGGGGAAAACTTATTCAAGTGGTAAAAATTCACGTCTACCGTTTGACGTAAACGTGCATCTTAATCTCTCTATTTTTGCAGTTTTCCGTATTACAATGGTGAAGAGAGATTGGAAATCGAAGAATGCCATGTTTTGTTGCAATGATTAGCGAGATTAAAATGGCGAGCTTCTGGTTTGACGTGTCGTCGTCGTTTCTTTCAACATCTTGAAGATGTTCTCGGAACCAGTCGCCTAGTTTTTGCCGGCTTGTTTCGGATGTTTCGCCTATGGGGTATAACTGTTTCGCCTATGGGGTATAACTGTTTCGCCTATGGGGTATTACACATTATGGCGTACAAGTGATGCAACCTACCAGTCTATATTCATCGAAAAAGGGATAGAAATTAAGTCTCTTCGGCACCAAGCGAACTGATCGTAGTAAGGTGGAGTTAATAGTAAAGAAAGAACATTAATTTCGCTGGTGGTGATTTTCATATGCGCTTCCTTTTCGTTCCCTCTACAATCCCTGAGGAAATATATAAAACTATTGGACAAAAAGGTGCGTATCAACCGTTGAGCCGGAGACGAAATGGTGTTAAATACCGTGGGATCTCTCCTCGTTTCTTCCTTGTTGCCCTCTTGTTCTTCTTCTTTATGTTCCTCTCCGTCGCTCTCCGTTGGAGGGTGAAGAAGAAAGCTCCCCACCTCCCACACGGTGATGTAACCCTCTAAATACAGGTCAGTAAAAGAACAAGACTTTTAGTCATGGATGTATATGTTGGAGGTCAAAATTAAATTCAGGCTAAAATTTTTTAACCGAGGTTGATTCTCAATTTCCTTAACCCTGATTATTCATGAATTAGGCTATGAGACAAAAAAATTTAACCTGAATATAATTTTGACCTGTAACATCGAGTTTCCACTTGGTAAACCCAAAGTTATTGGTTGTCTACCATTTACATGGGCAAACTGATCGGTTCATGATTTTTTCTTTTAATTCATAAATTTATTAAACTAGAGAAAAAAGCGTACAGTTAATACAACCAGGTTGATACAGTAATAAAATAAGCAAGTCATGTAATAAACAGAAAAAGAAAATAAAAACACTAAAGAAAGCCTACAATAAATACAGCAAGGGAGAATACAATAGTAAGCAAGAGCAAAAGAAAGGTATTTAAAAGAAAGAACACCAACAACAAAAAAAAGCACACACAAGTCACAACGCATGTCAGAAATGCACAAAGCGGTCCACTTGTTTCTGCATTTGGTGTGGTTTTTCGGTTTCAATAGCAATTTTTCTTTCACATTGAATTTTAATCACCAGAAGAACAATGAAAACATCTAGTCTCGGGTTCTCAGATTTGTTTCTAGCAACGTGGATGTAGTAGCGTGCAATTAGTAGATAATGATTGACAGCGCGAAAGCGTGTTGATTCGGGTTTGTAACCGTAAAGAATTTCCGTAGTACTGGGTGTTATGTTTTCAGATCGATAAGGGTTTGGGAAAACGGGTGAGAAAAATTCAGGGCTGGTAAATTTCATTCTGGAATTGTGTTTCCATTTGCACAAATCAGTTCCTTTTACCGAAAAAAGGGCCGCGAAAGCCTGAAATTGGTATCAAATATGGGTTTGAACAAATAAAACACGACTTTCCGTTTGGAAAACTCCTTCCGGGAAAACAGACTACCGTTTCAGATGTTCCGTAACTCCCAGGAATTTTCCACTGAAACGACACGAAAAGCTGTGTTCCATTTACTTTTCAAACGGTTTTTCGGGAAACTTTTTGTAAATGATAAACAGCCAAGAGCTCGCTAACCTCACACAAGTTTTTTTTTTTTTTAATTTTTTCTTCGTTCTTTTAAACAAACAAACAAACATGAAGCATAGGCCATATATGAAAACAACTCTTACTTGCATCTCCACTGATAACAAAATTACAGTCCGCATCTGTGCACATGGAAGTTACTGCTGATGCCTGCCGCCTGGTAATCGCTCGCACCTCAGATAACAGAGTTCCCTACGAATAAATGCCATAAAAATTCGCCGTAATAAATGATCTCAACTTCAGCGTGCGTATATTTACGAGATGGTAGGGCCACTTAACTAGGGGACAATAATCGAAGCAGACGAAAATTTTTGCGGCAAATCGACCAGTTTATAACAAAAATAGGCCATACTGTGGGTTGAGTTTGTTGTTGGTTCTCTCCCTTGGTCCGAGAGGTTTTTCTCGGGGTAATCCGGTTTCCCCTCCAAAAAGCTCCAAAAAAACTAAAACTTACAAATTCCAGTTCGGTCTGTAACGCATGGACACGTTTAAGCGAGTTCTTACCAATTCTTAAGTGTTTTGTAGGTAAACAAATTACAATTACAGTTACAGTGGGGGTTGGTGCAGGGGTTAGATCTCTCGAATAGCGTATTCAGCGCATTGGGTACCAGAAGAATTTAGGGACAGTCTAGGAACGAGACTGTTCAACTCACCGCTAAATTCCAGAATCGTAAAAAGCCATCATGGTGAGAAGAAACCAAAGCCGGCTCACTGACTTGTAAAAACTCTCCAATAATGGTCTCCTTATTCTCGTCACTTTCCTCTCCCTCTTGCTCATCCTCATTAATAACTTTATCTTCACCTTTCTCCGCGTTTTCTTGCACCTTCTCTGATCGTGCCTCGCCTTCTTCTTTATCTGCGCTGTCTTCATCTGTTTGCTTCTGGTTTTCGTGAACGTATTCTTCTCCTTCAATTTCAGCTTGTTCACCCTGACTGCCATTCACATCTTCTGTATTAAAGCTAACGTGACCTACTTCGCGGGTAGTGTCTTCAAATTTAACGTTACTGAAAGAGGAAAAAATACGATAATATTCATTCAACTGATCCAACATATTAGTCCGTCTTCATCCAACAATGTTATTGGATAAACCGCTCTCTCCGCAGAGGCTCCGGCTAGACATCTCAACAATAACAATAATGGAAGAAGGAAAAGGCGGGAGCCTGGGCCTCGCTTTATCCCTTTCCCCTTCCCATCGTCTCCCACGCGCTTTATTTTTCCCTCTCCCCAGCCTCCCTACGACACAAAGAGGCCTCTGCGGAGGAGACAGGATGGCCCAGCAAGACAGACAGCAGCCCCTTAGAACTCATGAGCGAGCGAGCAGATCGAGCTAGTGAACGAACGAAAATGAGAAAAAAAACATGGCAAGTACTTGAAGGAAACTAGAGAGGAGACAACTTTACCTCGGTCTTCTTTCGGGAAGTTTGTTCTTTCAATCTCCACGTACCTGCCTTGTAAAGTACTGAGCTAAACTTACAAAAAAAGACTGCTTCCTGTCCGAGGTCAAAAGTCTAGGTTTGCGTTCCACTTCGAACGCAACCCAAACCTGCAGGTTAGCTTCCAAGTTTGTATCACCAGATCAGCAGTGACGAGCATGCAGAAGATATCCTTAATGGAAGGAATGTCCAGGAAATATCTTTTTTTATAATACCGTTGCCGTGAAATTTTACTTGAGGAATTAGAAGAAGCACTTAAGGAAGAGCGTCTAGCACGTGGCATTGTCCTCTTTATCAGTCATAGTACTTGGAGTATGGGCCGGGACCCGGATACTTTTATAAAAAACTTCCCAGATGTTCAACTCTACGCCTACTAATTACATATAGTGACAGCCCTCATATCAGCTAAGAAACTCTCTAATAGGGATTAACACAGTGTAACAAAATCGCGGTTAGTTTGGCATGTCACGTGACCACGGTCTTGTGGTGGCGTTTGCAGTTTCCGTTTGAACGGCAAGAAGGGCTTCCAGCGGTAAGTGACAAAAGGTTTTTGGCCACTAAAAATCGAAGTGGCTTTCTGCGTCCGTCTGCGATGTGCTAGTTAGATTTTTGAACTCGAATCAACGAACCGTTCATGTTTTAGGGGCGATAAAAGTGATGCACTTCGACTTGACGAAAAACACTTAACAATGAACGCCTTGCTAAAATTTGAAATCCCGGCACCGTGAAACTGTAAAGGCCTAACCGCAAATGCATTTTGCGGTTTGCCATGGAAAACCTGATGCTAAAAGGTTCTATTAAAGACGGTCCCGTTGACGGCAAACGGCAAACACTTGTCATTTACTGTTCATTATCTTTTGCCACAACTCGCTCTTTTTCTTGGCGATTACCGTATTTACACCAATATGCGTTGCCTAAGCGGGTGTTACCCTAACAGTTTAAACTCTCACGTTTCGGTATATCTGACAATTAATTATTATACCCTTTTCCGTAAATGATGGGTTTCCTGACCCGATGAACCAAATAAAGGCATCTATAAACCAGCTGCTCATCCTGGTGATGGCGCTTGTATTTGCTACTGTTCGCACTTGCAGATTTTGGCGGAACACACCTGAAGCAAAAGAACCGATAAATCCATTAATCCAGTTTTGTGCTCAAGCTAGTAAACAGAGTATAGAGTGCAGGGCCGCCAAAATAACGACGGGGCAACGTAAAATGTCCGGCCAAGATGACCATTTGCCCGGACAAACTAAAGGTTCGCCGGTAAGTCTATCAAAACTCTTTTATATCCAGTGCATTTTGGAAATCAAAGAAAGCAACAAGAACGATAATGACGATAGATTCCCCTCTGTAATTCATATATACTGTATACATAATTAGAATACCGTAGGGCGATTTTCTCTGTCTCTAGGTTCCATATTATAACCGATCCACTTGTGGTACCCGCGAAGAGTAAAGGAGACATATGCTCCAAACACGTCACGTCACAGTGAGAGAGGGCATACTCCTGAAATGGAATAAACACAGCACAGACGAAAATCAGTGATGACGGCAACGGGGAAACTCGACCAACATTCTACAAGTGAGTTTACAGACCATCGACTCGACTTTATCAAGAAGGAAATAAACTAACAAACAACCAAGCAAACAGGACTTCCTGTTGCCTAAATTCTTTAACCCTTTAAGTCCCAGTATCAACATAAAAATTCTCCAGACTGATCTCCATACATTTCGTTAATGAATTAGTTAGAAGAATTTGATAAAAGATCAAAGCAGTTTTCCTTTGGTGATCATTTTATTAATTCTCACACTTTTTCTCTAAGTAATGCATTGATATCGTTAAGAGAAAGCTGATGTTGGTCACTATTGGAATTTAAAGTGTTAAGGTACGTTAAAACGGGCACCAAAAACGTGCAACCTGTTTTGCGAAACTGCTGCAAAATGATTAGACTGCGATGTTGCACGTTTTACCACCCACGCTCAAACCTGTCTCGCAACAAATGCTGCAAGCTGCGAAAAGTTGTTGCAGAAAGTACGCTGTAGTTTACTGTTTGGGACAAACTCTGTGTATGTTGCTAGTTTTACCGGTCCGAGGCAAACCTGCTTTGCAATAAGTGACGTAACTCCCGAAAGCAACTTGCAAAAACTGATTTGTTGCAAGACAGGTTCAAAAGTAGGTGGTTTTAACTCGTTTTGTACCAATGTTGCAGAGCTAGTTGCCCGTTTTACCAAAGCTTTAAATGGGCTGAGATCTCTGTTAATTTACACCTCGCACGTCTCTTTGTCCTTACCTCATTGCTTGATTTGACCTCCTGGGTTTCTCCAATTGAGGGAAGGGGAGCTCGTGACACGAAAGGGGCTTGTTCATCTTAATACAAAAAACAAAACCACAAAAAAATACATCAATTAAAAACAACAACAACAACAGAAGGTATACAATGCTAGTCAAGAAAGTTGCAGCCCCGAATATGGCCCCCCTCCTCCCAAAAAACAACAACAACAAAAAAAACAGTCAAATGAAAGCCATTCAGAGCTATATACATGAAGAAAATATATTTCTTTGCTTCATTTTTGTTTGTTTGGTAGTTTTGCCAAAAATATGGTTGGCTAGCTCTTACGTTTTTAGCGGGCATTATCTTACAGGCAATGTAAGATAATGCAATAAGATAGTGTTTATAGTCATTGTAACTAAGCCCAAAATGAAAAAAAAAACGAAAATTATGAAAACCTAGATTTTATGTTGTAATATCGATAGTGATAGTGATGATGTTAAAAAGGTCTCAACGTCAATGCAAATGATGCCAGAATATGATTTGGCTGAAAATGTCGAAAAATCTGGTCCCAAATGCTAAAAAGGTCGATAACCCTATGTACTGGATAAATCTCTATCCGGAGGATAGCGCAATCCTAAGGGGGCCACTCCCATATTTGGTCTTATGCGGGTATGTGCCACTGAACAGGGTATGATTTTCAAGGTCTTGAGTCTTAAACAGGGCAGGGTTCTCAATAGATTTTTAAGCACACTGAAAAGTAGGAGGCAGGCCAGAGGTGTCAAAACAAAGCAAAGAAAAGCGACTTAAACACAAAGTTTTCCCAAGGTCTTGAGTCTTAAACAGGGTACGCAATTTCACTATTAAGCGTCTTGAACAGGGTGTTTTTTTGGACTGGAAGCTTTTCAAAGAGTGTGAAGACTTGCGATGAGCGGTCTACATTTGTAATACCAATAAGTTTTTTCGTAAACATCTATTGTCACGATTTTAGTGTGAAAAATTACTTAATTCTGTACGAGAACAAAACAAATCAGGCTCAGAAAATAGTGTCTCCCGTCTTAAATAGGGTCGGGGTTTGAAGGCCTCGGAGCACAGCTCTAACCAGACTTCCCTTGAATGCTCCCCAACCCCCCCCCCCCCTCCAGGAGCGCAATTGCGCAATTATGCGCTGGATAGTGATTTATCCGATGGATAGCACTATCCAACGTTTGAACAACCGGTAGCAGATTCCACAACTGACTTAAGGAGTGAATTGGGTTGGTTCATCAAATTCGTACATGTTTAGAGAAACGAGAAATTGCTGAAAGGGTATAAGCAATCTTATATGCAGCTTTTTCCCTATGGCATGTGTCAAGAAGAAAATCATTACCTTTGTCCTTGTAGATTGGCACAGGCGGGACGAAAAGATCCGATAAAACCTTGAGTTCAACGAGTGTTTGTACATCGGCAGGGTCCTGTTACGGACAACAATTACATAGCCATATCACACAAGAATTTTTTTTCACTTAATAATAACTTACCATTTACTGGGTTGTTAATGAAATCAAAGTTGATCCCTGCTGCTTGCAACTTCAAAAATAATGCTCGGGAGACATCTTCTTTTTTCTCGGATCTCTGATTTTGTCATTTACATGTAATTTCTTTGCCTGCCTTTTAAGTTCCATAGCGATTGAGGGCGAGTAATTGGCAAAATTAAACAAAATGAACTGGACGCCATGACACAGCCCCTTTAAACTGGTATAGTGTTGTATCTACATGCTTTTGTCTTGCTTTTTTTAAAATATCCAGACAAGAGTGCGAATACGACTTTGCAAACCAGCTCAGTCTTATTTCCTTATTTTCTAGTATCAGAGGGAAGAGCGAGATGTCTTAGCACAAAACCACAGGGTACCCATATTTAACACTGATCCACGTTAATAATTAACAATTATTCCTTCAGCCCGAATGGGCTCTTGAGTCAATAGCCCATGAGGCCGAAGACCGAATGGGCTATCGACTCAGAGGCCATGAGGGCGAGAGGAATAATTGTTTTAGTAAAATCCAACTAGTTGGTCAAAAATATCAAGACAAAAACAACGTTAGCTACCAAAACGCGATTCAGCCGCCATTGTTAAGGTTTTCAAAGCCGGCGCTTTTCGCTACTAGTGGGCTATAACATATAGCCTAGTAGTAGCTCAACCAATCAGAACGCAGCATTGATAATAGACCACTAGCTGGATTTTACTAATTAACGATATATCGTTACAGCAAACAATAGCTTGACCACTGAACAAGACGCAAAGCGAAAACCTTTGTTAATCAAGCCAACAAAATGACTAAATTGAATGATTTTGCTGCTTTTTGATTCTTTTTTAGTATTTTGGTGTAATTCTCATGGGGGTGGCGTCTATTAGACTGGCGCTTTTCGCTACTAGTGGGCTATAACATATAGCCTAGTAGTAGCTCAACCTATCAGAACGCAGCATTGATAATAGACCACTAGCTGGATTTTACTAATTAACGATATATCGTTACAGCAAACAATAGCTCCAATACATTTACTATAAACTTACACATGCAGATACATAAATGGTTACACATACAGATTGTGTGACCACCCTGTGACAAAACCGGCCAGAATTTTTTAAGTTTTACTTGCACTTTATCTGGCGCTCATAAACGGTCAGATCTAAAGAACGCTATAATTATCAATAACCTACTTCCATGATTCTAATCTTCTTCCCCCACGATGAAACCAAGAGACACCTCTTGCCATACATCGTGTGATAGACCAGACCTGTTATAGTGTCCTCATGCCGCTTCTTTGTCTGTTCATCCGGGAACTTCTTGTAAAGTTGACCACTGCCAAAATCCCACACCTTTATAGAACCTGAAAATTCAATGTAGAAATTGTTTTCTGTATGAACTCATATCAAACGTTAAGATGGATTTTGTGGCTTAATTTCTAGATGCGTACGTGGCAATGTATTAATGGCTACGCGTAAACATAAAAGTTGAGGGAGGTTCAACTTTTTCGTTTACACGCGGCCTTCCATACATTGCCTCTATTTTGTTTACCTAAAGAGAAAAGTTTCATACAGGGACTTTGAATGAAGAGGAATTATAATCACTACACGCGGCCACTGCCCTCTCCAAAACGTTCCTTTTCGCGGGCAAAACAGCAAAGTGTGCGCTGAAAATGGAATTTGCCGCCTGCAACATGATTTCATGTTAAACAATCTTTCCTTATGAAAAAAAATAGCAGTTTGGCCTTGTTCGGGCGCAAATGATGCCACTCGGGCCACAAATAAACTATATGCTCGACAAAAGTCATGTGATTATGATCAACAAACTAGTACCGTAAATAATCTAATAGACGCTCAGGCCGTTTATCTAATTTTAGGAGTCCAAGAGGGGACGTTTAATGGATAGGAGGCGTTTTTGCAACAAGCTCAACAAAATATTCAGTCCATCCATTGATACTTCTAGGCCGTCCAGAGATCCACATCGCTCTTTCAGATCTCAAAATCGATGTCAGAATCCTCATTCAGGATCATTGTGCTGTAATCGTTTGCCTATCCTTTCTTTGAACTTGACCACTGAACAAGATGCAAAGCGAAAACCTTTGTTAATCAAGCCAACAAAATGACTAAATTGAATGATTTTGCTGCTTTTTGATTTTTTTTTTAGTATTTTGGTGTAATTCTCATGGGGGTGGCGTCTATTAGACTGGGGGCGTTTATTTGAGAGGGGCGTCAATTACAACATTTACGGCAATTTATTTTCACAACTGAACGACAGCTCAACCGCGTAGGTTGATAGTATAACTGCGACAATCACATCCACATATATAAGATAACATATAACGTCATCATATTATTATTGAGCCTAACCATTGTAAGCCCCCGTTGCTAGTCTGTAGCCTGAGCTGTCAACTGTCATGGCTGTTATCTCAGTAGACGGACCATGGGCGTCTGTCACCTGATACACAAACTGACCTGTCTCCATCTCCCATACCTGCAAAACAATCAACAACACAATAATACAATAATCAATAAATACAGGAAAGAAACTTCAATTGCTCTTGTGCACTAGTTAAGTGAATTATTGGTCAGAAAAAAAGAAAACACATAGAAAAAGTAACTAGACGCTTGTCATAGGAGTACATTGCGCTACGTGATACTGTCGGTGGCCTGACATTTTATAAGCTGAGAGTATATATGACTACTCCTGTCCCCAATTCATCTAAGAAGTAAATTAATCTATAAAAGGAGCCGATCATTTAAGTTCAGTAATACTAGCGAAATTTAACATCCACGGCCAGTTTTATAGCTCTTTGGATCCACCTCTTTGGTAGCTATACATGTATGGCGGTAGTACCGGGGGTACTCCCTAATATGGGCTATATAGGTATGTGCGGCCCCAAAGGGTAGGGTTTTTCAGCCGTTTTGGTCATAAATTGGGTATCGATTTTGGCTATTTTGCCGCCATTTTGGTCATAAATAGGGTAACGATTTTTGCACTGTAGTCTTGAATGCACTTTTTAGAAGACTACTTCGTTATCATGTCCCCCTAACCTAATAAAAAAGCAGATAAACATTGCCTTTAACATTGGTCTGAACTAGGGAAATAATTATAAGGCAGGTCTGAAACAGGGTATTGATTTAAGGGTCAGGTCATAAATAGGGTATCAAATTTTTGGTTAGGTCATAAATAGGGTAGGGAAAATCGCAGATTTTGGTCATAAATAGGGTAAGGGTTTTGGGAAGCGGGCCGCACACCCCTACCCAATTTTTCTGTGAGTACCCCCCCCCCCGGGTACTTTTATAGCGGAGGTCTAAAAAACATGCCCGGCCGCTATTACCATTACACTAAACAAGCTGAATTAACAGTAAGGATTGAAAGGGTGCAAAAGTACAACGTAACGGCTGGAGAGATCGGGCGATCCTTGCGATCCTTATGCCGAATACGGTAACTATAGGGCCCCAATGGGGGGGGGGGGGAATCCGCATATGAAAGAATTAAACCCCTAAAGGAGACCGATCTGGGCGTGGCCCAAACTTTTTTTGACCCCTAAAAGAGACCATGTTGAAACACAGACAATATGTATATATATTTATATTTTTCGTGTGGAACCCTAAACGAGACCTTCACGGCTAGATATGATGGCGTTTTGCCCAGAACACGCTAAGTGCGACCAAAATCCGAAATTTACACCCTAAGCGAGACGACGAGCATCCCCACCCCTTTCATATGCGGAGTCCCCCCCCCCCGGGTTTCTGGTAACTCTCGTCCAAGAAAATCGCTTACATTGAAAGGAAGTCAAGCAGTTTTTGAAACAATAGCGATTTCTCAACGACCACTCGCCACTATTTCATATGCCCAATTAAAAATAGCAGCAAAAATGGCGGCAAAAAAGCCAGAGTTGTAAAATACAACTAAGAGGACGCTCGCTGTTTATGCACCTGTATGTCTTAAATCACAAACCAGGGCTACTACTTATTTGTCTTAATAGACCTTGTTCAGTCGTCAGTTCTAGCTACGGTTTTTGTTCGTTAAATCACAAGGATCAAAGACACGCTCGCCGTTTACGAAGAAGTGTACATGTAACATTATTTACAGTAAGTTACCTAAAAACCAAAAACTAAATGATCTAAAAAGACTTTTCTCGCAAAGCTCACGACACGTCGACATGAAAAATATGGCACGAAGCGCCGCACATTAAAAAACAAAATCGTCTCATTATTTCACTTTCTAAAGATCCATTCACTCAAAAAACGTTAAAAAGCAATATATAGTTAAACACTCCATGACGCTTTTTCAAGAAGCATGAGCGTGCAGGTGCAATTGTCAAAATGTCCTCGATAAATGCGCACATTAGCACTGGCGTTCTTTTGTTGATGAGCAGCTACCTTAAATGCTGATCCATCGTATTTTTTAGATTGCAAGCCGGGCTTAGGACTTTATTTATGAAACAATAAACTTCAGGCATAACGGCATAATACGTAGGCTGTTAAGAACTATGAATAAAAGCCCTTTGCACAATAACCGCTGGACCCTACGCTTTTAAGGCCGCGTTTGAATAAATGCCGGGACATTGACTTGAGAAAATATGATAGCTGGATAAGAAAATCCTTAACAACAAGAATTACTCCGCACTCATACACCCGCAGTGTATTAATGAAAACAGCTCATGCACATCCGCATACTCAATTAACAAAGCGTAACTTAAAATACGTCAGAAGACCTATTTTGAAGGATGAAACTGCATCACCTGATTGAAAGCTTGTTGAACAAGTTCGAGTGCGGGAAGTGGAGAAAGTGGCAAGTACCGAGTGACGCAAAGTAGAAACTCCTATTGATGCTACATCCACGGAATAGCACTTTAAACGAAAGCTATTTCAACACAGTGGGCTTTGCAATTAATAGAAGATGTTTTGGCAGGTGCAATGAAAATTCCATTGATAAAATTGCAGATTAGAACTTTCTATTTTGTGTATCGAAGTTAATTGCTGACATAATTGGATGCGTTAATTTAAAACACTCATCCTTATCAAGAACCTGCTCACTTTCCCCGATGGCCAACGACAACTATACTGAAAATACACCACTGAAAGCGTATGAAGAACTCTTTTGCTCTGCTGATTTAACTCAAGGGATACACAGCCAACTGATATTTCTTTCAGGGCTGAACATTCTCTTCTGTTTCACTGCTTTCTTTGGAAATGCCGTGATCTTAGTAGCTCTTCTCAAGGAAAATTCCCTTCATGCGCCGTCCAAATTACTGCTGCGTTGCCTCGCTATAACTGATCTCTTCGTTGGCCTAATCGTGGAGCCTCTTGAAGTCACTTTCTGGATATCTTTGGCACATCATGAACGATCCAGCATATGCCGTTACGCGTTAGCTGTAGGTGCTATTACTGGCTATACTTTGTGTTTAGTGTCTTTGTTTACATCGACTGCAATAGCCGTGGAAAGGCTTCTCGCCCTTTCGCTGGGACTCAGATACAGACAAGTTGTGACTTTCACAAGAACTCGTATAAGCATAACTGCTATCTGGATTGCGTCCATTTTTGGTTCAACAGGGTATCTCTGGAGTCATCCTATCTCCGAATGGTACGGTTATATCGCTATGGGACTGTGTCTAATCGTCTCCAGTTTTTCCTACACAAAAATTTTCATTACTTTGCGCCACCGTCGGTATCAAGTACACGCGCAACACATTCCAGGAAACCCGTGTCATTTGAATCCGATCAATATAGCTCGATACAAAAAGGCTGTATCAAGTGCGCTGTGGTTTCAGCTGACATTAGTTGCCTGTTATCTACCTTACATAATAACAGGCGCCTTCTTGACTGAAAGAGGATTAACACCATCTGGTTTCATCGCCAATGAATTTGCTTTGACTTTACTTTACGCAAACTCGTCACTGAACCCAATATTTTATTGCTGGAAGATCAGAGAAGTTCGGCAAGCAGTTAAAGACACGATAAGACAGCTTTTTTGCCAATCGACCTTGATTCTAACTTAAGTTATACTGTGAAAGGTTTGAACCCAGGAGTCATTTCATAAGTAGGTTGAGTATCATCGTCTGGGTGAACATAGTCCTGAATAGGACTGTTGTTGACATAGCCGCGTTGCAAACACTCTAAACCTTCTACACGCGATACGTGGGCCGGCTGCCACGCAGGCTTTTGTTGACAGTGACTGACGTTTCGACAACCTGTGGGGTGGTCAATTAAGTCGCTATGTTATTGGTCGTCTGCCAGTTAAGCCATCATACTCACTTTACTTATTAAGTTATACGCAGGGGCACCCATCGGCAATTTTCGGAAAATATCTGTTCGGAAGACGATTTGAGATCTAGAATTTTCGGAACATTTGTTGTAAAATTTCTTGCTTGCCTGCCTCTCCTAGGATTTTCGAACATCTACAAAATGGTATAATAACCCATTTTTAACGGATTTTTACCCTAAAAAAGGCCACCTAGAATTTTCGGGAGCCTTTTCATGGCTGAAATTTTCGAAAAGGTAAGTTTTGATCCCTATAATTTTCGGACCACTAGACTTTCAGCTAGGAAATCTGAACAGATGAAAAGTTTTTAGGGGATAAAAATATGCCTATATCTACCGTTTAAATACTAATTACGTTCAACAATGCTATGTTAAATGGTTTTGAACTATATTCCCGTTGGGTGCCCCTGTTATACGGTTATCATTTTTTCGTTATTGTTACAATGTATTTATTCTTAAACATTTCTACCTCGCAATGCAACAATGAGCAGCAAAGAAACTAGCCTATCCACCCCCTTGTGATTCTGGTGAATAAATCCCCCGCGATTTTCTATTAGAGAGCTTTAGGTCTCTGTTTTCAGAGCGCGCTCGACGATCTCTTAAAAAAATAGAGGGTCTGTGAACAGGCTACACAGAAACCTGTAGGTGGCCTTCATTTTCAAGATGGCGCGGTGTAGCTTAGCTCCGTTAGAGAAACCGCGCCGAAATCACCGTTCTTATGTGACAGCAAAAGTCCTAACTGATAAGGTTTTCGTGCAGGGGCAAGAGTTATCCGTCAGAGTGGAGACATAAAGCCCTATTTCCTATCAAATCTACAAAAAGTGAAATATAACTATTATCGCTTGAACTAGAGCTTTCCCCATCTTTCCTCGGGAAAAATCTGCCTCAATATCTCTATAAAACCCAGCCCTTTCTATCGTATGAATCTCGCTCTTCTTCTAAAGAGCACAAACACACAATGACTTTTTTCAATTTAGCCTGAAAGTTACCTGTAGCCACCCAGAAGTTCTTAAAGCTTTTTTTCACACTATAGAGCGGTTTTCATTAGAGTATCGTAAAACCAAAACCAAAGTAATTACTGTAGCCAATCACAAAGGACACAGACAAAACAGTGAACCAATTAAAACTCGAAGTAATTACATGTAGCTGACGCAAAGCGCGGGAAAATGCATGCGAGCGTGACACAATTGGTTTTGGTTTTCCTTCTGATTGGATAAAAAAGTGGCGCGAATCTTTTAAGCCAATCACGTAGCGTAGTAAACGCAAAACCAATTACCTTTCGACACTCAAATGAAAACCGCTCTAATGGAAATCTTTTGCGCCAACACGGAAATCATGCCTGACAGGGCTTCGCTTCACACATAACAACAGTGAATTCGGTGCAATCTCTGTAACGAAGCGAATGCCGATCGCTATAGTGGAGAGTCACGTATCGGATAGGTGTTCACTCTATACCGAATAGCTTGCCGTGCCAACGCGAAAAGCTATCCCCCGCCATAGTGTGAACATGGCCTAAGTTAACTGCCGCAGTATTTGATTGGCATTCAGTTTTTAAGACACAGACTTCCTTAAGTATGCAACATCACAGGTTACCCAAGCTTGAAATATGAGTATCGGTTTGTTGCGTAACATTCGAAACATAAGGATTTGTATGGAGGAAAAACGGTTTCTGTAAAGTACGAATGTGATAATTTTTCCCATAGAAATTTTATCTTTCAAAGGTTACGCAACAATGCAGACACTTTTATGTCGAGCTTGCGCGACCTGTGGTAGCACTTAACTTTCTGTGAGGTTTTTTTAAATTTGTCTAAATGTGAAGGACGCCCAACTAAAAAACGGTATTAGAAACTGGGGGCAACAACCGTGATTGCGGAAAATCTGGTTCGTGAAAAATTTCACACAGGAATATTACTTAAGATACATGTGTGCAGGCTGTATATTAGGGGACATTTCAATTTTAGGTGGTCTATCATCTGCAATATTTGAACACAGCTAAAACGTTCCACTTTATTATAAAAATGCGACGGACAGATCAGTCTAAAATCACAGTAAACATCGCCGCGACAAATTCGCCAGTGTACGGTCATTAACCCTTCAAAGAGGTCATCTCTGCATGAAGTGCAAATCCGACCACCTCTAGTTGCGGACACTTTCTCCTTCTTCTACAAGTGTCTGCTGAAGGGAAGCTTCGACAATAAAACAGCAAGAGATTCTTCTGCCATTAGAGAGAATAGTACATTCTAAATATATCTGAAAGCGCAACATCATGTCAATTATGCGTTGACACATTATCGGGACCTTATAAGGAACAAATGTGTCAAAAACGTACTTGGAAATGTGATTCTAAAGTTTCTTAAAAAAATAACGAGAGGAAAGTTTGTGTATTCTAGTATTAATGAACAGTTTTAATTTGCCAAATCAGTGAGATGTTTATTTCTTAACGGTTTATGTTTTTTCAGTCTGACTCTCTATATTATGATATACTACCAGTGTAAATTTCCTGTTTACCTTGCATGTAAAAGAAATTTTGGTGACACATTTGTTCGAAGACTTTGAAAAATATGTATTTAGCAGCAATTTAATTTGGGGACTTGAATACATTTTGCCTCATAATTACTTGACTTCTGCCTTTTTACGGACTAAAACTTAAGGAATAAATGACACTTACAATGAACAGCAGTTAGATTTTTGTGGCATAAGATCACAAACGTCAACCATACTTTAAATGCCACAAAGAAAGAATCACGATACAACTTTCTACAATTTATAAAATTGAATTTTGAAGGAAACAATCGAAACTGAGACCACAATGACACATGTTAGCCTAGCCTTTGAAATGGCCAGATGGCGCAGTCACAATCTAATAAGTCTAATAACAAAGCAATAAAACTTTACTTTGGTGTATTTTAAGTAATTTAGGAACTGATAATAACAAGGGAGTGAAAATCTCGAAATAGTGGGGATTCAGGTTATCAGTCGAAGCTTTCTATTCATTTCATGATTTGGGAAATTATTTACTGAGCAGTCGAATATTTTTCATTCTCAGTCATTTTATTCAGTCATAGATTTTGAAGACAAGCAGGCTGCTGATGAGATAAAAAAAAAGCAATTTCCTTTACGTTGATTTTTTAATCGATAGTAAAAGCACGAAGGGGTGGTTGTTTGGTTTATTACCAAAAAATTAATACTTGACGATTGTATAAAAATCACTGAATTTTGACGTTTGTTTACAAGGATTTGGCCATGCAAAATTTGTCTTCCGGAGTAAGTTCATTTTTAACGCCTCTCAATCACTCATTTTGATCACAAAAAAGTTATCAGCAGAAGAAGTTAACTTCAATTTGAAGACATCTAATTCAAAACGCCCGTAGCTGGCCAATACATTCAGTTACGTGACGCGACACGTACAGCGCCGGCCCTTAAAAACAAGCAATCACACGGTAAAAAATCATGGCACAAACAAATTTTAGTGAAGAGAGCTTGAAAAAACTTCAAGAACTGTATAACTACTGCTTGGCAGAATTAGTCGGAGGGATACGCAACCAACTGATAGTTCTTTCAGGGATTAACGTTCTTTTTTCCATTACAGCATTCGTAGGAAATTCTCTGATTCTTGTTGCTCTTCGCAAAGAGAATTCCCTTTATCCGCCGTCCAAATACCTTCTTCGTTCACTCGCTACAACTGATCTCTGCGTTGGCCTCATTGTGGAGCCTCTTGCAGTGACCTTTTGGATGTCTTTAGTGTATGAACGATGGGGTATATGTCGCTTTGTACTAACTGTAGACACTGTCGCAAGCTATATGTTGTGTTTAGCGTCTTTATTTACGCTGACTGCAATAAGCCTGGACAGACTCCTTGCTCTTATTCCGGGGCTCAGATACAGACAGATTGTAACTTTGAGGCGAAGTTTTATAGTTGTAGGTGTACTTTGGTTTGTGTCTACTTTTGTTACAACGATACACGTTTGGAATCCTTCTATAGCTGAATGGTGTACCTATATATTTGTACCATTGTGTCTAGTCACCTCTATTTTCTCGTACTCAAAAATCTACTTGACTGTGAATCACCAACAAATTCAAGTCCAAGACCATCAAGGCCGGGCGATTCCACGTAACGTTTCACGGTATAAAAGGGCAGTAAACAGTGCGTTGTGGCTACAATTGACCTTAATTACCTGCTATCTGCCTTATAATATAGCAAGGGCGTTGTTGACGAAGAGAGGGCTGTCTCCCGAAGGTTTCATCACTAAGGATTTTGCTTTAACTCTGCTTTACGTAAACTCGACTATAAACCCATTACTCTATTGCTGGAAGATCAGAGAAGTAAGGCAAGCAGTGAAGGACATGATAAGGCAACTACTCTGCTCACCAAGTTTATCGATATAAATCAGTTAACATTATGGCCTTCCATCCTTTGACTGCCAGGCCTTTGGCTATGTTCACACTCAACCGGATACCTTTTCATGCCGGCACAAAAAGCTATCCGGTTGAGTGTGAACACTATCCGACATGTCATTGTCACTCTCCGCTTAAGAGATCACTGCGGCGCAGCTTCGCTCTGTTACAGAAATCGCGCCAAAATCACTGTTCCTATTGGTGAACAGAAGCCCTAACCGGTATGGTTTTCGTGCCTGCGCAAAAGCAATCCCGTCGGGTGTAAACATTAAATATAGCCCAGAAGCGGTTATATGATTCTGACATAGCCTAAATGTCTGGGATGAATCCCAACGGTGTGACCGTTCAAATGTGAACTACTGGGCAGTGCTTTCCTTTCGTACTTTTTATCATGAAGTCCGGGATGATTCTCACTAGTACTGTAAGTATTTTAGGAATTGTCATCTGAGATTGTTTTACTTGAGGTACTCTTAGTAGACGAAAAGCCAAAAAAGGTCCGTTCCGTTTAAAGCTTCAATATTAAAGGAGTGACGATTGAATACATTATTCATTCGGCACCCATAAAGGTTATATATACATGTAAATAGTACTATGATACACTGCAAAGCTGGCTGGATTTATCTCGCGCGCCTGCCTGCTTGTGTTCTTTTTGTCGCCGCTAGCTTTGCGAGGAGGCTCCACCGCAGAACAATCACTAACCCGCTCAGCTTATCAGGTTACATATTGGCTACAATTCTGTCTTACATAACAGTCGTCGACTGTAAGACCGAATTGTTATTCCTGTGTCAAGAAAGTGCGTTCCATAAAATATACCAAATGGGTGTATATTTTTTTTATGTACATAGTGATGGGCTATACCTTTCGCAGATTACACAATAAGAAACAGAGTTAGAAAAAGAAGGACTTGTAAGGCTTGGCTTAATAATATTTTAAGAACGTTTTAACATGGTTGTGTTCGCAGTTTTAAGTCTGAAAAAACATGCAGTCAGATAAAAAACGCATCTATCTTCTCATCAAAATTTGATAAAGCAGGAAAACCATGGGAAATTGCACTTTTCGTACACCAACGAAGTTTCTAATAAAGATCTAGCGGAAATGTTATCTGCCCCTGACATATCGAGTACATATCCTTGCAAACACAGTCAAATGCGAGCTTTTTTATGACAACTGCAGGCCTCTCCGATTAAGGTAAATTAAATGGGGGAGAGAGGTGGTGAGGATACTTGCGTCTGGGAATGAGTGACAGTTGACCTATCAACGTGCAAAGAAAGTAGTACCTGATAGCCCGAGGCTAGTGGATTTTGCTATCGGGCTAGTGATTTTTGTTCTTAACTTGCCCCACGGGTAAGTGCTGTTTTTTGGGGAAATTCAAATTACAGAAGGATTGTAATCAATCCTACTAATCAAAAAGGGTTTTGGGGCTAGTTCATGCTAGCTACAGCTTGCCCGAATGGCAGGCTGTAAAACTGACTTTCTTTGCCCCCTGCCTATTATAGAATCGCTGCATGCAACAGCTTCTTTTCTAAGCTTGAGCTTGGGAACCGTGGTAAAATCGGGAACCCCGTATCTCTGGGAATCTCGTAAGTAGCCGCCCCACGTTTAGGCTACTTTCCATTGCTCTGTCAGATCCAACAACAAAATAACTATACGAACTACTACATTCAGCACTTCGGCGACTTTGTCACCAACAATTTTGCACCGGACATTACTTTTTGTTGTATTTGGTGGTGTGGATTTGTTTATCATAGTCTTATGGGTATTTTGATAGCTGTTATGCCATTTTAATTTAATATTATCCATTCAAAATATTTCTAAGTTCTCAACAGGCTTATCTCCTCGTAGACTTTTTCAAAACTTTGGTCTACTCCTCGGGACGTTTTCAGGACATAAACAGATGTTTTTTTCTTGCAGATACTCCTCAAAAAGTAGATTTTGTTTAGCCCACTCGGGAATAAAAAGCTAGGCTGCGGCAACTGGAGATGAGGTTGATCTATGGTGTATTTGCCTGGAAACCAGGCGGCTTGCTCGTTTCTTCCAAATTTGGTCCACGTCAGCTAGTTATGGAGAATTAGCCGGAAACTTTGAGCAAATCAGAAACGGCGAAATATTTTGAATGAATATTAATATGATTTATGCGTGTACGGTTATTTTAAGGTACCTTTAGTATGCCTTCAATACATCCACTTATAACTTGATTCATATGTGGATTGTACAGCAACTGAAAAACACATGTCCACAGATAAAAAATACACATATCAAAATAAAAGTTCTTGGCCCGGTCGTATTTCTCGTTTCCTTTTTTTTTTTCTTCAAAAAAGCCAATAAAGTCCAACCCTATTTAAAATCTGAAGTTCTGAATAAAAGTAGCGTAGACTTTGTACATGGATTTGACCGAAGAAAGCCTACTTTTGGTTGAACTAATTGTCTAAAATCGTACCTGACATATGGGTCTGTCGTGCGTGTGAGGCACCTGAAGTGAGTCCTGTATGGCTCTGGTCAGCGGCCAAGTGTCAATCACACTGCAACCTAAATACGAAATTGAAACAGCCACAACAACTCATACTTATGGCTGTCTACTTAGGACCTATTACATAGAGGTGGGGAACCCCAGTTTGTAGGTGAGGTAACCCGCGGCGGGTCACCCCACCTATCATGTAAACGTGATCAAATTAAAATCAGAGATAATATGGACAGGCGGGTCACGTTACCTCACCTACCTAAGGTCCCCTACCTCTATGTAAACAGGTCATTAAAGGCCCCGACCACATCATGTGAATGCTTTTTCGCTTATCACTTATCGTCCACATAAAATGCCCGAAAACGCTGATGAAAAGCAAAGACTTTGGCAAGTGGTTTCAAAAGTGCAGTCTTTGGAAAACGAATCGTTTTGAAAACGCTCCGTTTGCAGAGAGGTGAAAACAGAGACTTTTGAAAACAAAGACGGAGAAAAAGCGAAGGGACAACGTTGAAACCAGTTGTTTACATCGTCAGCTGAAAAGGATACGAAAACGCCAGTGTGCCGGATGGAAATGTTTATGCTTCGTTTTCGCTGACATGAAACGGAGCATTCTGAAAACACCCATCAGTGGGTTTGGGGCCTTGTAACACGGAGCTTTAGCATCAAGGCGGATATCCGCCCTGTTTAGCATCTATGACGGCGACGGCAGCGAAAACATCACACAAAAAGTGAATTCGCGTTAATTCAAACTTCCTCTCACTCATTTGGAATTCGTCTGGTTCAGTTTGTCAAATTTTGGCAAATTTTTCTAGCGATGAATTCTACAGGACCGTATCGTAACTCAGAAAAAGAAAAATTCAATCGTTTTCTCGTGTTCACGTCCTTCACAAAACGTGAAATTACGAAGTTTCATGTTGTAGTCACGCAGCAATGGTAACGAAATGCACAAAAAAGGGTGAAGCACGTGCGAAGTTGTTGTTTTGCTAATCTAGGCCACGTTCAAACGAATCCAGACATTTGTGAAACAGCATATTTTTTTATACGGAGTCGCGTGGACAGGGCCTTTGGGCCTGTTTACACGGAGGTGGGAGACCCCACATAAGTGAGGTAACATGTGGCAGGTCACCCCACCTACAATGTAAACGTGATAAAATTAAAATGAAATTATATGGACAGGCCGGTTACCTCACCGACCTGGAGTCCCCCACCTCCATGTAACCAGGCCCTTAAAGCTCCGGAGAGAGGGAAAAAACAATTCGGTTTCGGTGTCTGGATTCACTGGTTTCGTGTGGACGGAAGGCCTATTCGTGTAAAAAAAAGGTATGCAGTTTCAAAAATATCTGGATTCGTGTGGGCGTAGCCTAAAACTACTGGTGGTATGACGATGTCGTCGCCGTCCCCATAGTCGTTTTCCAGCGTTTGACAGCGGTTATAAGTATTATTGCCCGGAGCGAAAGGGGAAGAGTAGCACTGGGCTTATAAATAAGGGCCTGTTTACATCGAGGTGGGAGACCCAAGGTAGGTTAGGCAAACCGCATAGGTGAGGTAACCCGCCTGTCCATATAATCTCTCGTTTTAATTTGATCACGTTTACATGATAGGTAGGGTGACCATATGAGAGATTATATGGACAGGCGGGTTATACTCCACTTAAGCGGGCTACCTCACCTACATGGGGCCCCCCATCTCCATGTATACAGTCCCTCCCCCATAAGATAATATTTATACCTGTTATAAGCCGATCGTGCTTGCCATCAAAGAGCATACAAGAGATCCGTTTTTCTCCTGGTCTGACTTCATTATCAGTGAACACCTGTAAAAAATCGCATTTGGTAAAACTAGATGTTGATTTAGGAAATACATTTAATATCTGAAGGCCATAGGCAGCCCCCAACTCTTGAAGCGACATCAACCCTGACCATTCATTTGTCTGCGAATTGATTTGAGAAAAACACTGGCAAGTGATTCATTAAAGTAAAGTAAAATCGCTTTTATTATCAGTCTGTTTGTTTCACAAGATGTACAAATTGCCCACGACATGAAGTAGCCTCCTACATATATATAATAAAATGACAACGTTCTTTCTCTGCTTCGGGATCACGTTTGCAAACATCTATTTTACAAACTCGGCTATCGATTTCATACCCACCTGTAAGCACGTCAGGGTCTGGATGTCCCAAACTCTAAAGACCTAACAGTAAGAAAGAGAAGAAAAAACAAGTCAAAATTGGGTGAATAGCAAAACAGAGATGTTGTGAAGCATTGCACTTTAAATCCAAATTAAAACTTCGCAACTGGTCAAGTTTGAATTATCGTTATTTTGAGGCAAAAGAAAATAACTAAAGCAAACTGCATCTCTTACCCTCGCTGTTGATAAACTCATGAGCTGTTGATCTTTTTCATTGACTGCAACGTCGACGATTGTGAAAAGATGACCAAGGAGCTTTCCTGCATGTGGGAATGACGAACAGTCTTTAGTTTAGTCACCCAATACAAGTCGAAGTTTGGGCAATAGGCAATAGACCATTTTACAGTTTGTGGGCTTAGTATTCTGGCCTTTGACTGGATGTGAGGCTGAGGTTGACCTTGTTTTGATACAAACCTCCACACCTTTTCCTTTTCATATGGAAATTATTCTTAAAAAATACTAGTTAGCATAAGAACAACATTATTTACATAATACAGCAGGAGGGGTTGTATCAAAACAAGGTCAACTCCAGCCTCGTTTTCACTGGTAACTGTAAAATGGGCTATTACACACCGGGAAGCTATTGTTTGGTGGTTACTCAAACAAATCATTGCAGAGGAGTTCCGTATGCCCAAATGCCCAATGCCCAATTGCTGAATTTGATATATTCGCATAAAAATGTGAGAAACATATGCAGTCGCACCTCTCCTTATGGACATCTTTATAATACTGGCAACGGGTAGTGCGGACAGATCTCATGGTCCCGAAGATAACAAACTTCATACCTATTCTACCTCAGTCTAAAATAAGGAAATCTACGTATCCCGAACAGGTCTCTTAGGCCTAGGCCAAACGTCGAACTTTTCATAGATGAACCAAACTCTAATTTGGGTCGACCTAAATTAAGTTAAGATCGTCTGTTGGGTCAGACGTTGAACTTAGGTCGCGTCTAACCAATCAACTGAATCAGTCCAAAAAGCAATTTTAGCCCGCCAGGATACATTTTCTCCCGAAAGAGGCTAAAATAATATACATTATCATACAAATTTTTAATTTATTAGTTTTATAGTCCGTCGCGTTTGTCCCAGAGACGATCTTCAGACGTTCTCTCCGCCTGAAGAAGACGGATAAAACGTGTCGGATGATCCAAACTCATTCAGACGAACTTAACTGAGCCAGACGTCGAACTTTTCATGAACTTAACTCACTAAGTTTGGTTCGTTTCATGAAAAGTTCGACGTTTGGCAAAGGCCTTAGTCCCGAATACACTAAACTTGGATCATTATTATACGTCTCTGGGAAATTGCTCACCTACCCCTCCCCTAAGCCAATATTAACACTTACTTCTCACTCAGGGCAAAATTCTCTCTCTTTAATACGCACACCCCTGTAATGCTAACCTAAGATCTGGCGTTTTTATACTTTCCCACGAAAGATATATAGAGACGGAGGTAGGGAAGACAAGGGAGGCAATGATAGCAGACCACTTTAATGCGAACAGCTGGGTATGTCCTTTTAGTGTCTGTATTATCGAGGTTCGACTACTAGTTACACTGCCTTGCCAGCAGTTGAATGGCTGGGCCCACTAGCTCATGTCATATGTAAGGCATGTAACTACTACGTGAGCAGAGAAAACTGCCAAATCAAGAGCCAAAATACTGGGGAGGATGTTGCTAGTTTATTTCTCCTTGATAACTAGCTTAGCAATAGTCCTCTAAGACTGGTGTAAATTGTATATCATAAGACGAAAAACACATCGTAAGAGTCAGTTTACAGCACCTGTTGGTCTTGTGAAAATAAGAGGATGCCAAACTCTGATGACCTTGTCTGCACCTGGTAAAAGATTGATACGATAATGTACTGAAAATTAACTGTACAATCGTCCGCAAAGTTCAAACCCCGGCTGGACCAACACTCAGGGTCTTAAAATAACTGAGGAGAAAATGCTGCCTTTGTAAAGACATCTGCAAACGGTAAGACTTTCAAGCCTCCTTGGAAGAGGACGATAAACCGTAGGCCCCGTCTCATACCTCCTGCACAAATAGATTCTGTGGGACATTAAAGAACACACACACACTGTTCTTAAAGAGTAGGGGACGTAGTCCCCAATGTGGTGGTCTGTCTCTCATGGGGGGGACCCTTAATTTACATTACCTTGACCAATCACGTGGCTGGGTGTAAAAAAGGATCTTCATTTTTTGCAATCTGCGTTACTGATGGGTTTTAATCGCCCGAGGCTATTTCTTTATTAGCTCCGATGTCAAAAAGCACTCCCGCACTCGGATCTTGCCACCTTCGCAGGCTATATTTTTAAAACTAATATTATTGATGCTGATCAAATGAGCCGTTCTTTGCCTCAACCGGGGAACGTACAAACCACCTAATGATTATACATTCCACTGTTAAACTACTATAGACCGCGAGCGGTCGTTCTTATTTCCTCTGAGCCACGCGAGGCGAGCGAAATACTAAAATCATGCAATGGTAAAAAGGAGGAGAAATTGTAGCAGAGAGGAAATTCTTGCTCGGGCCTTTCCGCCCTCGTTCTTCGCGGATTCCCCGCCCGCCCCTCACGCGCGCTGTCGTATTTACTGTGATTCACAAGAAAAATAAGAGACTCAGGCCCCACACACACGTATCTGGGTACTTTTGAATCCGCAACTTTTTCTTTTTACGGATACGGCTACCGTCCACACGTATCCGGTGTAACTGGAAGTCGAATCTGCAACTCTTTAAATCCGCTCTGCAGAGTGGAAATTACTGAATCCGCTATGTATCCGAAAACGTGTGAACGCTAAATCCGGATACTTTTTTTTATCCACTGACGTCACAAGATCGAGCCCAGTTCTTTACCGTGAATATTCAACACGGTCCGAGAAAAGAAAAATTTGCGGATTCCAAAATATCCTTATACGTGTGGACGGGGCGTCAGTGCTCGGAGCTTCATAAATGGGACATACCAGCGGTGATGATAACATTCGCTTTGGTGCAGTAATCAAAGCAGTTGACGCCCTTGGGAACACCAAGCTCTCGGGCAGGGCTAAAAAGAAAACGAAAAAAGAGATGCAAAAACAATTCAAAAACTATTTCTTTTCCCGGCTTATAAGTTACAGCCAAGTAAACCCACAGTTGGGGGGAGGTGAGAATAGCAAAACCTGTTTACAGAAATGGAGGATATGTTGTTTATAATACTGTAGAAAAATAAGAGAATGTGAAGGAAATTTGTAAGTTTATTAAATAACCTGTTATCCAAAACTCTTTCAATACTCCCCAAGACAAAAGAACAAGTGCTGCTTGGCGAACAGGAACCAAACATCTCCAGCTGAGGAAAATACTTAAGCTACAAACACAGCAGAAAACGTTCAACATTACTTTCTCATAGCACAGTGATCCATCCATATTCAAATACCGTAAAATGCCGTTTATTAGCTTGGGGTTTGTACATCTTCTAAGTGGTTTAGGTGGGCTTATAAACGGAAAGGCTTATATCCAGGGGAGACGGATTGAGGGGGGGGGGGCTTAAAACCAGAACAAAAAAGCGCTTCGAAACAAGAAATAGAATTGCTGATAAAAATACGTTTTGCATTTTATTTTACTGGATTTTATTTAAGCTTCAAAACGTCAAAATAAATCAAGTTTATTTCAATGCATTAAGAAAGGAGCTTATATCTGAGTGGGCTTATAATCAGATGTGTTTTTTTGCTTACAGGTACAGTGTAGATGGGCCTATAACTGGTGTGGGAGGTGGGGGTGGGGGGCTTGCAAGCAGCAGTTTATGGTATTGCATACTATGATATCGGCCAAAAACGAATTTGTATATAATGATAATTTATGCTTGTTTACCTTGACGACCCAGTCATCATGAAATTTCCTTCTCTGTATTGCACTAGAAGAAATTAAATAAAAGACACAATTTTCATTAAGACCTAACAATTATCCTAAGCTGGGAAAGAAGCCAAACATACCAGTAATGACAACTGTTCTTTGGGATAATCTCAAGACGTTATAGCAGCTAACTCAATATGTACTCATTTTGAAAGCTTGAAAGAGAGGATGACTCAGCTTTAATAGCCACGAACACAAAAAGCCACGTCGCAAAAGGAATAAGTTTGTTTTACAACATCCTTATTCACTTTTAATAGCTTCTTTAAAATATAGTTTTCAACAGAGCCATGTATAACTACCAAACTGGTAACTATCAATTAAGTCTGAAACCTGGCCCTGCTGTTAAAAAGGTGAAAAACGCTATCTACTGAATAAATCTCTATCTAGTGGATAGCCCAATTGTTTTTTCTAATGGTTATCTACTGGAAAGTGATCTTATTTCTTTACTAAATGAAGTCAAAATATGTATTAGCAAACTTGTCATATCTCACGGGTTTTTGTTCATTACGTGTATTTGATTTGTTTGCTTGTTTCTGGAAGCAAAACCTCGACATGGAATGTTTCCTGATACGTCCACATGTGAAACCGTTTAAATATAATTGTACGGTATATGAGTTGTACGTTTGAACAATCCCCTCGCTTACTAGCTCAACTTGCTTGGTTCAATAGTAACTATCTGAGAATCCGCCTTGCTAGTTGAGTTCTTCATGTGAAGATCTTTTGAAGAAATTGTCATCATGTTAACATAACCTGCACAAAAAAAATAATAACGTAGGCTCTCAACAACTGTACTGTAAGCAGAAAGTGCACATAACAGTGGAATTCACCAAGCTAAACCACAGAGTGAGAAAGTGATTTCAGTACACTCTTTTCTTTTTATAAGAACCTTTTTTGAAATTTGCCAAAATATCAACACCATGCTAGAACATACTCGAGGCTCAGAGAAGAACAATTCTTTTTTCACTGCTTTTACTTTCCTAACTCAAGAAAATCTGAATAATCAGATTATGTCCTACATGGAATCAGAGTGCATGTAAAATTTTGTTCTTTCAACACATTCCTAATGTGTAGGGTCAACAATACATTTACATCGTACTTGTACAATTCATTAGTGTGAAAACTATAATCATTGTCTTGTCTTGTCTACATGTAGCTTAAAAGTTATCAGATTTCCGTTATTGAAATTTAAGAACATCCGTAACAACACTTCCAGGCTGAAACTAGCCAGAAAATAAGAACGGTTCGCGCTAAAATTGACAAATGGGTGTTATCATAAAAAATAGTGTAGATTACCCGCTATCTCATATTCCAGACAGCTGGCATTATTTTGTCATAGCCTGAACAGTAGTCTTGGTTGAGTGATGGTTATATTTAACAGATTATAAATAACCTTTGATTCCATTCCCCCAAAAACTTCACTTGCCTGTCGGGCAAGTTAAGAAGAGAATTCACTAACGCAATGGCAAAATCTTCCATCCCCGGGATATCAAACACTACTTTCTTCTCACACTGAACACATACCTTGGTCATCTCCAAAGAGTATTGTGTCTTCATTCATGGAATCAGTCTTCCATGGAATGTAGATCATACACTGCGGAGAATTTTCCATTGGTTTTATCTGGTAAATGGTCTGAAACAAAACAAGCAAATGCAATATTCATGTGATTAGCTTGGAGATCTAAAGAAAAGACATAAAAAACGTTTTACTTTATGACCCAGTTATACATTTATCTTGATCAATAGTGCTTTGCTAAAATCCCAGGCATTTCCCAGATTTCAGCTCAGAGCACTAGTACCTTATTTTTGTTCTTGGGCAAAAACCGTCGGGTTTTTTTCTCAAAACCAGTTCATTGTTTTTAAGAGTCTTATGTAAAATTCCAGGCTAGGAACCCTAGATTTCAGAAGTTCAGAGAACTGGGCTCCTTATATTTTCTTAAAGCACAGCCTTGATGACTGATCAAAAAATTTCTGGGGTGTTCAAAATATTTTAAACAGTTGTCAGAGTCCATGGGCCATACTTAATTCCTGTATTATTTTGGACATTTCCATGTGTGTATACATATTCTAGAAGTGAGTTAAAATCTGATTTCAACTAACCAACTGCTTTCTCTTTGCTCTGTAGTCCCATAAAGACAGGGCCCTTTCAGAAGTCACCTGAGAAATAAATGAATAATGTCTTTGTCTGAAATAAATTAATTTAATGATTTTTACATGTATAAACAATGTCAATCCCATCTAAACAAAAAATAGGTTGTAAATAATTTGACAATCATTCCAACTAAGATTTCTATAAGCAGCCAGATATGGTACATACCGCTATTCTCCTAAGACTTGGTAGAAAGCCACACCCTGTTACCCACGAAGACTCCTAAAAGGGAAAAAAATTAATGTTGACAATAAAGGTCACAAAGAATAGTAGAGTTTGACTCTCATAATGGCCCTGGCAGCTGAGCCAAAAACCAAACATACTACACATTTGGAAAACTTAAACTACATGCTCTTGCTGCTACTTAACTGAATCACTGTCACCTTATCACATCAAATCTTATCTTATCTAAAAGTAATTATCACATAGGTTTCAATAACACCGCTAGCTGGATACCAGCTTTGTATCTTATGCAGCTTACACAGGGCCTCTCATTCATCCAGCAACAACTGCCTTCTGAGAGGTTATGTACAAGACTTAAGAAACCCTCTCCAACCCACAGTTGGCTGGAGTTTCCTACTTGTAGTAGGAGCACTCATGCCAGAAAAGTTGAAGGGTAGAGACCAGACTATTAGTGTGCTCCCCTGGTCCTCCAGGTTGGGGGTTGGGCTGAGGGCTGATAACTCTCTCCCATAAAGCCCTGTTAATACAGAAACCAGAAGCAGAAGAAATTCAGTTAACAAAGAAACACTGTGACCAGTCCTCACAAAAGGAACAAATTGAGGACCATACATGTGGCAGCACACTGAGATGGGTGAAAACATAGTTGCAAACACAATTACATAATGATTTGTTGGTGCAGCTTAAATTTGTGTCACGATTTACTTACATTCAAGTCAACACAGGACTGAAGACGAAACTGTGAGAGAAAACAAGGAAAAACACTAACTTCAGTGAAAGGCATTGAAAATAATAATTAGTGGAAAACAGACTGTCAATAAATAATTAAGAAGGCCTAGGATCTCTTCCCATTGACGTAGGTGGGTTAGAATCCCAGAGGCAAGGCCGTATGTGAGTTGAGTTTATTGTTAGTTTTTGCTATTTGTCTTTGAGCCATTTTTCGCACCTTAGAAACTCCAGTTACCCAGCCTCTGCAAAAAAGCATCAGTGCTATATTCCAGTTTGATTCAGAACATGGTGGATGAAGAGCTATTTAGATGTGGACTGACTATAATCATAATTCTTTTGTTTATTATTTAAGACTGGTACATAAAAACACTTCTTGGATTAATAAGAAGTAACACAGGTGAAACTTTTCTTGTGGCTGGGAATTCAAAACCAAATGACTTGTACATGTACAGCTGTATGTGACAGGATTGATTGCCGGGAGCTGGGGAGTTCCCCTGACTAGTATGAGTATAACCCCTTGAAGAAATTCATAAGGCCAGTATTTAAAAAGTTCAAATATCTATTCAAATGTTCTTAATAAAAGCATAGCCAGAAAAAAATTTTTAATAATGCTGACAGTTTCGATGACTGATAGCCATCATTATCAAAACTAAAAATGTCACAGGTGTCAGTAGCCCTAAATAGGCTTCTTTGCGTGTTTGTCGCAATTAACACCTCCAGAAGCCTATTCAGGGCTACTGACACCTGTGACGTTTTTAGTTTTGATAAAGGTAGCTGTCATTCATCAAAACTGTCAGCAGCATGAGGATTTTTCTTTTGGGCTATGCTTTAACAAATTTGAAAAGAGAATAACCCCTGGCTACCTAAACAGGAAACATAAGGAAAACTGGACCAAAATTTTCATAGGTGATCAATTTGCTGCCTAATAAAATTATTGCATGTACCTGGAAACTTGAAATTTAAATAATATACTCCTGATGTAATCATGACTCACAGGTGACTGGAAAAGTATCATAACTAACACAAAGAAACAAAAGAGAGATGCTAAAATATACCTTACTACTCCACTGACATATGATGCCCTTCTGTGAGGCAATGATGTAGAAATCATACTTGGGAACATGAACAATGCACTGGACAACATCTCGTCTCTTCTTGTCACCTGAAGAGAATCAGAGACATGTCAATGTGCTTGCAAATATGAAGACTTCAATTATATACATTACATACCAGTATAAAGGGCGTTCATTAGACATCAGAGATCAGAGAATTCTCTGTTTACTAAGCAGAATACTCTGGCTAACATTTGGTAGCAAACACCTATTTTTTATTCAGACGTGGAGCCTCTTTCTAAATATTCTCCTTTAATGTTACACCTTTTAAGATTCATTCAGTCACTTAAACAAGACAGTATAAATCCTTAAAAAAGGACCCTTATCACTCTGAAACCTACATATAACTATGTATATCATGTCTTATCCCCCAAAAGATGTAAAGCCTTCATGACCAATCTTCAGAGGTTTAACTAAACTGGTGGACTGCCTTTAGGGAGCTGAAGTGGCTTAGGTACAAACAACCTACAAGTGCCTGAGATAAATGAGCAAAATTGTGTCTAAACTGACCAAAACTGCTCAATGCCTTGACAGTTGTTCAAACATTGGATAGCCCAGTATTCACCAGATACTTCACCATACAGCGGATACATGTAAGCATTAGGGAATTTTCAACTATTGAGCTACATAATTATCCAGTGGATAGAGATTTATCCGGTGGATGGTGTTACCCACCCTTTGAACAACTGGGGCCAGATGACAAAATATAAAAGTGTTAACCAACCTCCTGCCTCCCCAACAGACCGTCTTTTGCTTGTTGTTATGACTGACGATGTGTCCTCATTCAGTAACAAATCAGGAACTTCATCAGTCGAACCACCAATACCAAAAAGCTAGGGAATTATCCAAGAAAGCAAAGAAATATAATAAATATTTTTATTATTGTCCAAGAAATTAAAATAAGACAAGATAGAGCAAAAGCATACAGAGTTTAGTCATTTCATGAGCCAAACTCGAGCGCGAACTAACCACTAGCCACGAGCCAAACATGAGCCAACTTTGAGTCAAGCCCAAATGTTTTTTTTTTTTGTTTTTCACCATTGAGTTTCAAGGGTATGAAAATAAAAATATAAAGTACTTGTCATAGATAATGGCGAGGGTGCACTTCTGGATTTTCTCCATGTCATTGGCGAGATAGTTGAGGAAATAAGCAAAAGCAGCAGAAATGGCGAGAAAAGGCATGAATATGGGTTAAAACTCTGGTTAAATCTGCCTGCGAAACAGCATAGAAATCCTTGTTCTGGGCCCCCACCTGTGCACCAGGATTTGAGAGTGTACCATGATTGGCCTGTTAATAAAGACATTGTCTTTTTACCAATCAGGATGAAAGGACATTCATAATACACTTCCGGTAATTTATTGGGTCCGTTGGGTGTCCAGAAAATTAAGGATCTCAGTGGCAGACAGACCAGGATTGATTTATGTCTGTGATGCAAATACTGCAACAGTGACAAAGAAAAGCAATACAAAAGTATAATACAAAATCAAGGATAGGCTTCCTTCTAATACATAAAATGACAGGTTTTAAGTGCCAGGTGAACTCTGATTTGTTGTAAACCCAGTATAAGACATCAATGCATTGGTTTTAGAAAGAGGGTTCATCAAATAAAGGCACTGGTCATTCATTTACTAAACAACAAACGACCGGCCTTTTGGGCCATTCCATTTAATATCCACACCCCTATGGATCATTCCCTTTCCATAGTACTTTCAAAAAATACAACAAACGACCGGGGGCTGCAATTTTTAAACTCATCCATTGGTACGTGTCGCTTTCTGCTGCAGAAAAAGGAACATCATCCACACCTGTTCTTTTGTACGTGTCGCTAGGTGATTTTACTGTGCACTTGAACAACAGACTCGCTACTGAATATGGCCTTAATTAAAAATATAAGCGTTGGTAAATCTAATTATTATAAGCTTGGGACAATAGTAGCTGAATTAGTTGCTTATTAGTTGCTGTTAATGGCATACCTCACTCCAGTCAACTTGAGCATCAGGATTCAGTGCGATCTTCCTAAACAAGGCTTTAAGATCCTGAGTGCTTACGTCGTTGCCAAATAAATTACGGATAGCCTCGCAAAAAGGCTCATAACCTAGAGAACAGCCAAATACAAGTTTAATGCTATATGAACGGTTGTAAGCTATTGATGTCTGAAATCGAAAACACATGTAGCTTTGAAAACAACTCCTCTCATTCGCTGTCACCTCGCAAGGTTTAGGTGATTAAGTTGTACCCTGCGAAAAAAAAAATCAGCCACAAATCAACTCCTAACACTTGCCATTTGTTAAACGTGCTTGAAGAATCTGTTGTCGTTCTTCGGGATTAAGCTCTTCGTCGACATATGTGAATTCCGCTATAAACTCTTCGAACAAGGCCAGCTTCATGCGAAAGCTTCCGACCGTATACGGCCGAGAACTTTGCCTCGAAAACATTTTCTCCGCTCAATAATTTCAGCTGTTGTTGTTGTTATTCCGCCGTCCTCGCAGAACAACAGCATCGGGACATTCTTTTGTGTAGAACATTTTAGCACCCGACCACAAACCGAAGTTGAAAAGGACACATTACCACAGCAACATGGTAAGTGACCAATAACCAATGGAAATTATTCTTTTGTCGTAAGAGGATCGAAACAACCAATCACAAGATCGCTTACATAAAAGCTTCAATCGGCGGGAAAGAATCAAGTAAGAAGGTGCGAACGCTCGTAAAATGTGATCAGGAGTTATTGTTTTGAAGGTTTTTATCCACAAAAGGTTTTGAGTACTTAATAGACGCCTTTTTGTCTTCCAGGTAATGAATTTGTTCAGTGATGTATGTGAGTGATATGATATCGTTAAAGTTGTAGTGCCAGATTTAAACGAAAGCAACCAGGCCCCAGTTGTTCGAAAGGCGGATAGCGCTATCCAGCTTTCGAACAACCAGGGCCAGTTCTATAATATGCTCGTTTCGTCAAAGCTTAAGTCAAACCATAATCTCGATTTAGCGCACCCCTCACTACAAAAATACTAAATTACTAACCATTAAAATGTAGTGACGCTACATATCTCATTTTAGACCATAAATCCATAACGGGGAAAATATGCACTCCGCACTCCGCAAACTAATGCTGAGGGCAACTCTGAGCAGAAGGGAAATTTGATATCATAGTGTTTACACTCCGTGTTTTCTGCCCTTCGGGCCTCAGTTTGGTCTCAAAATAAGGGGGGCCCTACCCTGGATCCACCACTGCAGTTGAACTTCCACTACCACCACCTGTCCTCAAAATACCAGTCATTTTGGCAGAATCATTCAAATTCTTCAACCAAATTTAGTATTTGAGTTTTAACTTTTGTGTTGTTTGATTTGCCTGGAAAGCATGGCTATTTGTCCAAGGCGGGTATGTGCCCATAATAGTTTGTGACATCAGTTATGTAAATGACACATATATAAAAAATACTTTCTGTTTGCGAAATGAAAAATAGGGATATAAAAAGGGTCACAATAAAGAGTCTCCTGTCTTAAACTGGGTAGAAAAATGAACTGTTTTTATCTTAAACAGAGTCACAGATTGAAGGCCTCAGCAGCACACCTCCATCTAAGGTAATTGTGAAGAATAACTTCCCTGAAGTTTCCCTTCTGGGCTGCAAAGTAACCACTGGGCCATTAGTCATGATCAATGAATGTCACTGCATTTGTAAACTAAAAAATATATATTACAGTACTATTACAGTATTAGTATCCCTGGATGTCAACCAAGTGATACAACAGCTGATGCTAGTGGAATTTGTGGTGTTTACAGAGATGTAGGAGTGTGTGATTGTAACCATAGTGCTGGTAAGTTTTTTTTAAGTAAATTAAAACCTCCCAGGTGGAAATCTTATTAAGATCTTGTAAGATCTTGTAAGATCTTGTAAGAATCTTGTAAGATGCTTATTAAGATTAAGATCTTATTAAGTTCTTCTAAGATCTTATTAAGATATCATATCTTAAAAGATTTCTTAATAAGATCTTGTCAATATCTTAATGTCTTTGTCATCCTTAAGATCTTACTAGATCTTATTAAGATCTTAATAAGATCTTAGAGTTTCTTACTAGGAAATTTTTCCTAAGATTTTTACAGTAACTTAATAAGATCTTAATAAGATCTTGGAGTTTCTTACTAGGAAATTTTTACTAAGATTTTTACAGTAACTTAATAAAATCTTAATAAGATCTTGTTAAGTTACTGTAAAAATCTTAATAAAAATTTCCTAGTAAGAAACTCTAAGATTTAAAAAAAAAACTTAATAAGAACTAAGAACTTAAATAATAAAGGTGCCAAAATTAAGTTTTCAACTAACTCAGATCTGCATGGCCCTCTTAAAGAGATTGAGTTGTATTAAATCATGTTGCCGATTTTATTAAGAACAAATCCTATAATCAGAATTGAAGTTGCAAAACGTACCATAAAAATTTATTAATAACGCGTTTATGTCGGTGTAACCTTTGAACTTTTTCTTTGTTTTGTATTTACGTTTTTCTAGATTTCATTTTGTTGTCTTCTTAAAAGTTATCCTAAAAGTTTGTTTTACATCATCTGCAAGTGTAGCAGTTTCTAGCTCACACCAAGGATGAGCCTCAATAACATCTCTTTTAAATGAAAACTTATATTATTATTATTGTAAATGAAAGTTTGAAATAAGTCAAGATCTTACTAGGATCAACTTTCAAAAATAATTATACAATCTTAGTCTAGATCTTAATTACATAAGGCGGAATACTGGTCGATTGGCTGAAAATAAGCCACTGTTAACCCTGTAATATTTTAAAAAAATGATTGGAACCAGGCTTAGCCTAAACTACCTGGGCTTTCATTGAAAAGAGAGAGAGAACAGTGTCAATTCCAGTTTAATTCCCTCAATAAACAGATCAGAGAGGGTTTAGGATACTAGCCCCATTAAGCTTAACCCAAGAGCTGTATAGTTAAACACAGATTTAAAAAATATTGTTTCCTTCATAAAAGCAGCTGCCCTCTGAATTTAGCTTATTGCAACTCCTGAGTGCAAATTAAAAACCCTATTGAATTTCATTTGAATCTTGTGTGTTCCAATTTCTGTGTCTGTTTTTCATTTTTTAAAACCTCGTTTATAAATTACATGTTTACAACCCTTGCATCAGGAGTGCGGTCAAACGCATAGCAAGCCCGGCCATTGCCAAGGTCTTGGCTGGGCTTGCCAGGAAAGCGTGGCGTGGAAAAGCCTGGTAAGCCCGGTCAAGGCCAGGGTTTTGAGGTAAGCCTGGCCATAGAAGCGTGACTTTTTTGGCCATGCTAAAAAATAGGCTGGCATTTCATGGCTTTCCCGGCCAGAAAACCAGAAGCCGGGAAAGCCAAGAATTCGTGGCCATGTTCTACAAGTGACAGCAATAAGAACTAGAAACAACAATAAGAAAGGTATGTTTTTACAGGATCAATACCAAAAATAGAAAATACAGAGTTTTAAGAAATTAGTGCAAGAAAAGGAAAAACATAGATCATAAGGCTACAACAAGTCCACTACTCTCTTTCCACAAAGTTTGGCATTCTAGCAAAACACAAATCTTGCTTGTTTCCACTCAGATAAAAAACTTTTTTTTCAATAGCAGTAACACTGAATTACTTATATATAGATACATGAAGTAATATAAAGTTAATTTTCAATATTTGACGACAAAAGCGATTCTGCAAAGATTATATAAAACCATTTAAGCAATAGAAAACGTTTTCTGTGTTTGCATAGCCTGATATAAACATAAGAGGGGTTGGGAGAATTGAGACAGTTATTGAAACCCAAGACGCAGTCGAGGGTTTGCATAACGGTCAAGAATTCTCCCAGCCTCATGCGAGTGCAAACACAGGAAAAAATATTTTCTAGTGCTTTTATGAAATAACTTTCCCAAGAAAAATAGCAAAACTCTGTTGTTTAGAGCACTGATTAAAAGAGAAATTGTTACCAGTCGTGAAGTCTTGTACTCGAAGCTTGTACAGTTAATCAGTCCTTGTTTTCCAAATAAGATGCTTTTCTCACTTAAAATGTCAGCTCAAGCAAAAAAAAACTTGACACAGCATGTTTCTAAAGATTTTTCAAGTTTCAGCCGACGAGGAAATAGGTAAATAAACTAAACTTCTTGTCGACTAATTATTTTTCAACTCAAAATCTTTTTTAAATTCTTGCCTGCGTGATTAGCGCGCAAAAAGCAAAACATATTGACGTCACAACCATGCCTACATACTCTCATGCAAACACGCCTCTCGGCTAATCAGAGCGCACGTACTATCTGAGTTATTTTATAAACTGAAATATATACAAGTACCTCCTATTCTGAATTTTCTGTATGGTTCTTTTTCATCTGCATGGGTAATTTATTTAACTGTGAGGATCATTTCTACTTTCATATCTATATCCACATGTCCAAAAAAAATTGTCATTTCATGAAAGCTCAATTATTTCCATTCATGTCATTTCCACCATTGGGTACACTAGCTCACCATGGCCAGCTCTCCAGCTGGCTTGATAATTTTAATGGTTAAACGATTGCATCCGATCAATCGCATAGCTAGGTCAGGATTCGATTCCCGATCAAGCCTTTAATTTTTTCAGGTACTTGCTCAACCTTTTAGATAATGTCCATTTTACTGCAAGGATCATTTCCATTTTTATAACTGTTTCTTACTGCAATGTGTTCCTTGGATTTACCGTTCCTCGTAGGTCGAAAGTCCACTTGAACATGCGAACAGTTCCTTGCTTTGCATGCTTTTTGAGCTTCCTTTTGGTAGAGTTCGTTCAACTAATGAATGATGTGATCAAGGTGTCTTTGGTTAGATCAGATTTCCATACACTAAGCTGTGAGCTTTGTCCAACATGGATCCGTCCAACATGAACAACAGCCACAACACGTTTTTCGTCGCAGTTCTTTGATTGATAATGTAGTCCAACATTTTCTTTCCCAACTTAAAAGAACAACGTTAAGTTTACCTCTTGCTCTCAACACTTCAAATGCGTTGGTTCATCTTAATTAACGCTGAAAATAACTGCTATTTAGACCCAAACGGGAGCACATCGCATTAGTCGCCATGTTTTCTTGTTTCCCAGGCCTCCACGTGTGCCTTTGGCACATGCGCGATTTGATTTACTTTGTCACGTGCGGCTTTTGAACCAATAGAAAAGTGTGAAATGAACTTCCGTTGAATAGTTCAAATTCACGCGGACTTCACAAGCAACAAAGTATTTTCGTAAGACCGTCTTTCCATTATCCGTGTTATTTTCGAGACAAAGTGATCAATTGCGAAGTTTGTGTTCACATAAAGCATGTTTGCAAGTGAGTTTACTCAGCTGGATTAATGTGGAAAGGTATGTTTTCCAATAACTTTGCGTAAATATCCTTATAAAGTTCAAAGATGCATGCAAAGATATGCCATTGATCAGATCCCTTTTTG